TCTTCTTCTTCTTCTTCTTCTTCTTCTTCTTCTTCTTCTTCTTCTTCTTCTTCTTCTTCTTCTTCTTCTTCTTCTTCTTCTTCTTCTTCTTCTTCCTTCGTCCTCTTCTTCCTTCTTACTCCCTTTTTGTTCGGCCGCACTAGCAGCCGCAGCGACAGGAATGCTCGCGGAGACAAAAACGCCTCCAGATTCCTTCTCACGGCCTATTAAAGAAATGGGAAGCAGTCGAGCCGGAGACGCATCTGAGACAGACCCCATCTCTCGAATCCAGAGGCCGCGGAAGCCGCCCAGCATCTTTCGCGGACCACCCTTTGTGTCGTTTCCACCCCTGGCCGGAAAATGGATATCCTGCGCAGTTCCGCCGTGCATGAGAGATCTCCGCACTTCGGGCTCGAGGTAGGATCATGAGAACGAACGAATACGCACGGCAGGCGAAGACTAGGCGAGGGGGGATTGCGTAAAAGTAGGTGACGACGCAAGACTTGAAACAGGCGAAAAGACCGTTCTTTTTTTTTTTTTATTTATTTTTCCACCTGCCTTCTGGTCGTTCTATCTCCGTATTGTGCATCTATAGAAAAACGGACCGTTCTCCTCAACCTTTCATGCCGTTTTATGTTTTGAGGGTGTACCAGTATGGCATCTGTACGTTTACAAACCAACCTCAATTCATTGTTGTCTACATCGCGTCGCGCATCCAGAGCTGAGCCATCTTGCACTAGAATACCATGGTTCAACCTGTCGCCAATCTCAACATCAATCATCTTGGAATCTCGGTCCCCGACCTGGATGCCGCCGTAGCATGGTACACCACACATCTAGGTTTCGTCCAACTTCGCCCCCATAACAGAGTGAAGCGTGGCCCTCCCGAAGCTGATGTCGTCGACCGCGGTGGACTTGCCAGTAAGCTGTTCCTTCTCATCTCCTCCATGGTGACCGTACAAAACTTTTCGTCTGTCAGTCAGTTCTAGGCTCATGATTTTTATATTTTTTTTTGAACAGTATATGGTCCTGAGCTGAACGAGATGCGCATCGCGTACCTCGCAAGCGGAAACATCGGCATCGAGCTGTTTCAATTCATTTCACCAGCATATTCCGGACCCGGAAAACCCAATCCGTTCGGCACGCAGCATTGGGTCCGAGGTGGATGTTTCCATATCGCTCTCACGCATCCAGATCCAGAGGCTTTGTTTGCGAAGCTTGTCGAGGCTGGGGGAGAGAAGATTCGGGAGACGGCCCGGTTGGGTAGAGGGATAGTGGCGTTGTACATTCAGGACCCTTGGGGGATCATCTGGGAGATATGCTCTCGCAGTTTTGAGACATTTCAAATGATCGAATACGTGCCTGAATGAAGCCAATTTGGTCACCTGTTCTGTTCGGCGATGGTCAGGATTCATTCTTGACAATCTCCTTATCTGATCGGCCAGATAGAACAGTCGCTTTCACCACGCATCAACGCACGTAGTGAATCGAACTCTTAATCTGCTCGGCGTCTCTTGCTCCCTTCTCTGCCTCCATTCGCAACGGGCACTTCGCTTGCTCCTGAGACGGTCTCAGCAGCCCAGTCCTGTCCTCCACCCTTCCGTCTGAACTGTCCCGCTCCTATAGCCACGATCTCCTCCTCGCTGTCACTGTTATCGACCCCCACAAGGAGCACAGGCATTCTGAATCTTCCCCTGCCATCCGAGTTCTCCCACTCCATGCCTCCCTTGATAGGCTCTACGGTAAGCACATCCACCTCCTCATCTTCCTGTTCCAATCTCCGCTTGGTAAGCTCGTCATTTGGCTGGATGTCGAATTCGTCTTCTCGTTCAATGTATTCCACGTTCTCCTCGACTTCAACGAAGTCCGGGGCTAGGGCCGACCACTTCTGCGGGGTCGCAATACTCCACAGATATACCCTGCCCGTGTCCAGACCCACAGCGGCGACAAACGGCTTGAGAGGGTGCCATTCCACAGCCGAGAGCTCCTCTTTTGGACCATCGAGAATTTTAACAAGAGAGCCGTCCGTACGCTCCCACACATAGATGTCGTGGTTCATGTAGGTGCTTGCAGTTACATAGTCTGCGCCACCAGAGGAAAGAGACACGTAGTTCCAACTGAGGCGATTCACCAGATCCTGGTATTTGTGTTCGACTTCCAGCTTGAGATTCTGGAAGTCAAAGTTTGGATCTGCAAAATCCGGCAGCTTGAAGGTGCGAATGATGCGGTCGGATGAGTTGACCACCATGTCCAAGCCGGACTGCGAGAGCCGGATAAGAATGACGATGTTGTTTGTCAGGCGCAAGGAGTACACTGTCTGGCATGTCGCTGTAGAGATGATATTCAACCAACCCTTGTTTGTGCCGGCGAGGATATGGGTGCCAGCTGGGTTGAAGCACGCGACTGTGGTGGTTTGCTTCTTGTCCTGCGCCTCCTGTTTCTCTGTTGCGTTTTCTCTCTCCTCTTTGCTGCGCAACGGTGCAGAAGGCAGTACTTTCTTTACAGCTATTGTGCCAGAGATGTCAACTAGCATAGGCTGCTCCTCGAAGAGTGCGACGACGAAGACGTCGCTGCGCAGGGGATGCAGCTCAGCGATGAAAATGGGCGCCTCAAAGCGCACCGTGTGCTTGCGACTGCCGTCCGCCAAGTCCCACAGGATAACCTTCCAATCCTGAGATGCAGACAGCAGGTATCGGTCGTCGAACGACCAGGAGAGCGATTGGACTTGCGCGGTGTGGCCTTTCAGCTTGCGGGCTATTCCGTTGGTCTCGAGATCGAAGATTGCGATTCCGCCGTCCAATCGGCCAGAGGCCAGGTAGTCGCCTTGGTGAGAGAAGCGAATGCAGGTTGAGTGGCCATTGCCTATACATCGGTCAGCTTCTCAACGGTCCAGGCGTGTTTGCTTGCTCTGCTTTGCTTGTTGACCTGTTGCTGGCTCAGAGACAAGGAGCGACTTACGAAGGCTTCCAGTAAGAGCCTCGGGGCAGTCCTGGGCGAGGACAAACGGGTCGACGAGGGAGAGGTTCATGATGCAGTGTGGTCGATCGTCGATCGGTGCCAAGGGGCTCGAGGCTGCGATCTTCTTCACGTCGCTTTCGCCGTCACCGACAGGGTCATCGTCATCGTGGGAGAACGGGGCACAAGGATCGCGGCGCCAGCTGGAAAGACGACTGCTCGGAGCGAAGAGCCGTCAAAGGAGGGAGGAGTCGAACCAAGTGATCGTCACAGTCGACGCGCACGGCAATGGCAGGTCATAAATTTAGCGCGGACACGCAGACGACCTCGCGCAAAAAGCTGCGGCTCCTCCGCGCTAGTCCCAATCGGCTCATCGCCCTCGTCGGCCCAGCCCAGGCAACGCTGCCAAGGCCCAGAGCGGCCGTCAAAGGAGGCGTTTCGCAACACGAAACTTTGCACACCTTCCATCATCCTCCATCACCACCCCCATCCGCCTCCACCTCCCCTCCAACACAGCCAGAGTCTGCGAGGCCGTACGCAACTCTGTCCATCGCGCGCGCGTCACCCTTTTGGCCTTCTCGCGGGGCGCGCTGCTGCACTTCGCTCGACCACGACGCTTGCCGTGCGCGACCGGCCGTTGCACCAACGACTCATCACCTCGAGTTTGCGTCGCCATTGCTGGAGGGCGACTGCGCGAAGGCTCCGCGGTCATTCACTTTTTGCCCGTCACGCTGTCGACACGGAAAACGACGCGCTGGAGTAGTAGAGTAGACAAGAATAGAACAAGAGGCGAATCGCCCGGTGCGTGTGGCGACGACCCTGTCAGAAAGGGCGTCGAGGTGAGGTTGTGCCTCTTGTCAAGACGACGACGACGACGGTGAAGCGTCGCGAAGGAGTGACCGACCGACCGACTCAGCAGGCGAACGTCGACGAAGTGACCTCGCTTGCTTGCCTGCTGGCTGGCCGACTTCACACACGCGCCGACGACCACTTTCTTTTCCTTCAAAGAGTTCCTTTGCGCCCACGGCCCTTTCTTTCTTTTTCACCGGCTTCCATTGCAAGTAAAGTCTCCGCCATCAGATCAGTGCAGTTCTATTCATCATGGCAAATCTCAACTTCGCGCACTCGAGCGCGCCGCTCAAGACCATCAAGGAGATTCAGTTTGGCCTGTTCTCACCCGAAGAAGTCAAGGAGATGAGCATTGGCCAGATCGTGTATCCGGAGACTATGGTGCGTCTGCTGCCTACTCCCACCGTCGCTTCCCTCTTCTTCGCGCAACTCCAGGCGAAGATGGAATCCCGAAATCCTGATGGCGCAGTTACTGACGATACAACCGCAGGATGACGCGAAGCAGTTCCCACGCAAAGATGGTTTGGGCGACCCGCGTATGGGCTCCATCGATCGTGGCTTCGAGTGCGCGTCGTGCCATGAAAATATGCAAGAGTGTCCCGGCCACTTCGGCCACATTGAGCTTGCCACGCCTGTCTTCCATGTCGGTTTTATCCGACGGATTCAGAAGATTCTGGAGTGCTTCTGCAAGAGCTGTCACAAGCTTCTTGTCGACGAGGTACTACTGCCTGGCTTGCTTGTCTCTTCGCTTGCTAGTGACTAACCGGTGCCTTCATAGAACAATCCGCAGTTCCGTGACGCATTGCGCACGACAAACCCGAAGCGCCGCTTTGACCAGATACATAAGCTGTGCAAGACGAAGAAGATCTGTGAGCCGCCTAGCAATAAGGTCGACCCGCAGGACGAGGAGTTCGGCGGCTCTGTCAAGAAGCAAGTTCCTATCGGCCACGATGGGTGTGGTGCTCCCCAACCGGAGGTGCGTAAAGAGGGCTTGGCCCTGTACTACATCACAAAGCACAGCAAGAAAGATGAGGAAAATGAGGGACGAGAGCCTGACAAGGAGCTGGCGACTCCTGCACACGTCTATGAGCGCTTCGATAAGATCGACAATGCGACTTGGCGAACGCTAGGTATGAACGTCGAGTTTGCGCACCCGAAGTGGATGATTATCAGTAATCTACTCGTGCCTCCACCTCCAGTGCGACCTAGTGTCTCCATGGATGGTACCGGTCAGGGCATGAGAGGCGAGGATGATCTAACGTACAAGCTGGGCGATATCATCCGGGCCAATGCGAATGTCAAACGCTGTCAGGAGGAAGGTTCTCCTGCACACGTCACAAGAGAGTTTGAAACCTTGCTACAGTACCACGTCGCGACGTACATGGACAACAACATCGCAGGTCAGCCTCCGGCGCTTCAAAAGTCGGGACGTCCGCTCAAGACGATTCGCTCGCGCCTCAAGGGCAAGGAAGGACGTCTACGTGGTAACCTGATGGGTAAACGTGTTGATTTCTCCGCGCGAACGGTCATTACTGGCGATCCCAACTTGGATCTTGATCAGGTCGGCGTTCCCAAATCTACGGCATGTATTCTTACCTATCCCGAAACCGTGACACCGTACAACATTCAGAGGCTACATCAGCTGGTTCGAAATGGCTCAGAGCATCCTGGCGCTCGGTACGTGATCCGTGACACAGGCGAGCGAATTGACCTCAAGCATCACAAGCGAGCTGGCGAAATTGCGCTTCAATATGGCTGGAAGGTCGAACGGCATATTGTTGACGATGACTACGTCATCTTCAATCGACAGCCATCCTTGCACAAGGAATCAATGATGGGTCACCGAGTTAAGGTCATGCCTTACTCAACCTTCCGCTTGAACCTGTCCGTGACCTCGCCTTACAACGCTGACTTTGACGGCGACGAAATGAACTTGCACGTCCCGCAGAGCGAAGAGACGCGCGCCGAGGTCAAGGAACTCTGCATGGTCCCTCTCCAGATTGTCTCCCCCCAGCGCAACGGGCCCCTCATGGGTATTGTGCAGGATACCTTGTGCGGCATCTACAAGATCTGCAAGAGAGATGTATTTATTGATAAAGATCAAGTGCAGAACATCCTCATGTGGGTACCTGACTGGGATGGCACGATCCCTACACCTGCCATCCTCAAGCCCAAGCCTCTGTGGACCGGCAAACAAATCATCAGTTTGGCTTTGCCAGAAAGCTTGAACTTGATGAGAGATAATGACCCATTGCCGCCTAAGGATGGTTCGCTACTTGTGTATCAGGGTGAGCTTCTCTATGGGCTTTTTGCCAAGGCTACTGTTGGTGCTAGCGGTGGTGGTGTTGTGCATACAATATATAACCAGGAAGGCTGGCCTGCCGCTGTTAAGTTCTTCAACGCGGCACAGCGCATTGTCTGCTACTGGCTGTTGCATCACGGCTTCAGTATCGGCGTCGGTGATACCATCCCAGACCCCGAGACTGCTGCAAAGATCCAGGAGGCCATTGACGCTCAAAAGGCGGAGGTGGAAAAGGTTGTCAAGAAGGCGACCAAGGACCAACTTGATCCACTCCCGGGTATGAACATCCGAGAGACCTTCGAGAACATGGTGCAGGCTGCACTGAATACCGCGCGTGATAATGCTGGTACTATTGCTACCAAACATTTGAAGGAGTGCAATAACGCCGTTGCCATGGCAAATTCAGGATCTAAAGGCTCTAAGATTAACATTGCGCAGATGTCTGCACTGGTGGGTCAGACCTCAGTTGAAGGCAAGCGTATTGCGTTCGGCTTTCAGTACCGTACTCTTCCGCACTTCACCAAAGACGACTACTCCCCAGAATCACGCGGTTTTGTTGAAAACTCGTATCTTCGTGGCTTGACACCTCACGAATTCTTTTTCCACGCCATGTCTGGTCGTGAAGGTCTTATCGATACTGCTGTCAAGACAGCCGAGACTGGTTACATCCAGCGAAGATTGGTCAAAGCTCTTGAAGACTGCTCGGTCAAATATGATGGTACAGTCCGCAACTCACTCGGCGACATTCTTCAGTTCATCTATGGTGAAGATGGCCTCGATGCCCAGTACATTGAGAAGCAGAAGGTGGATGTTATTAGGTGCTCAGATGAAGTCTTTGACTCGTACGTCCGCGTTGATGTTACAGACGAGACTGGCAGGTTCCAGATCGATGAGCAATTCCTAGAGTGTGCCCGAGAGATCGAGGGTGACGTCGAGGTCCAGCGTTACTTCGACGAGGAGTATGCACAATTGCTTGAGGACCGCAAATTCCTCCGCGGTGACTGCTCGGATGACGAGGAGCAGAAGCAACTTCCGCTCAACATCCTCCGCATCATAGAAAGCGGCAAAGCCAAGTTCAACATCAAACGTGGGGCGCGCAGTGATCTGCATCCTGCTGAAGCAATCCCTCTCGTCAGACAAACTCTCGACAATCTCATGGTGATTCGTGGAGAGGATTCTCTCTCTATTGAAGCGCAGAAGGAAGCTACACTGCTCTTCAAAGCACATCTCCGAACCAAACTCGCGTTCAAACGTCTTGTCATGCAACACGGCCTGAACAAGCTGGCACTGGCAAGTATTCTTGGCGAGCTCGAGAATAGGTTCTTACGTGCTGCTGTCGCTCCTGGCGATATGGTTGGTGTTTTGGCTGCACAGTCCATTGGTGAGCCGGCTACCCAGATGACGCTGAATACCTTCCATTTCGCTGGTGTGGCTTCCAAGAACGTTACTCTCGGTGTGCCTCGTCTGAAGGAAATCTTGAACATTGCAACGAACCTCAAGACACCGTCCATGTATGTGTACCAGGTGGAGGAGAACCGGCGGACTCAGGAAGGTGCGAAGCGTCTGCGTAGCATGGTGGAGCATGCAACTCTGAAGAGCGTCACGGCAATGACGGAGATTCACTACGATCCGGATCCCACCGCTACAGTTATTGAAGAGGACGTCGATCTTGTCGAGTCCTACTTCATTGTGCCTGACGAAAACGAGGACCTCAGCCGCCAGTCGAAGTGGATGCTTCGCATCGTGCTAGACGACAAGAAACTGCTCGACCGTGACATGCGTGTCAGCGATGTGGCGGCCAAGATCAAGGAGCAATTCCAGGCCGATCTAGCTGTCATCTTCTCAGATGATAATGCCGACCTCAAGGTCATTCGTATGCGCATGATCAACAATGACGATACGAAGGATGACGAGGACGAAATGGTAGAGGGCGAGAACGTGTTGAAGAAAGTAGAGATGCACATTCTGGACAATCTTACACTTCGTGGTGTGGAGGGTGTCACGAGGGCTTTCATTGACAAGCGGCAGCGTGTTGTGAAGGAGCCTGATGGCAGTCTTGCGAAGAAGGAGAATCATCCCGATGGCACGGAGTGGTTCCTTAATACTAGCGGCATCAATCTCAAGAAGGTGCTTGAGATTGAGGGCGTGGATCCTTACCGTACGTACTGCAACTCTGTGATGGACATCTTCACCGTGTTCGGTATCGAAGCTGCTCGTGCGGCGCTGGCAAAGGAACTGCACATGGTCCTGTCTTTTGATGGCTCGTACGTCAATCATCGTCACTTGGCTATGCTGGTTGATGTTATGACCTCAAAGGGTTACCTAATGGCCATCACCCGCCACGGCATCAATCGTGAACAAACTGGTGCCCTGATGCGTTGCTCTTTCGAGGAGACAGTCGAGATTTTGCTAGAAGCCGCAGCCCAGGGCGAGATCGATGACTGCAGGGGTATCTCGGAGAACGTCATGTTGGGACAGCTGGCTCCACTTGGAACCGGTGACTTTGATGTCCAGCTTGACTACGCAATGTTGGAGACTGCACATTCAGACAACGCACGCTATGGACTTATGCCAGGAGTGGCTAGTGGTTCAAACTACGTGGATCAGGGTGCAGCCACCCCGTACGATATTGGCTCCCCGTCTCATGAGGGCGCCTTTGGTGGTGGCAATTTCGATTCAGCATTCTCTCCCATTGTGCAGTCTGGAGGTACCGAAGGCGGCGGCTTCCCAAATTTCGGCGGCGGCATCAGTCCGTATGGTCCAGACTATGCCGGTGCCGCGAGCCCGGGTTGGGGTACAAGCCCTGGATACATTGGTGGCACATCGCCAACCAGCCCCAATTACTCCCCTACTTCACCTGGCTACTCGCCTACCAGTCCCGCCTACAATCTCACGTCTCCCGCGTATGGTGGTACATCACCTTCCAGTCCAGCGTATACGCCCACGAGTCCGACATACTCGCCTACCTCACCGGCAATGTCTTACTCTCCAACCAGTCCGTCGTACTCGCCGACATCCCCTGCTTATTCGCCCACGAGCCCGAAGTACTCACCTACATCTCCGGCAATGGGATACTCGCCCACTTCTCCGACATATTCGCCAACAAGTCCACAGTATTCGCCTACATCGCCCAAGGCAACGTCGCCTCGGTACTCACCTACGTCACCGACGTATTCTCCAACCAGTCCCGCATACAACAGCCCGACATCGCCTGTCTACTCACCTACAAGCCCCGCATTTGGAGGTGATAGGAGGAGCCCAACGAGTCCGGTGTACTCTCCCACAAGTCCTGCAATTAGCTACTCCCCGACGAGTCCGAAATATAGTCCGACAAGTCCGGCGATGGCGGGTTCAGGCCAGGGATCAAGCAGTCCCAAGTACTCGCCAACGAGCCCAAGCTATAGTCCAACGTAAGTACCTATTAGTACAAGAATGCTCAAGGGCTATGTAACTAACTGACTGCAGATCGCCAAAATAAGCGGATGAACGAGGTCGAAGCCTGATCAATCTGTTGTAACAACACCGCACAGCACAACGATATTCTTTTACTTCGCAATGCATTTCCCAACATGTCCTTTTGATACCAAAAGATCATTCTATCATCAGCTCACAAAAAAGAACGGAGGGTCTACACAACACAAACTCTGCATTGCTAGCGATTTCCTCTTTTCTGCTCTTACAAGCGCACGCTCAACCAAAAATTGTATCACATTCTATGTTCGGTAACGTCTTTTTGGCCCGCGTAACTCATAATCCGTGGTTCTTCGACTTAAATCTGATATGCATTCATGGCATGGCGTTCTTGGAGGTAATGGGCAGTGCACGCTCAATCCACACACAATCAACAAATTATTCAAGATTTTACGGGTTGGGTCTGGGCACTGGTGGCGTTCTTGCGAGCTGCTGCTTGAATTTTCCTTTTAATTTTGCCCGATGGTCTCAGAATTTGTATTCGTCCGAAGTATATGCCTGTATGCCAGCTTTTTGTTTTGTCTGGCGAATAGACTGAAAACAAGACGGGGAGGAGAGTGGATGGATTGGATCAGATCGGATGGACTAGGGCGAGCTCTTAGCTGAGTTATCGTTGATGCCACCGACTGCTGATGCTGTGAGAAGGGTTGGAGGGTTGATCTCTTAGTCTTAGCAATTGGTCTCCCAGAATGAGATATTCAGAGATCGGAATGAAAAATAAAAAGAAGTACGATGCAAGCAATACTTATAGGCAAATTTTCTCAGTCATATATTCTACTTCCGTTGCTCCTATCGGCGCCGCGCTGCGTGAACGCGGAGCAGCAGTTAACACTTGTTCGTCCTTTGATGAAACAAGGATGTATCGTGAACATTCTTCACGTCGTTCTACGAGCAGAAACACTGTGGTAGATGGATTTGGAGCAGGTCTCATAAGAAGAAAATCATTCATCTGATTGGAACACCGACCGTTTCGTCATTATCCCCCTTCGCCTCCTTCAGCTCAGCCTGTTCGCCGCCTGCAATCTCCTTAGTTGTGGTGGTCTCTGAAGCTGGTGTCTTCCTCAACTTTCCAGCCCTCCCACTCAAAATCCACGGTCGCCTGTGCCAGAAGTCGTTGTTGATCAGATCGCAGTGCTCCATCTTAATGCCAGCCTTCTGTTTGCTCTTCCGTTCCCTCTCCTGGGCCGTCTTGCTCATCTTTGTGACAGTGTCGCTGCCTCCCTGCGCAAGGAACTCTTCCCGTGCAACGGCGTCCTCGGTGTCGCTCACGACGGCCTCGAGTATGTCAGCTGAGCCGTCCAGAGGCGCAGCGAGCTCGTAATCTCGATACAAGACCGTGCCCTTTCGGTAGATGGGCAGCTCGTTGTTGTAGTTGATCCCGTTCCGAAAGAGGATTTCGTTCTTGTCCGCGCTCGTCGTTCCCTGCAAGCGGGCCTCGGCCTCGGTGTTGGACATGGGCTTGCCGCCGGTGCTGGGCTCGCCCTGTGTCACCAGGGACCAGAACGTGGTGTTGTAGAGGTTGTTGATGTGGCAGTCCGCCTGCCGCCACGAGATGTAGTCGCGCAGGTTGCCGACTGTGGGATACAAAACGCAGCGCCCGTCGAACGTAGGCATTGGCGGCGTGAGGGGCCCGAACGACGACTGCAGCCAATATCCGATGTAGTACGCCGTGAAGGTGGACACCACGGTCGAAATCAGCTTTGAAGCGCGCCGGCCAAACAGGTTGGTGTCCTTGTGGAAGACGAAGCTGTACTCGTCGCTGACCCCGTACGCCATGACCAGGTCGGTAAGCTCTTGCATGACCGCTTTGGCGGCGTCGTTCATGAGCCGCAAGGCCTCTGGGTCGTTTGGCTTCTTGAAGTTATACTTCTTCGACAACCTTTCTCGCGATTAGCTGAGGCGAAAATGGGACGGCTCTCCGGGGGGGGGGAAAGGCTACTTGTGGAATCCTCTTCCGTCGATTCTCACGACGATCCAAGTGTTCTTGAGCAGAGCATCGTCTGTCTCAAAGTCGCGAACGTATTCGTACTTGGAGTTCGCCATGACCTCACCGCCAGAGAAGGAGAGCAAAAACAGTTGGCGTTTGGTGGGATCTGATATTGCGACGGAGTCAATATCTTAGGCGTTCAACAAAATTGAGTCACATGTGCTATTGTCACGATTAGAATTTTTTTTTGTCGTTAATTTCTATCGTCCACGCTCTTTTTCTTCAACACCTTCAACGGGTGATTCTAAACGAAGAGTAGATAAGCAACTAAGAATCTGTCCGAGCGAAACCTGAGAAAGTCCAAAAACTTGCTGATATGCAAGGCTACGCGATGTTCGTGTAGGCGAATGAGAGTGGAGGAGGAATGATGTAACTGGGTGCGGCAACCGGTTTCGAGCGGTAGATCGTTCCGCTTCAAGACGCGTTCACTAGCATTTGCATCATGTGCAGATTTCATGCCCGCATTAGAGATTGTGGCAACGACTTGATGGACAACGCGACCCCATCTTACTTTATGTTGGCCTTTCGCTGGATTTCAAAATCAATCAATAGCTGATTAGAATCTCAGGACGTCATCGTGATACAGCGAATTTTATTTGGCCCGTGGAAGCTGAGGCCGTGGGAGCTTCGAAGCTCGAACAGATTCGTACGTGAATCCACATGGACGAGTTTAATGTAAATCGTCAAGCTCCTAAGGAAAGCGAATCGCGCGTGCTGATTTTTATAAGGGATTTGGAAGATGGAACACGTATACCGGGTTAGCAGCGACCATCGAAAGATCGCCCTGGTGACTTAAATCAATGTTTTCTTCGCTCTGGCGGCGGATGAGCTTTTAAACGACAGTCTATGCCGACAGGGTATTGAAACATTTCATTGTATATGCCTCTGTAAGTGCTTTTAACGCCTGTAGAGCCTTGCAGAGAAACAGCCTAGCATGTAGTTTTGTTCTCACACACAAGACTCTACAGCGCTATCTGCTCTTCCTACCATAGCGACACTCTGATATCACCTTGACGGACAAATAAAGTACCGATCTGAGCTCTGGCCTACAAAGTGCTTCCACCTTTGATATTTCACTAGCGAAAAATTCCTTCCCACAGCAGCAGTCCCATCACTCATCGGAACGAAAAGAGTAGTATTGGGCCAGAATTTTGTCATCCAAAGGTCATGCAGAAAGACTATTGACGCTAACAACCACATTGCTTGTATTTGGAGAGGTAGAATTCGCTAACATTTGGACGATAGTCACTCTTACAATCAACAATCATCCATGCGAGAGTATCGGTTAGACATGACTAGGGAATTTTCCGTCTAGAGGTTGGCTGCAAAACTCCTGTACCAAATCTTGCAAAGCGATTGGATATATGCTTTTTGAAACTCTTCTGTTATAAATAGCACTGTGAGCGGTTACTCCGGCGAGCTTTGTCAAGCAATGCAGCGGATTTAGAGCCACTGCGAAGAAAGTCTGCCGCTCAGCAGATCGGCAGGTTGGCCTGTCCATGCAAATGTGAAATCCGATCCTGCAATCACAGCATCAAAAGCTGTCCACGCTTACCAGTCGATTTAGTGTTCCAGGAATGGAAGACGGTAGGTCAATCTATCACGAGTACGGGAACTGTTTCCGTCCATGCGGCTGGAAACGCTGAACAACCTTTCGTCTAAGTTTTTACAGCTCTTGCATTCGCCCAGAAGGGCACTCGACTTTGAAGCAGTTCGAGCATTTCCACGCTTTGAGGAAATATAGTAGTTACAGCACCAAGAGGGTTCAAATCTTTGTCATAAGCAATTGCTGAACAGAAGCTTTTCCCCAGGGGGACAAGCTTTCTCGAGCTTTCAAAGGAACACAGCGGATCTCCTGCAAGTGCGGCGCAACTGCTATCCTCGTCATGGCAAAAACATGCCGGTGCTGAAAGCTGATGTGGACAGCGACCGGAATCTAGACATGCAGGACGAGCGCTCTATGGCGAATGTGCATTCCCCAACGCGCACACTGTGGGTAGCCCTGGTTGGCGGACGCTTGCCGTGATCCAATCAAGTTCGCGATCCGTCCGCCACGATGACAGATTCCTGTTCAGCTCGACCACTTTGGACAGAAGAGAAGCACGGCTGCAAAGCTAAACCAGCTGAAAAAAACTATTCTTGCCAACCGAGAAATGTCGCGTGTGGTGTTCAAGCTCAAGTCTGAGGTTTGTGGGAACTCTAAGACGAATTGATGCTAGCCTACTCGGTTCGCACGCTTTCTTGAACTACGTAGCGAGCGCTATCAGGGCTTGGAATCCATGGCCCTTGGTCACTCTCGCCTGTGAGAACAAGCTAAATCGTCTTGGTTTGCTTCATTTGACCGGGCTGAAGCATGGGTAATATCACGCTCCTTGACCAGCGCAGCACTGGCGGATCAAAATATGGACGAGGAATGATAAGAATATAAATTGGGGCTGTAGTTTTGTTGCACCGGCCATCGTCAAGACCTGGTCTGCATCGCCTCAGCCTTGACCATAGCAGACATCCTGCCGCAGTATCTCCAACCGACTCAATGTCAATTAAAGAGCGAAATGATCATAGTAGCCTTGGGACGGATGCTGCGATTACAGAAAAAACTGGTGCGATTGTGAATGGTCATGAATCAAGCAGCGCTCAGCATGATACAGAGAGTCTTGAAGAAGTGCAATGGAAGCCTGGTGTGAAGGCGAGGTTTCCATGGATTGGGGCGCTAGCCATCTTCACCATCCTACTGTGCATCGCCTCCTGCGGCATCATCCTAGGAACATCGGACGGAAAGTTTCGAAATCAGTGGCCCGCCTACGAAAGATGGAAGTGGGTGAGCAAGTACAAGAAATGGAGAGTAAGAGCACAGATTGAACCACATGTGCTTCTTGCCATAATAAACACCGTCTCCAACCTGTCGCTAGCGATAGCAATCGGCCAGGGCGTTGCCATCGCATGGTGGAGGCGAGTTATGAAAGGCTCTACAGTGGAGGTTGGAGAACAACGAATCTCAATTTCAAGGTTTGAACTGACGTTCACAGAATCTCCATCGCTCATGGGGCTTCGCCACGTCCGTTTTGGAGCTGGTCACAGCGGGCAGGATGTTTAACAAGATCGCTCTGGCCGCGCTTATGGCCAAGCTTGCTCTTGTCGACAACGTGCTTCTTCAGAGAGCCGCTCAAACTCAACCTGGCATGTTCTACCAGAAGGGTGTCGAGATATCTCTCCCAATTCAGCGGGAGCTTCCAGTAGGGTATGCCGGATTCGCAACCGAGGACGGCAAGACTGGTGCTCTGACGTGGGCTTTTGGGTACGTCCTTGAGCTCTTCTGGACTTCCTAGACTGACAGCAGACCTAAAGGGAAGATATATTGGAATATCTGAGCAACCCTAACGTGATCAATCTCGACGATATATACAACCACAGCATCTTGGCCAATGGTATAAAGGTAGATGGATACAATACTCGGTGTGAGGGATTTTGCTTTGGAATGTTCCAGGGCTTTGGTTTCTCTTTCGATTGTAGTGATGAAGTCTTCACAGCAGACTATCAAGTCACCCCCGAGACCGCCAGATCCGGTGGCAACACGTCACAATTGCTGAAGGACAATCCACTCCTCTTCGTAGACCCACGCTTTGTTCCCCTTGGCGAGACACCGTATGAGATATACGACAACGAGTCGGGAATACCTAGCGACTACCAGAACAAGACTGTGGATACAGCCAGCATCGGACTATGGGTCAAATTCTCGAACTTGACGGCTTCAGAAAATGATCAAACAGATTGTTTCGGACAAACGACGAGTTACTACTGCATACTGACTCCTGCTATAGTTCAATACCCCATGAACATTAGGAACTTCAGCTCGGACTCGGGGCTTTCAGCAAGCAATGGAATGGAGCTTGTGAGAAACCCGTACATCAACTATTCCGCCGACCCAAGATACGACTACCAGGACAACTCGGGATACCTGGTCAATGGGCAGTTTGACGGGATGACGGTGATTGGCCCAGCATATCAGCCGTACAATGACTCGGTCAACTCCAATCTCCAAGCCATTGCAGACTTCCTCAAATCCGACGTCAGCGCCCAAGTCGTCATGCAGTACGTTCCGCAGAACGCGACGGCGGGCGTGTACGCACCAAACTACAAAGCGAACGTGAACGCCAGCTCCTTGTTCGGTCAGTGGGAGATTTCCTTTGACCCCGGCGAAAGCTGCAGCATCGACGTGTCCGACCCGTTGTACGACATTGCCTGGGAGGTCAACCACATGATGCTGCGTTCGAGCTTGCGCGCCGCGGTCGCGTACAAGTACGTTCAGGACGGTACGGTCAACAGCGGCGCGGTGCAGAACTTCACGACGTCGATGGGAGTCCCCGATGTGTACTACTCGACCAACTGGTGGTACGGTGGCGCGGCCATGATCATCACGTTCATCTGCGTTCTTTGCGTGCTGCCGTCCTACTGGAAGTTCTGGGAGCTGGGTCGAAAGGTTACGCTGGGGCCGATTGAGGTTGCTGGAGCCTTCCAAGCACCGGCCCTGGACCACCCCGCTGTCGCCACGCACGGCGAAGCCAACGTGTTTGTTGATGTGATTGGGGATCGCCGCGTACAATACGGCATGATCGACGGAGAGCAAAGGCTGGGCGTTGCTGGTCCTTCACAAGTCAGATCGCTGGCGCGTGGAGCTTTATCGTAGTACGTGATTAGGAAACGACAGCGAGCCTCCTTGCACCAAACGACCACGCCAAAGTTCATTTTAAACCACACGTGCCATTCCAAGCGTTGATGAAACACAGCTTTGAAGCGAATGTGACCTATCAAAACGAAAATACTGAATCTGTGCCGTGAGAGGTTCGTCGGGTCGGGTTTGACAATTTTGCATGTCTGCAACGGACTCGGGTTGCTTAGTTCGTGACAGGCGTGCAAGCGACGATACCAACGAAATGATCCCGAACAGACGAAACGAATCCAAATGTTCGATTTGAGGCGAAAATGCTTCTTCCTGCACGCATCGGAGCCTGACAGGGAAAAGGAGTAAGTCTAAATTAGAGACTGGGGAAAAGGATTTGATGTGGGTAATGAGATAGCGTTAACTGAAGTCGAAATTAACAGATGTGAATGCTACACAAATGACACACAGAAGCATCACAGCTACGACGTACGCCTTTGCTATATCGCTTCCCTGACAAAAATGAGAAGAGTCTTTGCGTATGAACATGCCGAATCCTTAACCGAACGTCCGATCCCTGACTGGCCCTTTGCAGAACTGAAATTAATACCATACCCATGCTCAAACTGCCTCAGCGTAGCAAGCAAACGTCTATCAATGTGCTTGCCATGTATCCCTCGATACCTTAGGTCATTACGTTATTTCTTCGGCGGGTACTTCTTGTAAAGAAAACTATCGGGCTATTAGACTGGAACCTGGCAGTAAAAATTGTTAATTTACCTTGTTGCCCAATAATCGACTCCAGCGAACAAGCCCACGACGCCGGCCCAAACACCTGCAGTCTTCCAGTCCAAATCTCCGCTGGAGTACTTCTTGTACGCTCCAATACCTAGCACTGTCCCGAGCACACCCACGAGCACAGCGTTGCCAAAGAACACAGGGTTGTTCTGCACGTTCTTGCTGCCCTTGCTGAGCTTGCTCTGTGCCTTAGATTTAGCCTTCTTCGCCTCCGTCTCAGCCTTCATCTTTGCGTCCTCGGCTTCGCGTTCTAAGCGGGCAGCTTGCGTATCCGTCTTCACAGCCTGAGACTCGTAGTCTGACGGTACGGAGGAGACGTGTGGAGAGTCGACATCGATGAGGGAAGATGTGGATGTGACCTCGGAGTGTACTATCTCTGGCATAGGGGGTGCGCGACTGCGAGATTTGTCGTTAGTCTTTGACAGATCACCGTCACAAGGATAGCGGCAAGTTGATCAAGCTTCATTTCAGCGGAATGTTGGAGCGCTGTGAGTCCAGATTGCGCTGACTTTGGGAGCTTCAATGCGTCCAGCAATATTCGCCCGTGCAGAATAGGCAACATGATGAAACTCTGCCCGCACATTGCTTGCCCATGTACACGCGCATTCTTGGTGACGCCACGACGGCCAGGATGGTCTGCTCGAGATATAACTTACGCCTGCAACGGAGGTTAGAAATGGTTCAAACAATAACATCAAAGCTGGTGAGCCTGCTTACCTCTTCAGGACTTTGGTGGGCGTTCTTCGCCGCGACATCTGCGTACGACATGTTTGCTGCTAGTGACGTTTCACCTGGGTAATCTAGAAGGATGGAAGGCTTCGAAGGTTCGGCGAAATATATAGGACTGGGATGAGGCCACTAAAGCAGATGACGGGAGAGGCTGATGATGATCGTGTGATGGGGGATGCGTTCAGGAACAAGACGTGGGAGGTGTGGGAAGTTAAAAGTGTCTGGCACATGCCTTGACCCGGGTCTGCTGCTGCCAAGATGCCTGGAAGCTGCTTGCGATGGCATGACATCATGTGGCTTGTGCTCAGCCCAAACGTGGCTGGAGCTTGGGATTTTTGAATCACGGCCGGGTAAAGTCGGATCCGAATCACGTGGTTCGTCCTTGGGCTTGAACAAGTTACGGAACTACTGCGACGTCCGTAACACGAAGTGGGATAAACAAGTTCACCAACGTGACGCTTACAAGTCCCTTGGAAATTTCACACTGGGGTACTTAGGTAGTTCGAATCTAGACGGTTCCGAGCTCTAGAAAAAGACGCTGATCTATGGACTTGTTCTCTGATTTCAACTATGATAATACATCTTTGGAGCAGAGTATTTCGACAAACACAAGAACAGACTGTTCATGCTGCAAATGCTACGCGCCGGCTGACTAGGACAGGCGCGACAATGGAGCTATGGTACAAGATGTCTATGCCTCGCTCTTCGACCCAGATGAAGCGTCTGTGGCATCATGCGCGGCCTTTGGCACGAGGTCTGCGCTCTCGCTGATCGGCTCGACTTTTGCGCTTACTTCGGGACGGATCGCTTTGTTGGCCGCCTTGTCTGCATTGCCTTCAGCGTTTTCCTGGGCAGTTTCCGTGCTTATCGGAGAGGTGACTGCGTCAGAGCTGCCAGAAGCCTCTGCAGACGCATCTCTCGCAAGTGCAGGCGCGACATCCTCTTCACCAGGAGCGTCCTCCTCCTCGTCATCTTCCAGTTCCGCACCGTAAATGTCAGGGTGTGCTCTGAAGCAATCTTGCATGCCTTTGAATTTGTCTATGCAGTCCACACCCTTGGGCTCTTCCTTGCTGTACACGAAGCAGGAGAAGGCAGCTTTGAATTCCTCGCCACATGGGCCATGTGCCATCCCACCAAGGCAAGGGCAATCCCAGTTGATTTCTCCAGTCTCTTCATTGAATGCGCCTTGTTGAGAGGCCTCAGCCTCTAGATCTTCTGCTCCTTCCGATGGAGTTGGAAGTGCCTCGCCTTCTACCATCTCAGGCGTGCTCGTCGTCTGACTTGTCTCAAGAGGGGCCTTTGATTTCTTGGCGTATGATTCCAGAGTTGGAAGAGCTTCGGTCTCTGATGTTACAGCGGGAGGGTATTGTGCGTCTGAAAAATGCTCGTTAGTCTGGGTGCGAGAGCTAACGAAAATATGGACCACTTACACTGATCCACCACATCCTCCGCAAAGACGTTGCTCGTGTTATAGTAATACACAATCGCACCTGCAAGACCCCATCTTATGGCGCTGTTTTTCCAACTCCGTGGTTTATCCGCCGCTGTGCTTGCCCATCTTCTCGCCGGTAACCGTCTAGCTGTAAAGGTAGTGGTAGTATTACAAGCCGTTCGAACGGCAGCGCGCGCAACAGGTCTGAACATGGCGAAACGAAAAGAAAGTCGAGCAAAAGAAAGAGGGGATGGCGAATGTTATCTTGACATTGGCAAGCTTGATGCGCCGAATGGAATGAGGGCAGGAAGCAGACGACAATCGATGATGCTGGTGTAGCGTTCGAATACCTTTTGTCATCAAGGAATTTGTTCGTCCGTCCTTTGTCGCAGGGCAACTTTAAGCGACGCAAACCGTTCCTGAGCCATGTCCGAAAGAGGCAATGCTGCAAGTCGCCCTCAAAGCGTTCCACCCATCACGAGTTAAACTCGCGTGAAGCGCTGGCTGAAGGTTTTAAATGCTCTCTTAACTGGCCATTCGCTTTTGTCCGGCATTTATTCATATTTTTGATGTCTTGATTTCCTTAATCTGTCTGATGCGTTCCCGTTCGCATTCAAACTCAACCACGTGTTTCAACCTCATGAACCAGAACATAGTCTCACCTTTCTCGAGGACCTGGCAGGCTTTCCTGACTCAGTTTCTGCTAATGATATTTGCATGTTAGGAAAACGCAGGAACATAAGAGAAAGGGGACAAACTACGGATGCTCGGCTAGTGTTTGTCATACTCATTGCCGAGCATGATGAAAAGGCGCGTGGCTTTCAACTTCAAAGTAGAAAAATTTCTGTTTCAACCAAATTTGTATTTTGCTGTTGCACTGTGTTTATTGTGGTTTCACTTCTTGCCCCTCCGACTCCAAGTATTTCTTGTCATTTTCCAGATGCGCGGCAACGTGCTTGCTTCTTTGACTCTCATCGATACTCTTGACTGATAAAGCTGATACAATAGCAACACAACCAAATGCAATAGCCACTAGATAAATAAGAGAATATGCTTTGATATGAGCCTCCTTAACGGCAAGTTGAGTTGCGGCGATAGTTTGATTGCTGATACCGGGAACGGCCTTGTAAGCCGCCGCCGTGTTCGCAGTAGCTGCCTTCAGTAGTGCCGTCATGGATCCACGGAAGCCAGATGATAAAGCAGCAGATTGCACATATCCAGGTAAGATACTAGTGAACTTCGAAGTCTGAATGGATGTGTAGATCGCCGTCGCTATCGCACCACCGATGAGACGAAACGTCGAGATCAAACCAACCGCGACACCACTGCATTACGTTAGTGATTTCTGATAACCCAAAGCAATTTGAATGCTCACATATCATTCTGATCCTTTAAATGCAAACTGACCATTCCAAACGACAGGGGTGATGGAGGCAGGTTAACAGCCTGGATTAGAATGACTGTAGCAATAGCTTGTGCCTTATCACCAATGCCGACCGAAGACATGGATCCGAGGAACGCAGTCTCTATGCAAAAGAGAATGACGAGCTGTGTCTTCTCGTGTTTGACCCAGGGCATGATCAGGAGACAATAATATCCAGCCACAACGTTCCCGTATGCGATCAGACTAGCGTACACGCCTCGCAGAATTGTATCCGATGTATTGATAAATAGAAGCGTCGACTGAGACGGCCAGATGACGCTTAGAGAGTAATACATCATGCCAGCGACAAAGCAAAGTACAAGGTAAGCTGTGAACTCGCTCCATCGTTTGAAGAGATGAGGAGGCAGGATTGGATATTTCAGTGAGACGAAAGACTCCCAGAATCCCAAGGCTATGAAGCAGATACCTCCGACAATGATTGTGGCGATGACGTGGGCAGAATCCCATTTATACAGACCACCCCCCCTTATGAAAAGAATTAATACAAATACTTGAATGCCACAGTATGATGATGACTTACCAGTTTAGGCCAAGGAGTATGAACAGACAGCCGGCAGTGAAAAGCAAGAGTCCGATGTAATCAAGTTCTTTAAGTAACTGCCATTTAGTCTTGTGATCATCCTTATGTTTCGTTTCGAAGGTAGGAGGATGATAGCAAAAGAAGAGGAGGACGGCTGCAAATGCTTCCCAAGCAAAGCACCACCAATAGACGGATCGCCATCGCGGTTTGGTGTAGGCTATGAAAGCATAGCCAATTAGAATCGACATAGAGCTTACATGATTTGCAAAAATCATGATTCCAAGCGTGCGGAAGCGGTATTTGTTAGGCACCAGCTCTTTCAGTGTATTAACATCCGCAGATCAAAATATGGTATAGACTACTAACCTTGAGCACATGCGAAGCACATCTCTTGAAACCCTCCACCAAGACCAAATATGATGCCGCTGACAATGCTTTGTGTTATGGATTGAGAAGTGGCTCCAATCAACGCACCAATAGCGCCCGATACAGCACCGATAATGAGAAACCATCTTCGCCCAGCAATGTCACTAAGACGACTACCCACAGTGACGATGATAGCTGCCCCAAGATTCCACGCAATAGCGATCCACGGGTATCTAGTATCTGGACCAAGATCCGCATTGATATACGCAAGAAGTGAAGCGGGCATCAATTGGGTGAACAGGTACGATTCATACATGACAATAAGCGTCTGTTCCTTGGTCAGCTGTCGTCGTTAATTGGAATGCTTGGAGATTTACAAAGATGGCCAGCTTGGTTTTGAAGGTTACTTTCCCATCTTCTGATTCCAAGGCTCTTTCAGCATCTGTCCCACCTTCGTATTCATTTTCGATGGTGCTGGCATTTGCAATCTTTCGCTCAGTCATTTTTTCATCACTTGGCTCCATGATTTAAGTATGCTCTTTAAGAACTCATGGGCTTTGGCTGGAAGGGAAAAGACGTTGATTGCCTCACGAAATCGTCGACGCCATGGCTTGGCTAAGACGATTTTCAACGAGGATACAAATTATATTTTCCCACGCTCTCACGCGAAGTGCGGGCATACTGCGGAGTCCTTTAACCCAAGAGTCGGAAAACATGCATACGAGGTTGTCCAAGTGGTTCTTAGCATTGTCGATCATGAAAACATGGGTTCCACCTTCGACATCCTCCACGCGAGGCACTAATGAATCAGCATGCTAAAGTGATGACTTTGGAGCACACCGCTGAGAAAAAGCTGCCAAATCCAGTGATCAACGCCAAAACTTGAGCTTCCCGCTTTGCCGTGATATCCGTGCCTGTCGCGAAATTTAATTTAGCTCTTGACGATGTGATGAATCTCGAAGCTGAGGCCACCACTCATGCAAAGGCATGTTTAAAGCTTCGGCGATGACTCTACAATTTTCTCAAAAGGGTTCTGTAATATATTCAACCTCAATGTTGAAGCATTATGTCGCATTTTAGTACCAAGAGGAGGCCAATCCGAATCGGTGGGGCCAGTGGAGGCTTCACGGATAGAGTCGCCGCCATACGGAGGCTCGCAAGCGACCCAGAAGTCGATGCAGTCGTAGGAGATTGGCTTTCCGAAAATGTTATGACCGGCTACGGTGCGGGAAAAGAGCGAAGCAAGCACATTCGAACGGACTCAAAGGATCTGCCACTGAATGAGAGAAAGAAGACGGCCCAGTACGCGAGTACCTTTCTGCAATGCTTCGAGCCTGCCATTCCCGATTTGATAAAGAATAAGACGAAGTTGGTCGTCAATGCCGGTGCTAGCGATACTGAACTGCTTGCTGAAGTAGTTCTAGATATGGTTCACAAGCATGGCTTCGAAACAAAGGTTGCATGGGTGGAAGGTGACGATGTGACAGAACCATTCAAGGCCATGCTTTCAAACGGTACAGTCTTTAAAAGTGTCACTGATGGGAAGACTTATCAGGAGTGGGGATTTGAAGCTATTTGTGCTCAGGCATACCTTGGTAGCTGGGGCATCGTGGAGGCCCTGCGTCAAGGTGCCGATATCGTGATCTGCGGTCGGTTAGTAATAATTTTGCTTTCAAAATGCTGAGCAAGCTGAAATTAAAGCAGTGTGTCTGACGCTGGTCCAACTATCGGGCTGTCGGCTTGGTGGCATAACTGGAACACCACAGACTTTGATCAGTTGGCGGGTGCTCTGATTGCAGGCCACTTGATCGAATGCTCAGCATTCGTGACCGGAGGCTACTACTCTCGATTCAAGGATCTGATGAAAGCCAAAAGGCACCTCAATCTAGGATTTCCGATCGCCGAGGTACATGACAACGGCGAATGTATCATCGTCAAAGAAAAGAATACAAACGGAGTCGTCAATATCGAAACAGTAACGTCACAGCTGGTTTACGAGATATCTGGACCACTGTACTTCAATTCTGACGTCGTCGCTGATCTCCACAACATCGACTTGGAAGAAATTAGCACGGGTGTGCATGTACGTGGTGTACGAGGACTTCCTCCGCCTCCGACTACGCGATGCGGTATCACTGCACATGGTGGTTTTCAAGCAGAATGGTACGGATCTATTAGACATTGAGACTTGTTGTCATACTCACACTGCCTAGGCACTTTTATCTGGTTGGTCTTGATATTGAGGAAAAGTGCCAGTGGATGGAAGAGCAAGCGCGGTACGCCATTGGAGACGATCTCATCAGCAAGTTTGATCTTTTGAAGTTCCACGTTCACGGCACTTCTCCTGTAAATCCTCGCAACCAGGAGCTGGCAACTGTGGATTTCAGAATCTTCGCTCAAGCGCAGGACATGCATTTATTCGATGGAAGCGATCCCAATGGGTTCAGCCGCAAACTTTACGAGACAGTGCTACAATCTTGTCCGGTAAGTCGACTTTTGGAAGAGTTCGTGCCAAACCACTCTGACATAGCAAGGGTGTCTCACGGAGCAACGATCTCCGACAGTCGACAGCAAAGCCGTATTGGGAGTACTTCGTAACCTTGATATCTCAGGCGGCGTGCAACCACCGAGTTCATTTTCTCTTTGGGGACAATTGCATCACAGATATCCCGCCGCCAAAAACTACTCGCGATTACGGTCCTCAAGAGTCCTATGAAACTCGCGACCCGGTAGATTTGAGTAGTTATGGGGAAACAGAAGACGCTCCACTTGGCCACATAGTTCTCGGACGTTCGGGAGACAAAGCTTCGGATGCGAACGTAGGATTCTTTGTCTCCGACTCTGAGCAGTGGGACTGGCTTAGAACATTTCTGACCGTTGATAAAATCAAAGAGCTTTTGGGCCCTGATGAGTATAGCGGAGGCAGAATCGACAGATTTGAAATGAAGAATTTGAGAGTAGTTCATTTCTTACTGAAAGATCATTTAGATCGAGGCTACAACTCTGGATCGAAGTTGGACACGCTAGCTAAGAATTTGTGCGAGTATCTGCGGGCAAAGGTAGTGCCGATACCAAAGAAATTTCTGCTGAATGGTAGAATATGATCCATTCTAAAATTAAAAAAAAGCTCGGAATTCGTGTTCCGGGATTTTGTGCTACTTATGATCTCATCTTACTCTGCGTCTGGTTTCGATTTACTCTCACGCACATTCCTGTCACGGACCCTGAAACGAAATACGCAGAGGCTATTCCCAGTCTATATCAACATGACATTTCAACAGCAGTTTGCGGGCAAAACTATCGCATTGACAGGAGCTGCTTCTGGCATCGGTCTCGCCACAGCACATTTACTAGCTAGCAGAGGAGCAGATCTTTCACTGGCTGACCTTAATAGAGATGCACTAGAGAAGGTCAAAGTTGATATTGAATCTCAGCACAAAACGAAGGTGCTAACATTCGGATTGGACGTTCGAAAATATGAACAGGTGAACCATTGGATTGATTCGACAGTGAAAGAACTAGGAAAGCTTGATGGCGCGGCGAATCTGGCTGGCGTGATTCCAAAATCAATAGGGAAAGGGCTTCTTGTTGATCAAGATCTGGATGACTTTGACTTCGTCATGGATGTAAACCTGAAGGGAGTGCTTCACTGTATGAAGGCGCAGCTCAAAGTCTTGTCACAAGACACCGCCATCGTCAATGCAGCCAGCATCGCAGCAGTCATGGGCCGCGACAAGAATTCAAGCTATTCGGCAAGCAAACATGCGGTGCTTGGCCTGACGAGAAGTGCTGCTAAAGAGGTCGGGGTGAAGGGCATTCGCGTCAACGCAATCTGTCCGGGACGGATTGATACGCCCATGGCAAGAAACGCTGCAGCAACTGCGACCGGTGGCACTGCGGCACCTCCGCCAAGCAATACTGGATTCCAGGGTAATTTCGATTTCATCGCGTTGCGAAGGGAAGGCCGAGCAGAAGAGGTAGCAAAGTTGATCGCTTTCTTACTTAGTGACGAGTCTTCGTACATTTCTGGCCAAGGTATCTCCATCGACGGGGGTTGGTTTTGTTAGCTCTGAGAAGTGCCCAGCTTTGACATGCAATTAAAATCTTCGGGAAATGTCTCAGAAATGTCTTAATTCACCCTCTCTACAGCTTCGATGGTTTTTGTTGCTTTCTAGCAGCTGGCAGATCCCGTCTCATCAATTTCCCTGTAGCATTCTTTGGAAGAGATTCGAGATGAAAAAGACCTCCTCGTAATTTCTTGTGAGGAGATACTCGCTCTTCCACGTAATTTTTGATGTCTTGTAAAAGTTGCCCCCGATCTTTCTCCGGTACGTCTCTCGTGAAATTTACGTAGCCTACGGGTACTTCCGTTTCCAGACGCTCGTCCCATATGCCACACACTCCGGCTTCATTGACATCTTCATGAGAAAGCAAGACGGACTCTAGTTCTGCTGGAGGAACTTGGTTACCCTTGTACTTGATAAGCTCTTTCTTACGACCCGTAAGCCAGAAGAAACCATCTGAATCGACCTTGAGCATGTCTCCTGTGCACAGCCAGCCATCTCGGAAAGCTTCTCTTGTTGCTTCTTCGTTATTGATATAACCCATAAAGATTGTGGGACCTTTGACAAGGCACTCTCCTTGCTCACCCGGCATGACGTCGTTGTAGTCATCATCAACGATACGAACCTGGTGCCCAGCTTGCGGCTTGCCCACACTTCCAGGTTTTTCAGCTGATCTACACTCTTTGAGCGAAGATATTGTACCCTCACTCATTCCATACCCATTCAAGACTACGACGCCGTTAAGCTGCTTGGCCAGTCCTTGGGCCACTTCGTCGGGAAGAGAGGCGCCCGCCACAAATACTGAATGTATGGAGGTGAGATCCATCTTCCTTGCCGCTGGATCTTTGAGTAATTGTATCGCAGTAGCGGGAACTAGTCTTGCAATGGTAGCTCGGACCTCTGCACATTTCTTCAAGTACGACGTGAATTCAAACTTCTTCATTGCGATCACGTGCTGTCCAGTGTAAGCAGGACCCATAAGCGCAATCGCTATGCCATAGATATGCGGAAATGGAGGGAAGAATATCTCGATTTGTTGCCAGTTGCTTAGCGATGGGGACGTGATGCGGAGTGTTGTTGCGTAAGCGATTAAATTGTGGTGACTGAGAAGGACTCCCTTTGGTTTCCCAGATGTACCTGAAGAGAAACACATGGCGGCAGGTACATTCCTGTTGTCTCGAAATGTAAGATCAAATGGCGGCCGACCAGACGAAAATGCCATGATATCGCGTGGGAACACAGGGTGACCATAGGACCTGGTAGAAGTGCCATCTTCTATGATCAAAACCTTTGGTTTCTCCTGGAGTTTAGTACTCATTTTCAACGCATCTTGGACTTTCCCATAGAGGCTGGCATCAACTGCGATTGCTTTTGGTTCCGAAATTTCAAAATAGTGAACCAGCTCGTGGCTTGTCGCAACAGCATTGATGCCACTATTTGAAACCAAATCAGTGGGCAATTCGCACGTTATGTGTGAAACTTACGCAAATACTGCGCCAGCCCACATTATTGAATGCGCAAGCAAGATCCAGTTGACCGAATTTAGGCCAATCATGCACACGACATCGCCTTCTTTCAAGCCGAGGATATTTGCAAGGCCTGTTGCGCCTAGACCAGGCTTCGTTCTCACTCCCTCGAAGGTTATTGTTCGAGCAGCGTCGTCAAAGTCACTTCTGCTCTAAAGTTCAGAATTCATGTCACTTGGGGAATCTTCATCCTTCACACGTACATTATGATTTTGTTCCCAGGCACCTCATCTGGATTGTATTTGGCAAGAAATTGTGCAACAGAAACATTGGTTGGTACCCAATTTGGTCCATAGCTTGATTCATAAATACGTTGAGGATTTGCCATATTGAATTTCGAGCCCAGTAGACTCAAAACGAGACCAAAAGGTTAGAAACTTTGGAAGTCGTAGACAGCCACGTGACTAATAGAAAGTTAGGAAAAGTTCTATGGCCGTCAAATGCCTTCTGAGCAAGCTGGAAATGTACCTAAGCTCCTTCATCTATAAAAGTGAACGGACATGGAGTCATTACCGGTGTAGTCAGTGAGGAGTAGGTCGGCTAATGAAGTCCGCACATCCTGATTGGGCAAAATGCACACTGCGTGTTTTTAGACGAAGCTTATCAATTGAGCGTTGCAATGACTTCACAGATACCTAGATAATGGGAAATAGGCTTTACTATTTCTATACCTTTTTGACTTATTGGACGGAGTCGTACATTACTATTGGTCAAGCACATTGCGCTCTTTCTGGAATCACTATAACAGCCATAGCTTCCGAGAACAGTACATTTCTTTTTTAAATTTTCCCACACATCCTAATTCAGCTTGAAATTATGCTGCCTATAAGACTCAAATCGAAGCCTAATATTTGAGCTTAAAACTGAGCCCAACAGCACAACAGCGGCTTGCAAACAAGAACGTCGATGCAGCAATAAAGCTCGAAGCAGCCCACATCTGAGCATAGAGATATAAACCATGGTCAGCTTGTACAAGGCCACCACCTAACGGCGACCCAGTCAAGCTCGCAATCCCAGCTATTGCGAAACCCATTCCCATTCTTGCACCTCTTTTCTGCAAATCCGGTGTTAGTGATGCAAGACAGGCAGGAAATAAACTCTGAATTCCGGCACAAAAGAATCCAAAGAAGGTACCGAAGGCCCATAGTCCAGGTACATCGTGGACAGCTGCCCAACAAAATGTAACAATACCGCTGATCAAAGACGAGAGTGTCATGGTAGTAATAGGGCCAAGAGATCGGTCCGCGATAACATTGGGAATAAGACGTCCAATCACACTGACCCCATTCATGCCAAGTAGTAGTGAGATAGACGCGGAGTAGCTGGTGTGAAGGATCTTGCGAGAGTACGAGCCGATCTTTTCAATGTCAGAACAAAGTCAAAATATGTTGCCTCAAGCGTTCTTACATATATGAAGGGGAAGTACACTCCCCAGAAGTTGAGAAACATTGCCATGCAAAACAATGCGAATGGGGGCTCTTTGAGAGCTGTCCACTCGACCAATGGTCCAGATTTCCTCGCTGCCACTCTAGGCTTTAGTGTGATCCCAGCGAATATCCCTAGCGTGGCAATGACCAATCCTAGGGCTCTAACGGTCCATCCATATCCAATCTTAGGCAGAAGCTGCTGTACCATTGCCGGCATTACCAGTCCTCCAAAAGCAGCTCCAACAGCAGTGAGCCCTATAGCAAGCGAGCGATTCTTGTCAAAGTATGTGCTCACCAGACTCATTGTCGGAACGAACTGCAGTCCATTTCCTAGGCCTTGACAGACGCCTTGTGCCAGCAGCAGCTGCCAATATTTTGAAGCCAAGCTTGTCATAAAGACTCCCAGAAGCTGTGCAAACAATCCGGCCCAAAAGACTAGACGAAAATATCCAGCATCAGTCGCACGTCCTGAGAAAGGTCCCACGAAAAACAAGAGGAAGATCTGTATACTACCAATCCAAGAAATCGTAGATGGGCTCTCAGATAGCGAAGTGACGTAGTATGTCTGGAACACTCCAAATGTTTGAATGTATCCCCACGAATTGAAAATCACGCAGAGTCCGGCGACTGCGATGAGCCATGCTCGGAGTCCGCCATCAGGTGGAGGACCAGGATCAACATAAGAGGAAGCAGAGCGCCCTGTTATTACCCGTTGTAGAACGGAAGATGTTATCGGAACGGGAGTGGTTGCGTCGAGCTCCGGCGTTTCTATGTCTTCTGATATAGTTCCACTTGCTTCTGAAATGTGCTTCTCCCCATTAACGTCTTGTTCAACGTCATCGCTTTTGTTTTGGGGGTCTTTGACTGACATCCGGCTATGCAAAGATGGCACGCTCATATTGAGTGAGTGGAGTGTGTGTTCGCAACATGATGATTTGCGTAAGAAAACGGTGACTCCTTCGGCGATCGATTTACCGACAACGGCAAAACATACGCTAGTAACATTTATGACGATCCTAAATGCGAGGGTTGACTGCAAGCGAAGAGTGAAAGCGGAGATCTCTCGGTCAGTGTACCGGGTACAATTGAAAAGCGGAACAAATCCGCGCCGCACTTAATACTAATGTGGGCAACCTCGCGCGGGGTCATCAACTATGGATAATTTTATATCCCCTTTCGCTAATGTAAGTGATGTTTGCAGCATGAGAATAACGCAATGTCATATCACGAAAAGTTTAGGCTCTGAGTGTATCTCGATTCGAGGATTGCGGTCTTTCTCTCGGGGGAAACGTTAAATATCGCGTAATCATAGCGTCCATAACACTTTGTTTCAGTCACCATACAAGCAGATTCCTCCTGACGAATGTTACCATTTCCAACCAAAAGAAAGACAATCAATATCCTCCGCATTTCACTGCTCTTATGACTTGCATCTGCACCCAAGGAAAGTGAGCCTTCCAATTGCTTCGAGTTCGTCTTGGGATTCCAATCGATAGAACGCTGTTCACAGCTTCAACAGCAACCTTATAAGTCCTCTTTCCGATTCATGATATCCATCTTGCTGTTGAAGATCTAAAGGTGCATGAGAATTTAGGGATTGTGGACTGATAGTGGCTATTCGAAGCCGTCAAATCTCCCACAATGTACTTTTGAATACCTACAAAGATCAACAGAGCTTTAAGGAAGCGCACTCGCGTCCTAAAAGGCCCATAATTATACAGCGAAGTAACAATTTGTTCAGGGTGGCGGGTGCTGCCTTTCAAAAGGGCCAAGTCGCCCTTTGATCGTCAGCAACATCTTCTTGGGAAGGCTTGTTAACATTGTGTTCATGTTATATGGCCTCCTGTAGTATTAAGAACCCTCGAGGCCGGAATTGAAAGTCGGTTTTTTTGGGTACCTTTAATTACCCCCCACAAATGTCTCGATCAGCTGCTTCAGCCAATTCGGGAAACCTTTTGCGAAAAGGCTCCCCAAGAGACCAGTTTTTCAACTGCCGGATGTGCTCCTCGTAGATTGGGTTTGTAATCACAACGTTCGAAGAGCTGTTCACTGATATCAGGACGTGGGAAGGATCATATTCCCAGCGAATAAAAAAACTTGAGCTGTAGACAACAGCAAGGTCTTCTAAAGTGATCTCTGGATGATCGATCAAGCAGTCTCTCATTCCCGGCCAAGGCATGCGATCGATCCAAGCTGGGTGCGGCTTTGTCAGCTGTGCTTGCGTCGGACGCAGCCATTCCGGCATATGATTCCAACTCGGTTCGTCAAGCATGACTTGCCATCTGAGAAAAGTGACCATAACATATGCTACAGCAACTTGATTGGGAAGAGTTTCGATCGCCGAATAGCTACGGATGACATCGCTCACGAGGTTGCTGATGTCGTCATCGGCGCGAACCTCTTTGTCTATAAGTGCACAGAAATTTGGCCTCGGGGGATAGTTTGGTGCTTGTAAGCTGTCTGTAGTGGCAGGACTTGGCGCATTACTAGCCAGTTGTGTTCTTTTCCGGGTAACAGCATCTTGCAGAATCGAATCGCTAAGACTGATTGGCGGGCAGTTATTTGGTGGAAGTTTCCAAATAGGAATGTTGAGAGTGCCCGAATTCTTTCGCTTCGGATCTCCAAGGAGGCTCAACCGCAGCGCTGCGTTTTGGACACGTAGGTGTTCGTTCTCCGACTCCAGATATTGCATTCGTTGTTTGACCTGATTCGCATGTTCTGTTTGCTCTTTCAATGCTTTGGTCAGAACGTGGACCTGTTCCGTCAGATTCTGCAGTGTCCACTTTGCTCTGTCCCGCATAGCCTGCTGGGATTTGCGGTCACGAGCACGTTTACGCTCTAGATCGATTTCACGCTTGGAGCTTGCATCAGGAGACGTCAAACTGACGCTCGCCCGAGACGCCATGACGAGAACGTGAAACCGTCGACTGAGGAAGCACTGGGAAGGGATGGGAGACGATGATTCAGAGTTGCGGAGGATGAAATCAGTAGTTCTCCAGCGAAACGCCCAAATTGTGGAGAAGCTTCAGAAGCTCCGGGATGCATCTTCCGGTTGGCGTAAAACTAAATCTGGGGTAGCATGAAAGCGGGAAAATAAGCGTCCGGGGTTTTGGATCACGTGGGAGAAAGGGGTGGGGCATAAGTTGGATTATCACATATGTTTAGAATGATTGAATCAACACCAGGTGCAACTCTCAAAACCAACCGAGACAATTTATGTATACTGACAGCTACTAAGTCGATTATAGTAAGTTACGTCGACTGGACAAAATCTGCGTCACGACCTGTAAACATCACCCTTATGCGACATCCTTCGGCTCTTTCATTGGTGTCTTGCCGCTGTGCATCTTCCTCTCCACTTTATCTGTCAGGTGCTCTCGCGCATCTCGGGACAACAGACTACCTACGATTGCAATAGCTCCAAAACCCAAGCTAGCGAGATAAACAGTTTTGAATGCTTCTGCATACGCCATTGGCGTATCCGCTGCCACAGCCGCCAAAATTTTGGGTGTGATCCCAGGGAACTTGGCTACTGTGCCAGCTCTGATAGCCGCTGCAAGTGCGGAGACCTGACCTTTTGGGAGGCCGGCTGCGACAACACCCTGTTCGATTCTTGCCGGAATAGTTGTATCGAGTCTGTTCGTCAAGATTGTTGAGTATACAGCCACGGCAATTGAGCCGCCAGCGGACCGAATCGACGCAAGCAGTCCCGATGCGAGTCCAATATCAGATGCTTTGCAAAACAACGGCGCCAAGGCCAGAGATGCGAGTTCAATGAATCCCACAAAAAACGGACCTAGTATGGTCAACGCGACACCAGTATTCTTGTCCGCCGGGGCGAGTGATGCCAAAGCGCCAACAAACCCGACCATGCCGCACGCAGAGAAGATCAACCAATATCGAACATTGCCGCCCCATTTGATTATGGCTCCGGCGCAAATTTGACCCAGCGCCGTTGAACTCCCTACGGTGCACGACAGCCAGCCAGCGTAGTTCTTATCTGTTGTGAACATGGCGCTGACTTGCTGCGGCCAAAGTAGCACCGCTGAATAGTAGAACATACTGCCAAACTCGTTAGCTACGTCTAATATTAACCGTCAATCTGCATACCTGGCAACTGTAGCCTGTGCCACCAAGGACATAAAAGGAAGATTGGTGAAGAACTTCACCGGAATTGCAGGATAGGTCAATGTCATCAGACCTTCCCAGGTGAACAATATAGCAAGTAAAACGAAGCCAATGATGATCGAAGAGATAACTGCGGCGCTCTTCCATGGATAGATGGTACCCCCCCAACTGATTCCCATCAGGAAAATGGTGAGTCCTGCAGTCCAAAGGAAAATTCCAAGGTAGTCGAGCTGCTTGAGCAGCTGTCGCTTAGTCTTTCTCTCGTGAAGCAGCTCAAAGTTAGGCGGCCTATAGAAGAGAAAGAGCAAAAGTGCTGCGAGTCCGACTGCAATTATGTTGATGTAGTAGCACCATCGCCACCCGAGACCACTCGAGACGATATGGCGTGCCATGATTGGTCCAAACGCAGCGAATGGAGCGTTGCTTAGAAAGATGAAGGACAATATCATGGGACGATACTTGTTGGGCACGAGCTCGCCGAGCGCCACATTGAAGGACAACTGGACAGTCTCGCCAATACCGTAAACTGCGCTTCCAACGATCAAAGTGTCGATGTTTTTCGCGGTTGCACATACGATGATGCCAACGAGAGCGACCAGATTACCTCCGATGAAGAACCAACGTCGACCAAACAGATCACTCAGGCGTCCCAGGATGGTGTATGTGAAAGACAAAGCTAACGTTCGTGCAATATTGACCCAAGACAGGTATGGACTAGGTCCTAAGGTTCAAATGTCAATCAATTTGATATCTAGCAAGACAGGCACCAACATACCGATATCTGCATTGATTGTAGTCAAAATGCTAGTTGGCATCAATAAAAATATATATGCTGAAATAGCCGAGAGAGCGAAGCCAATAACTGTCCCTATGAACTGAAGCGAGTAGAAGTAGCCGCTTGGTAATTCATCCCCAAGGGCTTCCGATCTAATGGAAGATGCATCATCTGAGCTTTTTTCTCGCCTTGTGAACTCAACGTCAATGTGAGAGGATGTAGTCTCAATCTGGATCCGATCTGGCTTATCTGCCATCATGAATAAAGACAGTGCACAAATGTGCAAAGTGCAAACGTTTGAATATGATGTGAAGTTTGAGGGTAAGAAGGTTTAACAGTCTCAGATATCCTGGGTTCGATCATGATGTACGGCGATCATCTTATACAGGCATGCTCAACCGGCACTTAAGGGGTATAGGCGAGTTGTTCGTGGAGAACCAACCCCAGACGGAGAAGCGCCTCTGCGGGGGAAGCCCTTGGCTGGTGTGAATCTAACTTGGCGCATCAGGCGACTACTCCTTGGCTGTGACTTGCAGTACATCCCGCGATGATTCATTATCTGTGCTGCATCAGCCTCACGATAATCTGTGGCTTACTGCACATCTTGCCTGTTCCTGAACGGTAGTTCATTTTGCTCACGACATGAATAATGTCCTCAGATGCGAGATCATCAGCGTCACCGCTCTTTTTGATTGTCGGTACAATAGCGGAAAATCGGGCGAGCGGCAAGATGGTTCTAGAACATAATAATGATCTAAAATGGCCATGATCATAAACAAAGCTCACCATTTCTGCATATATCTGTCTGCAGCTGCTAGACCGATAAGCCACTTGCAATGAATCAGCTATGGATATTTGAGGTTCTATGTATATCAATGGAGACTATCCGATTCATTACGCAGATTTTACTGTTTCATGCAGGATGAGCAGATCCGAACATCCTCGGTGTCTTGCAACTCTTGAAATGAATCAATAACTTTTTTTTATAGTGTAGGAGCCATCAAGGCATGTAAGACAATATCAATGACACCGCACTGGCCATATAAAAGTATTATTGATAGAGAGTAATGATTTGTTACTGAGAGATCCATTTTCGCGCGCCCTATTTCTTATTGTAGGGTGCTCTGTCGACATGTAAATTTAGATTCCTCAAAAAATTCAATTCCTGGGTTAGTACAAAGTGCGAAATCACAATCTGCTGCCTTTCCATTGAGGTTCTCTTTTCTCTGCGAATGCTCTAAGACCCTCCAAAATATTTTCACCGCGCTGGAGCTCAGCGAACTCTCTTTCCAGAGTTATCTGAACAGCCCGTTCCACGGCAGCAGATTCCCAGCCTTGCCTCAACCCAGCGCGTGTGCATATTATAGCATCTGGGCTGTTCTTCGCAATCATCTCCGCATATTTGACAGCTTCTGCCACCACTTGATCCTTGGGCACGATTTTGTTGACTATGCCCCATTCCTTGAACTCTTGAGCTGTGGCGTTTCGTCCAGTCATAGCAAATTCTGAAGCCCGTTGCAAACCGATCGTTCTGATAAGCCTGGGTAGAGCACCTCCGATGGGAGAGACGCCGCGTTTCACCTCAGGAAGCGAGAAATATGCATCTTCTGCAGCAATCACGAGATCGCAATTGATAACAAACTCGCATCCTCCACCTGCTGCCAACCCATTCACTGCCGCTATAACGGGCTTTTTCCCCAGACGCCTACTCAAAGGCGTAAACGCAGGAGCGTTTCCCATCCGATTTCTGGGATCTGCATCATCGGCCATCGAATTGTTCCACTCTTTCAAGTCAGCTCCTGCGGAGAAAGCGCGCCCAGTTCCCGTGATGATAGCAACTGAAAGAGTTGGTTCCAAGTCGAACCACTTCCAAACACTATCCATCTCCCATTGACCCGCAGTTGACATAGCATTGAGAGCTTTTGGTCTGTTCATTCTGACCAAAAGGACCCGAGGAGCTGGGTATGACAGCTCTAGAAAAGTGGGTGTGGCTGGCGCTGGAGTTTCTGTCGGAGCCATGGTCTTTGGTTTCGAGATTGAATTCCGCTGTCCGAAGTCACAAAGATCCCAGAGTTGAGTCTTGGAATGTCATCGAGGGAGTTATAGTAGGCTTTGCGGTGATGTCTTGTGGTTGTACGTGCTCAATCGCGCAAACTGTATCTGAGCCATGCTCGAAGTAGAATATGCGACCTTCGGGAAATGATCGAAGATATGATTCATTGCTGATTCATTGTTTTCCCTCGTGCGAAATGTTTTAGCCTGGACCAGTCGGATTCTCCAACGACCAGCCATATGGCTGTAGTTTTCCGGGACCCGATGCGGGGTTACCCGGCGCTAACCAGGATTCACTTCCCTAAACGAGCGGCGCGAAATGCCAACCATCGTCACTTGTTTGATTGAGATCCGAGATTGCCAGGTCAAACTTTTCACCCCTATTAGTGGTTTGCCTCTGAGGGTTTGAGTTCGGACAGGTGACCGCAAATTGGATTTTACGTTTTGGAAATGGTTGCGAGTTCATGTGAAACTAGACTCGTACAACTTCAAATTATTTCATCTGTCACGAAGAGGGACACCTGTCGTAGTCTTGACGGAAATGAAAAGACCTATTAGGATTGGTAACGCCTCTGGAGCTATTGGGGATGGCATAGATCAAATTTATCATCTCGCAAAATCAGGGAACGTGGATGCCATAACGGCCGACTACTTAGCAGAATTCAACATCGCATGGAGGGCAATTGACCTGCAAAGCAACCCCGAATCTGGATACGAACCAAATTTCATAGAACAATTGGCCTGGGAAAATGGAGATGCAGCACGATTGATCGCAAGAAAAGGGATAAAGGTCGTACACGATGGTGGTGCTCTCAATCCCGAAGGCCTGGCAAAGAAGACCGACGAATACTTCAAAAGCTTAGGAATTCATGATGTAAAAATCAGTTGGGTCCAAGGAGACAATCTCACGAATGAGCTTAGAAATGGAAATTTGGGGGAGCTTAGGCACCTCGACCGACAAGACCTTGTGCTCACAGAGACGGAAGGCCAGGTTCTCGCCGCGAACGCGTACACCGGTATGTCAGGCATCGTCAAGGCATTAGTAGATGGGGCGCAGATAGTCATTTGCGGACGATGCACCGATGCAAGTCCTGTCATGGGCCTTGCTACGTGGTGGCACGATTGGAAGTTCAACGAGTATGATAAGCTTGCGGCAAGTCTGATGGCTGGTCACTTGATTGAGTGTGGTGCCTACGTCACCGGGGGCAACTTTTGTGGTGCGTCAGAGATCGAAAGTCTGTACGGCGTTGGGTATCCCATTGCAGAGATATCAGAAGATGGGTCGGTGGTGATCACGAAGCCAGACGGCTCAACAGGCGCAGTAACCATTGACACATGCAAAGCGCAGATACTATACGAGATACAAGGCCATATCTACTTGAACCCGGATGTAGTGGCAGATATTGAAAACGTTCAACTAGATCAGGTGGGCAAAGACAGAGTCAGACTAAGCGGCGTGAAAGGGACCCCACCTCCTCCAACTACAAAACTTGCAGTCTGCTTGCTAGGTGGCTATCAAGCTGAAATTTCCGGTTTTGCAGCGGGACTGGATGTCGAGTTCAAGTTCAATCTGTTCAAAAGTCAAGTCATGTCGAGGTTGTGTGAATCAGATTTCACCGTCGTCAGCATCGAGAAGTACGGATCCGCGAAGGCCAACCCGAGCTCGCAGCGGGAATCCACCGTACAATTCAGATGCTTTGTACAAGCGCCAAGGAAAGAGGCCATGCTTCAATTCAAGCGTGCTCTGTTCTACAACGGAATGCAAGGCTACTGTGGATTGCATTTGTCTATGGATTGGAGAACAATGGATCCAAGACCATATGTGCGATACTTCCCCGCCCTCATTGAGCAAAAAAAGGTTCATTTGAAGGTTTTTTCGGTGAATAGTTCCACGTATAGTGCGGTCTCACCAAGGGCAGAAATATCTTATCGACCGTCACCACCGCAAAGGATTTATGAGCCATTGGTCAACATCAAAGCCCTGCGCGGACTTGGTGAGACAGTTTCTGTTCCACTAGGAGACCTGGTCTTCGCTAGAAGTGGCGACAAAGGAGGAAACGCTAATGTGGGTTTCTGGGTGCGTTCGCCAGCGGCGTGGTCATGGCTGCGTTCATTTCTGACCACGTCGAAGCTCATTGAGCTTCTAGCAGATGATTGGGACCCATCTTATGTGGTCGAGCGTTGTGAATTTGTGAACCTGATGGCTGTCCACTTCGTTGTAAAGGGTATTTTACAAGACGGTGTAAGCAGCAGTAGTATAATCGATGGTTTCGCGAAGAGTTTTGGAGAGTTTCTACGCGCGCGCCACGTCGACGCTCCGAAAACTCTTGTGGATGCAGAAACGGTACGAAGGCGAGCATTAGCGACCCAAAAACTAGGCTCAAGATTGTAATTTAGTGATTTCGGACACTAAAAATTCATATGCCTATTTTACCTCTTATATTGTTTGTGTTGCTTTTATGCTGATTATAGCTGGGATGACACAGGGCTATCTCATAGAGTCGTTTAGTTCTAACGCAGTGCCGGAACCAGGCCGGCTGTCGGACCGGCGTGGTTCACGACGGGCCAGCCTTGTTCCCCCCCCCACCGTATCTACATCCGAGCTGAACGTGGAGTCTGTGGCATATAATTTGGGGTTCTGCCCTTGCAAGTGGGTTTCTTGAGCTATCTTCAGCATCTCACCATGGCAAGCAGCGACAGACCCGTGAAGCGCGCTGACGGCCGATATGACAACGTAGACTTCACAAAAGCAACTGGTTATAGATATCCGCCTGTCAAATGCAGCTGGAATCGAAGAGAAACTCTTCTATTTGTATGTACTCAATTTTCCTTAGCTTTGCAATGCACTGACTGTTTTCTCTTTCAGGCTAATGCCATTGGCTGTCAAGCTGATGAGAGGCACTTCTTGTACGAACTGCATCCGAACTTTGCTATTTTCCCAACATTTCCGGTAAACCTGCATTGGAAACAAACAGATTTCGACGTGTACGACTTTTTTGCCCGAGGCACGACGTCGGATGTTCCAGGTGTGCCACCATTCGACGGCCAGCGCTCTGTGGACGGTGAGCGTTCCATTGAGATTTTGAAGCAGCTGCCCGTGAGCTCTGAAGGCTATGACTTTGAAATTCACAATAAGGTCATAGGTGTGTATGATAAGGGTGGTGCGATGATCCTGGAGGCCGAGTCTGAGATGATTGACATGAAAACCAATACCGTCTATGTCAAGATTGCATCAACAGCATTCGGTATCGGCCAAGGTGGTTATGGTGGACCCCGAGGTCCTTCAAAACCAAGTCCGAAGATTCCAAATAGATCACCTGACGCCACTCATGTCTTTAAGACGACTGCTGAAACACCACTCTTGTATCGACTCTGTGGCGACTGTAGTAAGTTTGGAACCTATGTCCAGGGCAAAGAACATTGCTGACCTTCTCATTAGAGTACCTTATGTCTGCAATTGAGCCAATACTACCAATAAGCTAACAAAATTAGACAATCCAATGCATGCCGATGAAGACTTCGGAAGAAAGGCCGGCTTTAAAGGCTCCATCAACCACGGACTTTTGACTTGGAACATTGCTGCTAGAGGTCTTTTGAGGGTGGTTGGCAATTCCGATCCAAAACGATTCAAAGCATTTGGTGCGAGATTCAAGAGTGTCGTATACCCTGGTGATGAATTGGAAACGAGAATTTGGAAAGTTGGAAGCAAAGATGGCTGTGATGAGTATTTATTTGAGACTATTGTCAAGGGAGACGGAAGAGTGGCACTTTCGAACGGCTTTGCGAAGATCAAGCAGGAGGGTGCAAAACTTTAGCACTCCAAGTGACATAATTGCGATATTACATCTAAACACAGCTACGCCGAAGACGCTGAATGCTTGTACATAATAATCTCGAGGACGTTCTAGAGATAGCTGGGAAGCCACTTGGGATCCCGCTTTTCTCTATATGCTTTCAATCCCTCTTCCGCGTTCTTGCTCTTGAGCATAGCTTCTGCCCACAATTCCTCGCCTCTCTTTGTTGCTCGAATCACACCGGTTTCCCAAGCTTCCCTCGCGCCCATTCGAGAGAGAATAACACTATCTGGACTCAGTGACGCAATCTCAGACGCGTAATCTAGTGCTCTTTGAAGCAACTTCTCTTGTGGTACGATTTCTTTCACCAAGCCCCATTGAACAGCCTCTTTGGCCGACAGCACACGACCAGTCAACGCGAGATCCATCGTTCTGTGATTGCCAAAGAGCACCATACATCTCGGCAGGGCGCCTGCGAAAGCAACTACCCCTCGAAGCACTTCGGGTAGTCTAAAATCAGCATTCGGAGAGGCGAATATAACATCGGAATTCAAAACAATCTCGAATCCACCACCTGCAAGGTAGTAAGCGTCAATAGACTTCAATTTGGATGAGGAGCAATACCATGCGCATGACCGTTACATGCAACTATGATTGGTTTCTTCCCAGTCCTGTTGCTCATGCCTCCAAATCCGCCACTCGGATACTCGAAGGCGACATTATTTGTCTTGATGATATCCAGTCTCTGTTTGAGGTCCATGCCGGCACAAAAGGCCTTTTTACCCGCACCTGTAAAAACAGCACAACGCAGCTCAGGTTCCGCGTCGTACCACTTCCATAGCATACCAAGCTCAATTGTAGCCTCTACCGGCAGGCAATTCATATACTTTGGTCTATTGATGGTGACCAGCAGTACGTGCTTCCTGGGAAATTCCACAATGACATTTTCAACATGAGGATATGGGTTCTCTATCCAATCAGGTACCGGATTCTTCGTTCTTGGTGCGGACATTGCGCTCGTAGGATATCTCAATAGTAAAACCTTCAAAGCAAGCACTCAAAGGAGAACTGTTCTCTGTTTTCTTTGGGAGCTTGGATCTCAGTCGCATGCATTCTCATCGCAGACGAAGTAGCACGGATCAGAAACCTAGACTCATTCGTCATTCCGACATTTCATCCGAAAATTTTCCCGGGTTTTGTCGTTTGGATGAAGATAGGCATTGCCGTGGAACGCTGATCCACCGATAAACGACGGTGCTGACGATTTACCCCAGGTAGCTGTCAGTGTGGGGAGAGAGGCTAATGATTCATCGCTCGGATGGAGCACAAGCTGGGGAGGCTAGCTCTCCGGTAGAACGGATCGCGGCAAGTTGCACAGAACATGAATCAGTTTTTAAAGAATTAAAATACATAAATATTCGTTTCAAATTTAGCTCGGGGATCGTCGGTTGAATTATCAGGTGCGGGGAGATGTAGTGGAAGTGTATGAAAATCCTCGTGAAACTACGAGGAGCCACCCAGATTAATCAGGCACGATGACAATATATCGATCGAAGACAATTCTGATCCCTCAGGACCAGAACTTGACGGAGCTCCTCCATTCATCAGCATATCCAGAGCTACCGGAATCACACATAATATGCGGTGATAACTTGACGAACAGAAGCATCACGATTGGCGAGCTTAGAAACCGCGCGGGCAGAATAGCAAATGGGTTGAAGAAGGCGTTACGACCAAAAGATCAAACCAGATGGGCTATCATACTGCCCAACAGCGTTGAATTTCTCGAAATATCGCATGCTGTACTCTGGACCGGCGGTGTCATATGTCCTATAAACCATGCTCTAAAGGCAAGTGAGATCGGGCATGGTCTTGCAGTATCCCGTCCAGAATATGTCATTGTCTACGGACTAGTCTTGTCGGCCGTTCAGGAGGCTATTAAGATTGCAGGAGCAGAGCTGAAGAAGCAAGGAGTAAGATGGAAGAAGCCCCAGCTCATAACAACGATTGTTCGAGCAGGATGGCACGCGCATATCCCGGACGATTTCTTCGCACATGATGTTCTCACCATTCCACATCACAACGACACTTCGATTCGATTAGCCTCGATTCATTTGAGCTCTGGGACAACGGGGAAACCCAAGGGCGTTGAACTCACGCATTACAATTATGTGTCCAATTGCTACCAACTGTTCGATCACGACCCAGCTGTATACAATCCACGGAGCAAAACTGTTGCATACACACCTTGGGTGCATATCGGTGCTACGACAGTCCCTCTTTTTGTAGGACCATGGACGGGAATGTTTCATCACGCCATGCCAGCGTACAATCCTGAAAAGTTTGGTTCGCTTGTCGGTTCTATTCAAGCAACGATGTTTTCTGGAGTACCGTCTGTGGTAATTAGCATGGCTAACGGGGAAATGACTTCAAAATATGACTTCTCGAGAGCTCAGGTCATAAACGTTGGTGGAGCGCCATTCAAGAAAGAGATGGTGAAGAAACTATACTCCAGAGCACCTTGGAAACTAAACCAGGTTTACGGAATGACAGAGGCGGCTGGGTATGTTGCATATCAGAGGTTGAACGAAGAACCGCCAGAAGGATTTATAGGGAGCTTTCTTCCCAACATCGAAGCTCGCCTCATCAAGGAAGGCACGTGCGAAGATGTTGAAGTAGGAGGACCAGGAGAGCTGTGGATACGAGGACCCAATATCACCAGAGGCTATGCTTTCAATGAGGAGGCCAACTTAAGGGCCTTTCCTGAAAAGGGCTGGTATAATACTGGTAAGTTCATAGAACAACGAAATGTTTTGAATCTACGGCGGCGCTTACTCTAGCAAGGTGATGTTTGTGTGATAGACTCAGAAGGGCGAGTGGGTGTTGTTGGAAGGACAAAAGATCTTATCAAGTATAAGGGATTTCAAGTGTCGCCAGTCGAGCTAGAGAGCTACGTTAACTCACACCCTGATGTTCTCGAAGCAGGCGTCGGCGCTATATGGGACGAAAGTCAACTGACGGAGTTGCCAGCTGCGTGGGTTATTTTGAAGCCCCACGTTGGCGGAACAAACGCTATAAAAGCGGCCCTTGTGAATATCCAAAAAGCCATTGACGGACAGGTCTCAGGCTATAAAAAATTAAGAGGAGGCGTATGGTCGGTTCAGAGCTTGCCCAAAAACGCGACAGGCAAGATTTTGAGAAAGGAAATGGTGACTATGCGAGATGGTCCCTGCTCATTGGATCAACATATTCGTTCCAGACTTTAACTTCTTGGTTTGAGATCCATTAGCACAATTCCAAAGGCGATGAAATGATTCGTTTGGATCTTTGTGTCGTGCTCAAAAAATTCTTTCACAAGATTTGTCAATTGATCAAATTTTCCATACTCAAAGAATGTCTGATAAACCAAATTTTTCTCGGTACCTTTGCAGTGTTTAATTATTTAATCTTTGTGAACATCTTGAGAACCATGCCCTGGCTCTTGTGATTCATGTGATCAACGCAATCTACGTAGTGTCGTCCAGAATACCTACTCCACGCGAACAAGTTAGATCATCTTTATATGTAACGCTCACTTGTCGATAGTCCTCTCAGGAACGAGGATTCCATGAACATATTTCGAATTTCTCATGTATCTGTCCCTAAGTGTGGGAAAGAATAAACAGATTGCAGGCCGCATTGTGAACTTTAAATGTATACGTGCTTTGAGTGTCATCGTGTTGCTATTATCTCTAGCATACGTGCGAAGCTTATTGGTTCACAGAACTTGTAAGATTCTATGCTCTGTTGATTGTGCGTCAGCCTGAGCTTTCTATCGGTGCAAAAAGCCTCCAACTTTCTGGAGAAGATTATGCTCCAAACTTATCCTCCAGTCTTTCGTGTCTCGTATTGTTGCCTGCACGCCGCTGTTTTCCTTGACATGCACATCCCACAGATACTCCTTGCTCTCGTAGACCTCAAACGTATGCAGCGTGTCAGGTCTGTCTTTGGCGGCCATGACGCCATAAGAAAACGTGCCAGATTCAGACTTGGTCTCCTGAAATACCCTGTTCCAATAGGGAATCGACGCATCCCGCTTTCCTGGATGCCACTCGATCGTTGCAAACACAACGTATGGCTCATTCACTTTCGAGATCTCGGGTTTGGAGAAGAACATTCCATCTACGTAGTCAAGCTGTCGGATCAGCGGTTCTGTAGCCAGAATGTTTCCCGAGCCAATCCATTTTATCATGTCTTGTACAGGCGGTGAAGCCATGTGCGTATCAAAGGCGGCTTTAGTAGCGTACCTTAGTTATACATCATCAGCATATGGGTCTCCATGTCTAGAATTGGAAGTGAAACTTGACATACTCCTCAAGCACCCAACATGTCTTGTCATCGGCCTCGTCGCGTGGTACAAAAATTGCATATTGAGAAACTTCGGGCTCGCTTTTCAATGCGTAATCCGAAAGCGCTATCAGATGTTGTACATACTAGCTTGCGTTAATTCAATGTGACAGCTAGACATTGATTGGGATCTTGACCTCGTCGCGAATGGCTTTGGATGTTGTTGATAGCTTGCCGATCACAACTGGTGCCATATTGTACACTTTGAGTTTGTTCTTTCAAAGCTAACTCGTTTATTTCCTCCCTTTCCTTGTTGAAAACAATCACACACGGCACATGTCAAGGCCTGCTGGGAAGCTGATTCAATCTAGTGGAAGCTGAATTCTTAATATAAACATACAACAAAAGCATGATTGCTCTGCGCTTTAAGAAACAGACCAATCTTGGCTCCAATTCGGAAAATCAAGTCCAGCGATATCGAAGACCCTGGATCCCCACTGTCGTAATCAGACCAATGATTCATTGAGCCCCGCGTTCTGATGGACATATGCATTTGCTACTAACCACGTCCTTCTCGAGTTTTAATTCCTGATATCCCAAGTCAGACGGCCTCAACACAATATTTACGCTTTCATCAGAGCGATCAAAGTTCAGAACAAATGAACTGCACGTCTTTGATTCCAACCAGTCATCTAGCAATGCCCTGAAGCATTGCCCGAATCAATTTGTCGCTGGAACACCGGCAATGACAAGATACAAGGCAACGGTGGGAGTTGATGTATCACCATGTTTTCCTTCCTTCACAAAAGCCTCAGGAGCAATTGAACACGATGAGCCAAAACCTGGTCGCTGAAGAATTCCAAAACAGTATTCAAAGCAGTGGCCTGGATATGATTACTTCGAATTGTTCCAAATGCATATGTTTATCATCGCAAATGTGCGACGAGTCCACGATTTGGGACTAAATCAAGACATGATTAATAACCGCTGTTCAGATGCAAGTGAAAAGCACTGGATTCTCTCAGTCTGGCATGATCCATTTATAACGCACAGCAGTAGCTTTTGACACAATGGGATACTCTATGAGAGTGATGGAATTCCCGGAGATGGTCAATTTGCGAATTCACCTGCTCTGGAAACCAGATTGGCCTTTTCCCAGAAGCTATTCAAAATGTCGCTCCAAGTGCAAAACTACCAATGTCGATTTCTGTTTTTCTGGTGTGTATTTGTGTCAAGAAAATGCTGTCACAGTCGCGTCTTCGCACTCCCATGATTGCGAGAACTAGGGTCCAACAGCTAGTTTTATGCACGTCGAAGGGAAGAGCAATGCTCCGCGAAAAAAGCCATACGCAGGGCACAGAAACACCTGCTTTAGACCGGCTGCCTTGATGAAAGAGAACACGGCTTCCAGATTGAAACAAGGTCATTCAACCATATATCACACATTCAGCGGGAGACATTGTACGCTTCTGGACCTGCTGATTTGCCTGCCTACACATGCGTCAGCCATCATATATGAGGGTGCAGCTGTGCTTCATACAACCCTCTCAATCTATACGTGTCCCTGACCTCTTCAGACTTGTTCCACTTTGACTAGGGATCGGCATATTCTCGCGCATTTCAAAATATGTGAATCATATGACAAATCCGTGCTCTTACCCTATCACTGCAGTCCTTGTTCATCTATCGAACGATAATTCATCATCGCTTCGCTCTTCCGGTTCCATGACTCTCTCGATGAGCTGAAGGGTTGCTCTCAGAGGTAGTCCCACGACGTTGTCAAATGTACCTTCGATTCTTTCCACCAGAATGGAGCCCGTTCCTTGTATGCCATAGCCTCCAGCCTTGTCAGCACCTTCTCTTGTCTTGACATAGGCAAGAAGCAGCTCGTCAGACACAGTCCTGTCAAACCTGACCGTCGTCTCCTCCACGTGTGTTTCGAGCGCGTAGCCGGGGTCTTTGGCGCTCTCCAAAGGAGACATGCAAGCGACGGCAGTGTACACCTTGTGTTCCCCGGTGTCTCTCAGCATCGTGAGCATTTGAATGTGTTCTGCCTCGCTCCTGGGCTTCTCCAGAATGTCGCCAAAATGGCTGACGACGATGGTGTCGGCAGCGATGATGAGCGCCGGCTCACCCTTTTCAGTATTGTCTATCTCGCGCTTGTACACATCTATGGCCTTCTGAGTTGCGGTCTCGAGCACGTATTCCATCGCAGAAAGGCCACTCTTTTCGAGGTCTTCCGCGAAGCCGGAGGGGATGATTTCGAGCTTGGTGAGACCAATCTTCGAGACGAGTTCACATCAGCATTGTCCATCTAATATACACAGAAGGCCCCACCTGCGCAAGAAGCTGCCTCCTTCTAGGTGATTGCGAAGCCAGTATGACTCGTTTGCCTCTAATAGCATTCAACGCTGGTAGATCCAGCGGAGGCGGCGGTCGCGGTGGGCCACGCGGCCTAGTTGGGCTGGGAGGAGCAGCATTCGCGGCGGCCTCGTACGATGGAGGCGGTTCATTCGGTACTGCAGATGGCCCTGAGCCGTCTGCTCTCTTCTCGGACATTCTTGATATTTTTGTAGTCCACAGAGCGTAGGCGTTTCAAGCTAGCAAAACGTCACCACGCAAGCTAACTAGTGGAAGAGCTCCCCCCGATGTCGCTTGCGCTTGCTTAGAACTAACTTGTTTACCACACCTTATCTCGGTCCTTTCTCGATATTAACATTGGCACGGTCTGCAACTCGAATTGAAGATTGCGGATCCGTAAACGCCATTTCTAGAACTCTTCTAGAACACGCCTGCTGATTACAAATGTCTTTTTTGGCCAATGCGTCCATACACAGGAATTGTTGCTCCACCTTTGCTCTATGCCGAGGCACTTTTCCACCAGCTAGTTTGTATTAACACTTTTTTTTCTTAAGGCCCGGACGAAAAAAACCAAGCTACCAATACCAAACCTTCCATGTTTTGTGCGTTCATATACCATGTAGCTTAGAAATGTTCTGCCGTCGTGTCGTGCGCTGGCCTATCCAGAGACCCACGCAGCCGTCATATGCCCTAGTCCGTTCGCCGTCATGAGAAAATGATGCAACTGCAGCACCTATAAAACATGCGTTTCCTTTTGGACCTTCATACGCTTTCTCTTTGTCTCCTCGTCTCACATGATATATACTTGTTACCTAGATTTCCACTCCAAAGTTTCGCTCATCCTTTCTCTACTTGTCTAACTGAACCCCCCTTGATACGCCACCATGGTTCAGAACAAAGGCCTTATCTTTAAGAACGTACCCTCTGGCTGGCCTGTCCCAGGCAAGGACCTTGCCATTGAAGCTCGCGAGATCGACTTGAATCAAGATCCACCGAAAAATGGATTGATAATCAAGAACTATTATGTCTCCTTCGACCCGTACCAGCGTGGTCGGATGCGAGCTCCAGAAACCAAGAGCTACGCCCCGCCTTTCGAGCTGGGCAAGCCTATCACGAATCGCGCCATCTCAAAGGTGATCAAGTCGGACGTGGATCGATTCAAGCCCGGCGACGTCATCGTCACGATGGATAGCGCCGGGACGGAGGAATATACGCTTCTGCCGGAAGGGCCGACGAGCAGAGCCATGAAGCTGGAGAACCCGTACAACCTGGACCCGCGAATTTTCCTTGGCGCACTCGGCATGCCTGGTCTGACTGCGTGGTCTTCGTTCTACGACATCGGGCAGCCGAAGAAGGGAGAAACCATCTTCATTTCCGCAGCAAGCGGCGCCGTGGGCCAACTTGTCGGTCAGCTGGCCAAGCACGAGGGCCTCAAAGTCATCGGCTCGGTGGGCTCGGACGACAAACTGGACTTCATTTTGAAAGAGCTGAAGTTCGATGCTGGCTTCAACTACAAGAAAGAAGCGCCCAAGGACGCTCTGCCTAGGCTCGCGCCAGAGGGCATCGACATCTACTACGAGAACGTCGGAGGCGAGACCCTCGAAGCCGCAATCACAAATATGAACAACTTTGGTAGAATAGGTACGTGCGCCGTGGCCACTGTCTCCTGTGATTGACAAACGTGACTAACCGTGATTTCGTGAACCAGTCGCTTGCGGCATGATTTCGCAGTACAACCTCAAGCCGGAGGAAGCGTATCCGATCAGGAACTTGATGATGGTGGTTGCCAAGCGCCTGACAATGCGCGGCTTCATCGTCAGCGATGAGAATATGGGTCCCAAATACTTCAAGGAGCACCAGGAGAAACTGCAGAAATGGATCCACGAGGGGACATTTATCGCTCGACAGTCAGTCACGAAAGGCATCGACAATGCCATCGATGGGTTCTTGGGAATGCTGAGAGGCGATGTGAGTAGAAAATGCGAACGCGGAGTTAATATTTCATGGGCTAACAGTGGAACAGAACTTTGGAAAAGCTTTGCTGGAGATTGCGGATTTGGAGAAAGATGCATGACTGCATAACTCATTGAAGCTATGATTTTGAGTTTAAGAAAACTATATTCAGAACTGCGTGCATGCTCGATATTCTGTATCATATTTTAGGCCAGTACATATGTCACCGTTGTGATGGTACATGCACAGCGTTGCGGATTGCATATGTGGTGCTGAGCATGTCGTCATGCCAATGATTATCATGAATTCCCTCATCTACCAAAATAATAACCCATAAATCATCACCATGGCTACCTCTTTGCGTGAGAAAACCTATATAATGTTTACTTTTAATTTTTATCTCTTGCTGTCCGTGATCCTACTCTCTTCGCCTCCCGTATCCGGCGGCGGTCTGTATCCTGGCCGCGGTCCATCAACCGGGGGTACGGTCTCAGCTATGGCGTCCTCATAAGACGGCGGGGCGTCCTCGTAGCCTGGTGCAGACTGAGCGGGAAGACCGCTTGTGACGCTGGGAGCAGATGCGGCTGCTGTCTCGTTTGGTACGGGTTTTCGCCGTGGAGGGTACGTCTCCGTCCGTTTGAGTAGCTCGGGTGGAGGTCTGATTCCGGAGAAGACTTCGACGCTGATACTTAATGGCAGAACGATAAACTGGTTCTTTTGCAAGTGTCAGTGAAAACCTCTTAGGCGTATACACACGAATGGAAAGGGTGAGGAATTACTCGGCTATGCATGCCACCATAAGCCAAGCCCACAGACACCTTGAGCTCATACTTTCTGGATATATTGCACGTGATGAATGACGGCGGTACGGAGTCGGGAAGTCTCTGTCCGGCCCAGAAATCCTTGCTGATCTCCGTCTCGGTACCGATCTCGTCAGCAACTGTGCCAATGGGGCGGTTGATATTGGCTAGACTGACGAGCACCCAGCCACTGCTTTCCGTACGCACTGCATCATGCGCTCGCACCTGCGTGAACCCAATAAGCTCTACCTGTAGCGTCTTCAAATACAGCAATTCGTTGCGCTCGCTCAGTTGTTTGACGAGAAGTCTCAACGGTACATCCCCGCCACAGGTGAGTATTGCTGGATTCGGTAGTCGTGCGTCTACTGTGAAGCGCGCAGGCCCTTTTGATGCTGCGGTTGGGGACGATGGTGATTCAGGTAGACTGCCCTTGCGCGATTTCCCGAAAATACTGCCTGTGCTGCCTTTTCTATCACCAAGCATGGGAGAAAAAGTGTCGGGGATAAACTGGTGCTGACGCCTAGCGTAGGTCTCCCCATCTTGAGGGGGTCGAGGAGGCTCAATAGGCACGAAAGAGATGGCGTTAAACTAGTGAGACGGCATTGTTAGTTTTGGAGAATAAAATATTTTTTTTTAGGAAATTATACGGATGGCCGACGTACCGCGCGTGGATTTTGCTTCAGGAAGGAAGGCAGGTTTACTGTACACTTTAGATAGTACCGAATCTCAGCCTCCCCAGGGAAGTAAATCGATGGCGGCAAAGTCGTCTTGACATGCTGAGCGGGTGGCTTTGCGACCTCCAGCATGCCGCCAGCAAAACCAAGATTTGCTGACAAAGTTTGGTTTTGCAGACAGGCATTGTTGATGGGCATCTTGACCCTATCAGCGTACGATCTGTATCATGTGACTTGAGTTCTCAAACCTTGAAGTAGAAAGGGTACGTGTACGACCCAGGTGTAAGAACAAAATTAGGCCCTATGCCAGGTTCCACAGGGTTGATCTGGTCGGGAGGCGGAAAGACGGTCGCTACTTTGTACAACAACTTTTCGTTCAGAGTCAGCAAGTCGTATACGCGGGCAGCATTGCGTCATGCTCAACATACCTTGTGTATCTCTAGATTCGGTCGAGGTCTGTCATTTCTTCCAGGATGCGGAGGTGCCAACAACCGTGTCCTCGATTCACCCTCGAGCTTGACGGTTATGTGGGAAACCGTGGTGTTGGAGTAGACATGCAGCTGAACACGGCCTGATATTACATCCAGGTTGGTAAACGGTCCTTTGCTGTCCAAGACCAATTGGAGATGCATGATGTGTTATCAACAGATCGCCCCCAAAGTCCCGGGGGAGGATATTCATCCAAGGGACTCAAACAAGAGGTTGTGCTCAGCTGAGGACTCATGAAAGTTCAAGATTCAAAATGGTTATGCATGCTGCCCAACCTTTTTGCGGCAGGTAAAAATCGTTGCCTTGCGATTGTACGCGTCCTGAAGCTGGTTTTTGATAGAACAACCTAAGCCTTCTAGAAAACAGGCGCAGACGAGTATATTCTTATTGGCCTTCCGTGGCACTCCGAGGTTTTGAATGCGCAGACATAGCCACAATTTCACCATGTACCAAGAGACGATGTCGACGCAAACCGCGCTCTCATTGGTCCGTAGACTTTTCATGCCCGACGCAGGCCAACGGTGACTTACAAGCCGAACGACAAGCTCAAGCACTGCAAAAGGATATCTTAGAGCTGGCTAGGTTTAATGTGAGAATAGCCCTGGTGGACTCCGATGTGACATAATAATTCATTACATGCGACACACAAGACTGGTCGACTCTTAGTACATGATAATTCCCCGCAGAAAAGTCGTCGTTCTGAAAAGCCCCTCTTGCACTCCGTGTGTTGGGGTATACTCTTATTAAACATGAAAGCAATATCCAGAATCGTGTCAGATTAAACACGCACTCTCATAGCATCCACATTGCTGTCGCAATGGCACTCCCAAGCACGCACCAACCCAAGTTCTCGAGTGCCTTGCCCGAGAGGCCAGCAGCCGAATCGCTGCCTCCAGCTGCTGTTGTTCCGTTCGGAAGGGTGCCATTTATGAAGACTTGAGAAGTGCCATTAACGTCTGCCACGCGAACAAGACTGCTGTTGAGGTTTGTGAAGTTGCCGAGAGTGCTGTTCAGGTACGACTGGTCATCATTGTCGTCACAACCACACACGCTGTACTGTTGGCATAGACAATTGACAGGCTTCGACTCATTGCGATGCGAGGTGCTGTTGTACCAGTAGTAAGGGTGTGTGTATGGGTAGAGGTAGGCTCCGTAAAGCCAGAGACCGGGAAAGAAAGCTAGGGCTCCAACCCCCAACAATGCGACTGGCGCTATTCCCTTGGGCGTCTTCGATCCGGCTGTGAAAGGGGTCGTTGCGCCGCCGCCGTAGTATCGGCCACCACCATACGAGCGCGGGGCACCGCTGCCAGCGGAGGTGGAGCCTCCAGCGTTCGAAGTGGAGCCCGTGCGGCTACCGCCCGAAGAACCGCTGCTACCTGGTTGACTGAATTAATGACGGTCTTTGGACAGCTGTTGAAGGGGGAAAAGTGCAGTGGACGTGGGAACGTACCGCTTGAGCTGCCACTCGAGGAGCCGGAACTTCCTCCTTTGCCTCCGCCACCACCTCCCTTGCGTTTAAAAAGCTCGCTCAGCGAGATGTCACGCGTTAGCGAAGAGTCTCGTCGTTCAATGTCCTTGGGCACGCTGAGCGCTAGCACACCCAACACGCCGGCCAAGAAGAACACCAAAAAAGACGCGAATTTCATTGTGGCGATTTGGCGAAACAAAGAGAAAAGGAAGATGTGCGAAAGGCCGCAAACTACGACGCACGAGATGCAGAGAGAGTAAGCAATCGAGGTCTCCCCTAGAAGCGCATTGGCAGGCGGTCGTCACGGCTTGCAAGATGTGAAAGAAGCACGAACGATATCGATCCCTGGAATTATGTAGAGAAGCAAAAGTCAGCTGCTGGTGACTTGAACGTGGCGCAAGTCGTTTTGCTTCACGAGTTGGGTAGAAGAACACGAGGGATCCGCAATCCCGGTCGCCTTCGCCTCCGCGCAGCCGCAATCTTACTGGCTCGAGCCCAATACAGCCCCCAGATAGTACGGGCTTGTTCGAAATCTGCCTCAGTCTTGATGTCACGATTTGCAGCAACGCTTGACGGGCTAACCCTCGCGAAAGGCTTGGCCTTTGTCGCTAGTCAGCACCGGCACGGCGTCTTCCCGTCGTCGGACCTGGATCTCCCAGCTGGTCGTCAACCTCGACACTGTCGACAGAGCTACGTCAGACATGGCCACGCTGTGGTGCCTTTTCGTCGGATCAACAAAGAGTACTGGCACAGATTTCGATGACGGCCCTTGATCCGGGGCCGTCGCTGTCACCGAATCACTCCGTACAAAAAACGCCAAGGAGCTCAGTCGACACGGACTATGTTTTGCTTGTAAGCCAAGACCGCTAATCTCGCTTTATTCAAGTACGCGCTCTCGCAAAGTGTTTCAGAGCGACAGGACACAGCATGTGGATGGGCCACGTCCGTCACTGACTTCGACGGACGTATTCTACTGGACCCTCGTAAACCCTGTGGCCTCTTACTGCGTAGGAAACGAGCGAGAAGATGACCACGCCGCCGTAGATAAGAACAGACCAGTTCATGTACGCTGGTGTCGGATCGGGAGTCGGTGGAAAGAAGCAAACCACCCAAATTAACAAGAGAAACGCCACCGAGAAGGCGTTGATGGCAAAGCCAAATCTTCCAAGACAGAACCGCCGACTGAGCAGTGGCTCGTTTCGCCACCTTTTTACGCATAGACACGAAATAGAGACTATGTACGACGACAGGAGCGCATTCACACCCAGCGAGGTGATGTTGTTATATGCGACGCGGCTGCCGATATTGATTAGCGACAGCAGCGTACTGATGATCAACGTCAGCATAATTGATCGCAGAGGGATGTCCCAGCCAGGTGGAATCTGTCACTCATTAGCGGTGAATACGCCATTTCCGGATCGGACATACGTAAGCGAAGAACTGCGAGAATGGAACTCCATGATCGCGTGCAAAGGCGAAGAGCTGGCGTGACGCGGTCGCAATGTTTGTGATGCAGCAGAACGTTGACAAGACAACCAAAATACAGGTCATCGTAGTCGCGCCACCTACTGACTGTGTTCCATTACGAAAGACCTCGACAAATGGGTAGCCGAAAGCTCCAAGCTTACTTTTCTGAACATTCTCCACGTTACCAAGGCAGAAGCAGAACGTAACCAGCATCACGAAACCCAGGCTGCCATTCAACATTGCCGTCGAAATCAATGCCCTTGGTAATACGTACGACGCATCCTGGAGCTCTTCCGACATATGCGTCGCAGCGTCTGAGCCGATCAGAGACACCGTGGGCCCAATGACACCAACTAAGCAAGCGAGACCGGTGCTGGACCACTCGCCCGCACTGAAGTCGGTGAAGACCGTTTTTGGAGGCGAACGCGGTGCCAGGATCCAGAGCGGAACAATGATCGCGAAGAAGCCGAGCACATGTAAGATGAGAACGATGCCTTCCACCAGGGGCAATTTCCTGGCCAAAAAGATGTTGAACGCACCACATAGGCTGGCCAGGACGATGACGATCAATGACCCGTGCCATGCTGGGGCTGTGTACGTGTCGTAGTTGAGGATGATGAGAGCCTGGATCTCCATACCGGCCAGAAATGCCGCTGATGCCGATCCCGTTTGCCAGCCTATCACCACTTAGTACATCTTTATGGGACTTGGTGTTCAGCGTCGTACCAAGGACACACAGCCAACCAACGATATAGCTGAAAAACTTCTGGTATCTCCTCGGCGCAAACTCACTGACCCAATGATATTGACCGCCAGCAGTTGGTGCCATAGAGGCCATTTCAGCCACTGCTCTGGTTCGTTAAAAAAAATCAGTTTGTACGCTAGGCGGTGAACCTTACTCGAAGCGACCACTGTGAGGAAGCCAAGCAAGGTGCCGATGTATACCCAGATCAGACCAGCGGTGCCGCCGTTCGATAATCCAAACACGGCCGTCCTATATGTAGTTAGGCGGAGGAGATCTGAAGCGTTTCAGCTCTTCGCTCACCCAAGTTGAATCTCCCATGTCGACAGAAGGATCATCGAAAATCCAAATATGCTAAAGAATCCAAAATTCCTCTGCATAAGCGTTAAATCGCAAGCTAATCCATGGGATCAGAACGGACTCTTAGTTTTTGGGTCTTGCCCATACGGTACATATCAGCCTGATCCGCAAGTGTGCCATTCTTCTCTCTCGTCTCTTTCGGACCTTGGTCGATGATACCAGCTCCCTTATTATCTTGTAATTCGATTTCGTTCATGATAACTAGAACTAAACTATTCAACTAGTCGTGAATGACAACGTTGTGGCAGTAAAAGATTTGGCTTCGCGCTTTTAGCAGGAAGAGAATCTGAGTTCAAAGGTGAAGATCTTCTAAGTTGAAAATCTACACAATTGTCTAACGCTTATAAGTATTCAAAAAGCCGTTATAGGATTGATCTTATGGATTTTATAGGTCAGAAAAAATTACCATGATAACAGACAGCCCGGATACCAATCCCCGATTCTTGAGATCTATGTCAAAACAGCTTCGGACATCTGGGTTTGCTAAACACCACGAAAAACAGTTTACAAGGCTGGCGATAACTCAAAGGCCACCTCCCTGTCTTCAGGTAGACTATCCCATGTTCAGTGGCATTAGCACATGAGTACAAGTCGTTAAGCGAATAGTGACCACAGCAGGTTTGCAATACACCATTAGTTGTGTAACATATTGAAGATGGTGAATAGGAGGGTTAGACAACCTTTTGCATCTTTGCGAACTGGGTTCAACGAAGATACCTTGTCATTGTCGTCTGGGCATAAATCAGCAATCTCAGCTGCACGTCAAGATCTGAGTTCAGCAAACAATGATTATCGCCATTTTGAAGCAGCTCATCAAGCACGGCTGAAAAAGGTGGTCTCGCGAGAGACATAACAACATACATCGTGAGATCAATGAGCTTTCGTTCCACTGCATGCGTCGAGGAGGACAGGGAATCGGGTGCGATGCACTATTTCTTCAACTGTGCAAGGTTCAAGCGCAAAAGTGGAACTTGTTTGCCATTCGATTCGAATCTGGGGCGTTGCTTGTGATCAACTCAACGGTGCGTCCTTCTCGATAGATCTTTGCCGAGTCTGGATCAAAGGTAGCTTAGCATCGCCGAAGTGCACTATGCCAGGTCGTCGCACAACGCGCGCAAGATGATGATTTTGCAAATCGTCTTCTTCATTCAAAAGAGAGCGCCACCACGACCTGTTCACTTCCGGCTCTTCGGGTCACAACTTAAAACTTCCAATTACTTGCTTCCGCGCATGAAGTGCAGATTTTTGGTTGTTTGGAGCACAAGTCGACGAACACGAAAGGCCATTCAATAAATTCAGCTTCACATTGAAATGCATTTGGAGCACCATAAAGCACGTCTAATACCAATGATCTAGTCCTTTCAAACTCATTCAAGCAAGCAGTTCTACGTAGCTACGGCCACATAATTGGCTTTGCTGCGAAGACCGAAAATGTCAAATGAAATCTCGTCTTCGAAATCCGCCTACGTCGTCACTGGTACTCGATTTTCCCCGATTACTGAGAGCGACAAGGCCGGTATCCTCTGGATCGCCTCCCTACTATCAGGGATTTACTCATTCCTTTCATTGTCAGTCCGATTGTACATTAAACGAAAATTCTTTGGCTATGATGACTGGATGTGCTTAGCTGCGACTGTAAGTCGCCCGAACAAGACGATATTTACCCTCGCAACGTTGCGATTGATCTCATTTTTAAAAACGACTCGCTAACATGCAACCGCCAGTTCGTAGGGGCCGCATCATTCATCGCAATTTACGTTGGCCTATCGAACGGTCTCGGAAAGGCCTTTGTGCACGACCCGATAAGTCTGCGAAGAATTGGTCGAGTAGGGGATGCAACAGCTCCTGATATCAAGATTCAGACTAACAATAACCCTCATTATAGGCAGTATTTGCTAGCCGTATTGCCTTTGTGCTTGCAAATGCGTTATCGAAATCATCGGTGGTCCTTCTGATCCGACGTGTGTTTTCGTTGGATATGTCGCACCACCTCATGCTCTGCAATGTACGCTTGGTCATTGGCTTTATGCAACTTTCTTTCCCGTCCCTAAAGAATCTTAATCGCTAATTTTCTTTCTGCAGATAACCCTGGCGGCAACAGCTCTATGGGCATCAGGGTCTCTAGTTAGTGTCTCCGTTACCTGTGCTCCTGAAGGTCTTGTCAATGGCGAAGCCTTGACATGTGCGCGGCAGGCTACACGATGGCAAGCAATTGGCATATTCGACGCAATAACCGAACTATTGATCAACTTTTTGTCTTTGGGACTTGTTTGGAGACTAAATATGAGATTTGAACTCAAAGTCCGCGTTATATTGGCATTTACATTTCGACTCCTGTCGGTCAATCCACTACATCACCTCAACATTTGCTTCTAACGTAATGTTAGATTAATAGCTATTGCTGTTGTCCACATTCGATACATCCTATACATGCCAGCTGTGAAGCTAAATCTCAACATCATTCCAGCCTTGACGATAGAGCAAATTCAACTCAGCTATGCTTTGATATCCGCGACACTACCCAACCTAAAGTCGTTCATAATGAGCTTCAACACTGCCATGATGATGGACTTCGGGGAATACCAAGCACCTTCCCACGCTAGAACGCCGTTGTCCCTTCGCTGCACAGGTGAGAAGCAGCAACAGGTTTATTGCCAGGGCCAGAACTGCAACATGGAAACAAGCTCAAGAGTTGAATGGATTGAAATGAGGCATTTAGAAAAATCTGCCAATTCGCTTGCAGAAAATTACGAAGGAAGTGCGGAAAAATTGATACGGCTTGTTTAGCTGGTGAGAGTCGCGAGTTTTAACAGAATGCTAGCCTAGTTCGACGCAGCAGACTTCACCACGACCATCTCTGGACATGTCTAAATAGCCAATGTCCGCTGAAGAATCAAAAGGTATGTATAAGGAAATTCTCGGCAAGATCTTATCGTGGCCTACACGCCTCTGCTTGCATCTTCGCCCATTCTTCACAGCTCGTTGTTTTCCTTGCCAGCAGCCACTCACTCACTCCAGGATTGCCCCAAAGCCCTCTCTTATCGTAGTAGAGCAGAATTCGCTCAAAGACATCCATCTTCCGGGGCTCGTCCTTCGCATTGAATCTACTCGCGAGTAATGCCACACCCTCTTCAAGGGACTTCTTCTCCACCCGGATCGATTTCCCGATCGCACGGCCAACGATTTCCAGGAATTCGGAGTACCTCGTCGGCAACGTCGATATGATCGGGTACGCAGCGTAGAAGTGCTTCTCCCGCCCCTCCAGAACGGCTGCCGCTGCGTCCGCCAGATCCCTCAAGGCCGTGAACGAGAACTTCGTGTCGGGATTGTACGGGATCGGATAGACAGGGTTGTCCTGCTGTGTGAAGAACGCCACCGGCGTGTTCTCGAAGAAGTGGCTGGGCTGCAAGATTGTGAAGTTGAGGCCGCTTTCCATCAGATACTCCTCGACGTAGCGCTTGCAGTCGTGGTTCATTAGCTTCCTCAGCTGCGTCGGCCACACGGAGGACAGCACGAAATGCTTGAATGTTCCGTGCTCGGCCACCGCGGCGTCAATCATGTTGAAGCCGCACTGCGTTTCGTGGGGCGTTCCCGATGGCCCAACGTGGTAAATCGCCGAGACGCCGCTCATGATACGCCTAGCATCGTCCGGATTGACCAGGTCCGCCTGCACGACGTCGGCGTCGGGATACTTCTCGCGCAGGGCCCGCGCGGAGACGTCCGAATGAACTGCGAGCCGCAGTTTCTTCCACTTGGGCCGCAGGATTGGTATCAAGGCGGAAGCCTGCTTCCCACCGGCACACGTTATGAGCAGCAGCTCGTTCTCCGGGTCGGCAGCTCGCGCCGTGTCTGACATCACGATCTCACACCACTTGATCCTGACTTTAACTCCTGGACTACCGGGATTGGGAAGCGCCGCTCGATCATCCAACTTCGCAAAATTAGAGGTCAAACAGTGTGGGATAGGCTGACCTATATATCGTCACATCAGCACGGCGTGCCTACCGGAGATAACTCTGCGCAGAAACTCCGGACCACCGCCTTACCTCACCCCATGCGGGAGCTTACTTGCGGCTAGAGGACAAAAAAGGCAAGAATCTGAAAGAATTGTGGAGAAAAATGGATCAGAAGCCACGCATGCACGATGCGATTGTCGGATCAGGTTCTAGTCGAGAGGAGCCGCGAGACGGAAAGAGTCCAGCATCATGAATGTAGATCACCAAGGTTTCAGCGCTTCGATAGACAATATGCACATTGGCCACTTGCCAAAAGGCTGAATCAGGCTTATTTTTAAACCTCTTTTGGTCCCTCGTTGCTCTTGTTCCACCTCTTCGCTTTCTTGTTCCCATAATTCAGTACGATGGAGGAGTTGAGGGGGATATAAAATCATCTTCTCGAACAGTTTAAAGGACCGATCCCACAATCACTTAGGAGCTACCACCACGAAAAATGTAACATGGCGCAAGGAGAGTTAGTGCTAGACGCGACATACGCATGATGCTTTGCAAAAGTCAGAAAATTTATCCCATTACGGTGTAAGGCGCGTATTCCGCGGTCCCAATCGGAGGTCCTATGATGGGTATCATTCGTACGGGATCATGCCTCAGCTTGAATGAGCTGGCGGAAAAAAAGCAGCTATTGAATTAGGGGAGAAAAGAACGCTCCATGCAAACTCGCCTCAAAAGCACTATCCAAAACCCGAATCAAAAGCGCAGCAGCGATGACTAGTCCCATTTCGGTCTGCCGGGTATCACACGCTCGTAAACGCGAGATCAAGCGTGAATTTCGACCACCAAGAAAAGACGACGAATCGTAGGGAATCACAGATTAACAAATAAGTCCAGGATAGCCAGTGGTGCTGGCCTATTAGCCAGCGTCTCTCTCTGTTCCTCCAAGAACACCGCTTTCTCTTCTTCTCTTCTCCTCCCTTTCTCTTTCTTTGGTCGCTGGATCCCACTCCATCTCCTGCAACTCAAGTAAGGGCGTGCTACTTGCAGCTAGTTCGGACGTCCTCCGCTCAGCAGACAGCTCGCTGATACGCCTGTTCTTTTTGTCTTTTGACTCATGCCCAGCAGCACTGTCGAATCCGCCGGCTGAGTCGCGGGTGCCATGTGCTGTGCTTTCTCCATGCACCTCGTGAACGGCATTTTCTTCTTGATTTCGTTTCCGTCGTCTATGCAGACAGAATCCCACAAGGCCGACGAACAGAGCGATCGCTACGATGACGCCTACGACTATACCCGCGATGACGCCACCACCTAAGCTGGAAGTCGATTGCGAGCCTGGCGTAGATGTGGACGATGCACCTGATGAGCCAGAATTTTGTGATGGCTTCTTTGATGAAGATGTTGCTCCTGACGATGCGGCGAAGCCATCATAGGCATAAGCATACACCTGAGCGTTGAAATCCGTGGCTGTGAGTACTGTAGAAGTGACTATCGCGCTGCTGTTATACTCTGTTACAAGTATGGCGCTACTGAAGATACCGGAGTAGCAAGTCGCGCCAGAGGCGGGCCGGTTGTCTGGAGCGTTAGCGGTGAGACTGAGGCCCTCGAAGCCGCTGTGATTGTAACGCAATGTTAGTAATCTACTCCTTTCCACATATGTTCCATCTGTGCGCGCATAGAGAAGCGTAACAGAGCGCGATATATCGGCGCCACGTACTCAGGACAGCAAGCTATATACCCCGCAGGACTAGCAAAGGCAGTTTGCGTCTGATATCCCGAAGGACAGACCAGAGGGCTGAACGCAACCTGTGAGGAAGATTGTAGCCACTGACTAGCATAGCACGATGTTGCTGTAATACCATTGGCAGGCGTGAGCGGGTTCATCCATATCTGATTCTGATCAATCTGCAACATCATGAACTGTGTTGCGCATGCGGCCGGCGGTGTAAATGTGGTTGTGAGAGGCGGAAATACTGGAACGGCGGCCGTCCCAGACGTCACCGTCGCTGTCTCCATGTTTGCCATATCCCGACGATGACTGGCGACGAACGAGGGTATGGAGCAAAGAAGAAGTGCGTGGACAAGGATGGTCAACAGAAAGCGCACGAGAGAGGCCTACTCCCGGCCTTTACCTGATGAGCATCGTTCGATGGTGAAAAGAGCGAGACGACAGCGCTACGAAGTTTTTAACGATGACTGCTTGCTCGCTAGCGGCGATTTTGGGGGCCGATCGTGCAGGGCGAGCGTTCACCTAACTCACCAAGTCTCACTCCTGCATTTCCAGGGTGCGTGATGGGTGAGTTGCAGTGATACCCCCCGTTCTGGGGAACCTTTTTCCCAGGCCATAGAGCAGGGGAGTGTCCAGCCACGGGTGCGAGAGAAGACGGCAGCGAATCGCGCACGACCACATCGAGTCCGCTGCTTCATCCGGCAATGGAACCAACCATCCTGGCTTTGCCAACGACGCCGTATTGGCACAAGCGGCGGACACGAAAGGACCTTCACGACCCCCGTCAGCTGTCGCAGGCATGGGGAAATGCTAGGTACTCCAGAACTTATGTCAGTTGGGTGAATGCCATGCCAGGCATTTGAGATTGCTGCACACGACCGGCAGTGCTCCTAGTCCCAATGGTGCAATCACTCTTGTTCCGCTCGAAAGCCTTGGAGAAGCTTGAAATCATAGAGTTTCGACAACTCGCCTCCACACGAGGTTGGTATAAGGCCACCACTTCCTTCGTAAAGTGATCAATGTGGCGCCGTTAGATAGACCCAACAGAGCAATGGGAATGTCCAAGATCATGACGCTGAAGGGTCTTGCTCTCTGGAGCACGTTGATTGAATACGCTCGCTTGGTATCCGTCATTTAACCATCGCTATCAACGGGAATGATGGAGAGAGTCTTGAGAAAGAAAGGCTTCGGTCGCCGCGACGGGTACAGAAGCGGGGAAGCGGCCAGTGTACTGGGCCGGTATGAGAAGTGCTGGCCCGTGATTTAAAATTCTGCCAGCGCTCCGTCGGCTGACCATGCTGTCGGCGCTATGCCGAGCTCGGAGGCGCCGGGGCACCGGAGGTTAGTGGGGGATGCGCTAAACTTTGGTGGGCTCGGGCAGTGGGCGGGTGACCCACAGAAGATTCTGCCCGCTGCTGGGTTTTGTCGGCGATGGAGGTGTTTGGCGTTTGTTGCTGATGCTTGTGCTTGTGCTTGTGCTTGGCTCTTCCTGCTTCCAACCTTGGCCATTGCTCCGAATCTTTCCATCCATCTACAACAAACTCCGCTCTATACCCCAATTCCATTTCCATTCCGTCGTCTCGCAATCAGTCAAAATGTCTTTCGCACGCCAGGTCTTCGCCCAGGTCCAGCGACGGACCTTCTCCGCTTCTGCTCGCCAGGTAAGTCCGTTTCGTCACCACGCTGGTTCCAGCGGGCGGGAACGAGGCTGTATGTAGCTGCACACAGTCCATAGGAGAAAACAGTGCAATTGATGCTTCATCGCCTTGTCCCCGATCTTCTGCAGCTTCATTGATGCTTTTCATCCTTTGATGCCACCAATTGTTGTCTCAGCAAAGCTGTTCGTTGGTCCAGCGGAAAAATGCCTCGTCTGCCCAACTCGTTCCTCTTCATCCAGGTGTTCGGTATCCAGCTGGGAGACTGAACAGAACTCATTGGAAAGAAACCCAATGCTGACTAGTCGACTTCCTAGAACTCCAAGGTTGCCGTCCTCGGCGCTGCCGGTGGTATTGGCCAGCCGCTGTCGCTGCTGCTCAAGCTCAATCCCCGCGTCAGCGAACTCGCCCTCTATGATATCCGCATGGCCCCTGGCGTCGCCGCAGACGTCTCTCACATCAACACTAAGAGCAAGGTCAGCTATACCATATGAAGTTGATGGCGGCGATGATATATCATCATTGGACCGTCAATCAGCTGGACTTCACGCTGACGAAGAATGTAGGTTGTCGGCTACGACCCAACACCTTCGGGCCTGAGGGAGTGCTTGACTGGCGCTGAGATTGTCCTCATCCCAGCCGGCGTGCCTCGCAAGCCAGGCATGACCCGTGATGGTATGTCGCTCAATAAACATGTCCCCGCTAATCTTGATGCTGATATATCGGGCAGATCTCTTCAACACCAATGCCTCCATCGTCCGCGACCTCGCCAAGGCCGCAGCTGAGCATTCACCGGAAGCTAACATGCTGATCATCTCGAACCCTGTAAGTCCAATCGCGCAACTTCCCGTCAGCGCTAGCTCCCATTCCGTTGAGCAGACTTGAAGAGAATGGGAAAAAAAGAGCAAAAAAGACGGTCGCACAATGAGCGAGCTATGCATTGCTAATGTACTATGTTACAGGTGAACTCGACCGTGCCAATTACTGCCGAAGTCTTCAAGGCCAAGGGTGTGTACAACCCGAAGAGGCTGTTCGGCGTGACCACTCTCGACGTCGTCCGTGCCTCGCGCTTCATCTCTGAGATCAAGGGAACCGACCCAGCAACGGAGAACATCACCGTCGTTGGTGGTCATTCCGGCCAGACCATCGTGCCTCTTCTGTCACAGTCCGGCAACAAACTTGAGGGCGAGGCTCTGGACAAGTACATTCACCGTGTGCAATTTGGTGGTGATGAAGTCGTACAGGCCAAGGGTGGCGCAGGTAGTGCAACCCTTTCCATGGCAATGGCGGGCGCACGCTTCGCCGAGTCATTGCTCAAGGCCGCACAGGGCGAGAAGGGTGTTCTTGAGCCCACGTTTGTGGACTCGCCGCTGTACAAGGACCGTGGCTGCGACTTCTTCGCGTCGCTGGTCGAGTTGGGCCCCAACGGCGTGGAGAAGATCCACCCAGTTGGCAAGATCACCGACTACGAGCAGAAGCTTCTCGACGTCTGCCTTGGCGACCTGGCGAAGAACATTACCAAGGGTGTCGAGTGGGCGCGGGCCAACCCAGGCAACTAAGCTGCTTGCTAGCCAAAGCTGCTGGGGGGTTTCGGGAGCCCTTGCGTGTGAGCTGACGGGCGCAGGGAAAGACAAAAACGGAATTACCTCACTGGACGGGAGATTAGATAGATTTTCTCATCTGTCGTTTCACGACTGCTACTGATGCCGATTCAGCTGCATGTGTGTGGACGTTACTGCTGCATATGTATGCGTGTGAATGGGCCTGTGGGTCGCGAGCGTGTTGTGCTGTACTTACGGGGGGGGGTTGCTGTGGACTATATATGGCTGAGGCCAGAACGTCAAACTCTTTGTCTTTTGGCGTCCAGCCTATATACATGTAGTATAACCTTATAGTGTAGCCCTCCAACTTTCTCTCCTGTGTCTTGATACCATTTTCTCATGTGTTCGATGCGTTCGGTCTGTTGCAAAATTGTGCGTACTATGACGAGCGTCAATTGAGTTGGCAGAAAGGGTAACCTGGAGAAAGCCCTTTTGGGGGAATATTTGCATCGTCACGAAACAAAAACATGGTCTAGATGCTAAATGGGAGTTGTGGTCGTGCACACGACGTCGCTCGCGCGAAACAGTTCTGTAGGCTTGAGCTGGTTTATCCAAATGTGGCAGCGGGCTTGATTCCGCACGAGCAAACTTCATGACAGACAACTCCCCGTTCTTCGACCCAATTTTCACGATCAAGATGTCTGTCTAGTTGACGATGCCACGGATTATGTGGCTGAAGCCGGTACGCGTTTCCCTCCCTCTCTCGCCGTCGGACCAATTGGCCCTCCTAGCCAGCTCCACCCGTCGTATACTTCACCTCCGCGTCCGAATCCCCATCCCATGCAAGGCTACTACCGAAAGTGCGCAAGCATGTCCGCCTCCGTCGCTCCGTCGCTCTACCTGCTCCCCGTCCTCCCGCGAAACCTGCACAAGTACCTGCCCATCCTACGCTGGAAGTACCCGCTCGTCCAAGCGCCCAAGCAGCTGCCGCACGAGTTCTTCTTCTACGCCGCCCGCCGCAGCGAAGCGCCTCTCAGTGTCCCTGCACGTCGCTTCCGCCGTCTAGCCGCAATCAACCGCGCTTTGCTCCTGCTTCAGGTCTTCGTCTGGGGCCCGTTGTACCTCGACAATTGGGACGTGGGGACTGGGTCGGCCAAGATCCCCGGGACGACCGTGAAGCTGCCGCTGCCGGAGATCAAGGGTTGGAAGGGCGAGGAGCGGGAGACTGTCTGGGCCGTCACCAAGGAGAGAGCACGACGCAGGCTCGAGACGGAGCGCGTGGATGCGCTGGGAAACGTGCATAGAGTGTATTACGATCCGAGCCCCGGCAGCATCGTAGACGTGACCTTCGACGAGCAGTACGAGTACCTAGGAGAGGTGTGGTGAAGACGACATCGTCGCCCGCGACGCGAACCGAGGACAAAGTCGAAACGTGCTTTGAATCATGACAGTCACGGAGCTCGCGCTGCTGAAGCTGAGCAGCGCCGATGGTTCGCTGTCCGAGCACGTCCGGGCGCAGCTGCTCAAGGCGAAGCAGGCCATGGAGAGCTTCTCCGGCCACAGATTCTATTATCTGCAGCAGATAGAGGAGCCGAGCTTGATCTACGTGCTCGGCGAATGGGCTTCACTTCATCAGCACTACGCCGAGTTCATACCTTCGGCGCCAAATCAGGCCGTCCTGGAGGCGCTCAGGAACGACGTAACCGTCGTTTGGCTAAGCCATCTGGACGTTCCCGTCAGCGACATCGAGCTCGCAGCACCAGTCATGTCCCTGGGGCGGCATTTCGTAGCCGCGAAGAAGCGCAAGGACTTCGAGGCCTGCTTTGCGGCCCAGAAGAAGTTCCTCCAGGAATTTGTCACAGAGGGCGATGTGGCCGGTGGTTGGAAGCTGGAAGAAGACAGGGAGAACGATGAGTTTGTGTTGTTCGCTCCGTGGCGTGCGATCGAACAGCACGCCGCCTTCGCGAGCACGGACGGATTCAAGCACTATGTCAGAATCAAGGACTATATCGTTGATGCGGACATCAAGCATGTAAAGTTGCTCGAGCTTTGACGTTCAGCGATCACAGAAAGACATGATAGTTTTGGCGCACTGTGCCTGGCGGACGTGGCACGGGCTACTTAGACGAGAAAGATGGCCGCGAGCACATGTTCTCGACTCTCCGAGAGCATTTTCGCTGAGATTGGTCGCTATCAACTAGCGACAAACGATAACAATTAGGTATCATAAATCCATAGCGTAAGAAAAGAATATGACAAGCCCCACTCAGACTTCACGCGCTCGAACGAAGCAAAGTGGAAATCGAAAGTGCCTCGAACGGCTTTCAACACTCAAGAGCTAGTACCGATATGTCCCCGCGGGTCTCGTGTGTTTGCCAATGATATACCACGCGTGTATCACGCCTGCAAATCTGCCATCAGTATCTCTCAAGCTCAACTCCGCTGCACCCAGAATGGTGGCCCAAGGAGAGGGGTCGGGAAGACATACCAGGCAACCATCCAAGTATCGTCAGCAGAACGTTGATCCAAAAGTCGCAGCCGCAGCCATGCTTCAAAAGCACGGCGAGAGGCGGCACGAACAGCGCCAGGAAGTAGAGGCACATATCGCTCTGTCGGTGTTGAAGACGGCGTGTTAGCAAGCAGAGCCAGACGTAGCACGGGCCGAGGGATGGCGTCGGATCTTACCGTTGACGAAGGTGCGTTTCTCGACATGTTTGCGGGAGGCTCTTTTTCTTTTTGACGGCGCTGAGAGATAGCTTTCGGGTCTGTCGGCGTGAAGGGCTTTCGAAGAGCAAAAGGCTTGAATCTGATGTGTGACAGCTGCGACGTTGTTCGGTGGCAGGTGTCTTTATAAGCTTTTCATGTTCCCCAGTGTCGGCGCACATGCAGGGACAAAACACCAGCCTGATGACGTCGGCCCGCTCGAATTCCTTGGCTACAGCCTTGCACGGTCTGAAGGCGCAGCGGTTCGCATCCTCGCTCGTTTAAAAACGTGTTCGCTTGCCGATCCTTGGGCAAGGGGCTCCTCGGACGTTTTCCAGGCGTTTGGTTTCTCATTGGTCTCCTCGTCCCTTCTCTGCAGCGCTGGCGAAGCTCTGTAGCGAACGCGCCACACTGCGAACGTTACCACTTGCGTGGAGGACGTGCTGTGTCATGAACGCGAATGCGAAACCTCTACAGGTGGCGAACAGACACAGATTTGTGGGCCTTGCGCTGAAGCGCTTCGTGTTCAGCTCAATTTTTGGATCCTGAGAACGAAACAGCACTTCAACGCTCCGTGAAAAAGAAAAGGTATGTGTGCTTCCACGCAACCGAATATAGACGCTTTGAGAGCGACGGCGCGCCCGTCGTGATGTCCGCGCCATATGAAAAGTCCATTCTGCCACTTCCCTCTACTCGTCTCCCTGTATATGGCAGAAGGAGGAGCGTAGGCCTCGTGGTGAAGGAGCCCCCTTTGTGTGTGCCAAGGTATACAACTTCTGACTGGACGAGAAGGCAGCAAGCCAGCCTAATCCCCCACTTGGACGGCATCTGCCACATCACCAAGCATACGTCCCCAACATCGAGCGTAACAAAGCTTATATCAATATTAGGTATAAATTTCTCTTCTCTCTGAACTCGAACCTCAACGTATCTCGGTCCCTCAGGTATGCAACACGAAGATGGCAGGGAAGGCGTGCGGCACTCGGCCAAGAGGCGCAGATTGTCCCCCACAATGGATCTGTGGAGAAAGGAAGCAACGACGTCCTGTCTACTGTTTCGCTTGCCACGAGAAGTCCGAGACGTGATTTACGGTCATTTCTTCCACGAAAACTGCGCCCAGATCGTCAAGGCCGGCGGCATGGACGCTTTGAAGCTCGACTGCGCTGTCAAAGTCCTTCGCGCCGTCGACGAGAATGGTCGCGTGCAGCGCGAGGCCACGGAGCTGTATTTTCGTACGCGAACGTTGGTCTTCGACTCGCCCGGCTGCGTGAGCGAGTTTCACACCACCGTCGAGCGAATGAAGCTGCGGTCTTTTGACGTGTACGGTGAACTGCGCCAGGTCGAGATCGTGGGTTGGCTGCCGATACGAACGGTTGCCGTCGAGGACCCGCTGTTCCAGTGGGCGTGGACAAGAAATTTTGTGCGTGCCTGCATCAAGCATCTGACGCAGTGCACGCGATTGAACACGGTCAAGATATGTCTGGATGCCGAGCATTTCCACCTCGAGGACGTGAGGCCGATATTTGGTCGGGTTGATGGTCAGATCTTGTTCGAGATCATCGTAGACGAAAAGATCGAGAAGAAGTGCCTTCCGGGAACCACGGGCTCGCTGCGACGGCTCGCTGATGTTGATAAGGTTCTCGCGAGGATTGGAAGGACAGGCACATGGAAGGACGTGAGCCCAGAGTTAGAGGACACCAAGGAAGAGAGGGGTTTCCATTGATATATTTCACTTCCCTTGCGATATGATGATGTTATGTGCGTTCATTTCAACCACAATTGTGGCTTTACTTTGCGTATCAACAAATACTTTGATTACTCTTATCTCTTCCACTCTTCTTTCGCGGGCCTCTTATGCATCGTGCGAGTGACCCGACCGAATGCCACAGTCCCTGCTGAGTCATCACACGAAATTCGCGTTTTTAGTCTACACGTACGAGACGCCAAAAAAAAGTTCTCCACCAAGAGGCGGAAGCACAAATGACAAAAAAATGGCCGAAGCCCTGATATCGTATTTCCGAAGGACTCTGCCGGAGGACCTCGTCGTCGTGCTGGAACCGCACATTGCGAATCTCGAAAGTGCAAATTTTCAGGCCGTGTTCCAGGATCCGCTATGCAGTCGGCTGCTGGGCCGCACCCCAGGCGAGGAGACGGCGTATGAGACGACCAAAGCGTGGAACGACTACATATTCGACCGACTCGAGGGTTTGCTGGCTAAAAGGAGCGACGAGCCGAACTCCGATAAGACAAGTTCCCCAAAGTACTTGCAGCACTTCTTTTTCATCGTTGCTGTCGCAGCGCTAGGCGCTTTCGTGCAAAGTAACGTAACTGGACCTCCGCTGCCATTTTCGCCGAGGAAGATCCTCCTCCCAAATGGTGTTGGAGAAGATGCTAAAGCTACTGCTCAAGTTCGACGGCGCCTGCTCGACTCCTTGAAGCTGGATGGAGAAGCGCCGTACCGCTTGACGCCTCATGTCGAGCTACTAAGCCTCGCGGATTCAATCTTGACGTGCCCCCCCGTGTTGAAGAATGTTCCCGCAGCTCGTTGGGCTCATCTGAGAGTAGACTTCATGCACCAGCGAATTCTATCAGAGACCTCGCCCACGCTGGAGAAAGACATTTATGACGAGCTCGAAGCGGTGAGGAAGCTCATCGCGCAGGACGGATCAAAAGACGCCCTTGTCACCTTCATGTTGGAGTCGGCTACTATACACACTCATCATGGACATGACAAACTTGCAAGGGAAGCGTTGCAGACGGCCACGCAGAAGCGACACTTCGAGTTTGCGATCACGGGTCTTCTTGGGAAGCGGACGAAGTTCCAACAGAAAGATACGAGCCAGCTTGTCGTGCTTGCGAAGAGCGTGGATGACGTAGAAGAGCCGTCTTCGGAGGCGGCCGACCAAAATGAAGAGCAGGTTCCGAAGGAGAAGCAGGCTCTTCCGCAGCAGATTGACCTGAACGACGATACCTTGCTCGAAAGGATTTCGTTTGCGAAAAGAGAAGCCGTTGCGGGCGAGCAAGACCCAAGCAAGGCAGCTTCAATCACGGTTGTCCAGGACGAAGACAGCTTGCCGGCGAGCTTGGCCGGTCTTGACCCAGAGAAGCAACCGCAGCTGAACCCGCTCGATTCGATTATCCTGCTTTCGACCGCTGCATCGATAACGAACACGAACCCCGCCGACGGCCTGACCCGCGAAGAGACCGCTCCGTACGCGACGCGCGTTCTGGAAGGCGGGAGCTCAAACTGGCAAGTCTACACGCAAGCGTTGTTGTTGCGCAGCCGCATCGAAGGTTATAAGGCGCGGACTGTCGAGCGCGGACTGCTCCAGTTGCAGGCGCTGGTGGACCAAGTCATCGCCGACACGGGCTCCTCTGAGGACAGCGGCGAGGACAAGCCAACCACGTTCTTGCCCAAAGCCACAGAGGCCGAATCGGCCCCGGCCAGCCAGAGGCTGCTCTACGTCTACGCTCTTTGCTCGCCTACGCGGTGGGAACTCGAGGCGGAGCTCGCTGCGCGGTGGGTAAACCTGGGAGGTCTGCGCTCTGCCCTCGAAATTTATGAGCGGTTGGAGATGTGGGCCGAAGCGGCTCTGTGTTGGGCGGCGACTGAACGTGACGACAAAGCGCGCAGGCTCACAAGGAAGCAGCTCTTCCATGCCACGTCCGGTAACGATGAAGATGTGGATGAAGATACGGAGACGTGGTCTGGACCTGCTCGTGACCCCCCGCCGTCGGACGCGCCGCGGCTGTATTGCATCCTTGGTGATTTGGACAAAGACCCTTCGATGTACGAAACAGCGTGGGCGGTGTCTAACGAGAGGTATTCGCGAGCACAGCGCTCCATCGGGAGGTACTATTACGGTCTGAAAGACTACGCAAAGGCCTCTCTTGCTTTCACGAAGTCACTGAAGGTCAAGCCGCTCGATCACGGAACGTGGTTTGCACTAGGCTGTGTCCTGCTTGAGCTAGAACAGTTCAAGAGGGCGGTCGAAGCGTTTTCACGAGCCGTGCAGCTTGAGCACGACGACGCTGAGAGCTGGAGCAACATGGCCGCTGCCTTGCTCAACCTACCACCTGATGAGAGCCCGGTCGACCTTCACGAAGTGGAGCAACAGGCTCCTGCCTTAGACGAGGAGGAACCCCCAACTGTACGTTTTCCTTCGATCGCCAAGTGTGAGAAGAAAAAAAAAAAAAGAGACCACATGCTAACCACCAGCACAAAGTCACAAGCCCCCGACCCGCACAAGAACCGCTTCGCCGCGCTCAAGGCCCTCAAACAGGCCGCCCGCCTGAAGCGCGACAACCACCGCATCTGGGACAACCTGCTCACGGTCGCGGCGTCTTTGACGCCGCCGTCCTGGTCCGACGTGCTCACGGCGCAGACGCGGATCATCGACCTGCGGGGCCCCGTCGACGGCGAGAAATGCGTCGACGTCGCCATCCTCTCCGCGCTGGTGAATCACGTCATGACCTCGCACGACCCGGGGTCCGTCTCCGGGCCCGGGTTCCCCAGGATGGTGGTCCAGCTGGTGGAGAAGAAGGTGGTCCCCCTCGTGACGGCGAGCGCGGACCTGTGGAGGCTCGTCGGCAAGGTGGCCCTGTGGCGCGGCAACCCGGGCAAAGCGCTCGAGGCGCAGGAGAAGGCCTGGCGATGCGTCGTCAGCCAGCCCGGGTGGGAGCACGGCACCGAGGCGACGTGGGACCGCGTGGTGGACGCGACGGTCGAGCTTGTCGGCGCGTACGAGAGCCTGGGGATGAGGGTCAAGACCGACGGGCTGGGCGCTGACGGAGAGGCGGTAAGTTCTCCTTTGACCCCTTTCGTGCTGTTCCTGGACCGAGCGCTGACTTTGATGCGTTAGGTCGTCGCGAAGGACTGGAAGTTCAAGGCTCGAAGCGCCATCCGGGGCATCAAAGGACGAGGGAAGGACAGCTGGGAAGGAACGAAAGGCTGGGACAGGCTAGACGAGGCGTTGGAGGGTCTTAAAGGCGCATAGAGCCAACGGGTCCATCTGCAGAGCTGATTGTGTAAGAAAACGAACAGGAAGAGGGGAGGGAGGGGGAAGAAGGAGAATAATTTAGAGCTTTTTCTCTTTGCCATTTGCTACTACATGCTTTACGTCGGGGACGAAAAGAAAACATCGGAGGGAAAAAAAATATTCTGAGAGAGAGAGATGTCATGTAACGTCTAAATGATGAGTACTCCCTAGCCTGCGCTATCCTCAGTCCTATCCGTCCATTTGACGGCATTCTGCCGCTGATCATACCTCTAATGGTACATATATGTACACTTTGCCAAAAATGACGACGACCCTTGATCCGGATAGCTCTTTACAAAGCCTTGCACACGGCCTCGGCGTACTCTGCCGTCTTGGCCTTACCGCCCAAGTCTCCCGTGATCGTCTTGCCCTCGGCCAGCACCTTGAAGATGGCAGCCTCGATCTTGTTGGCGTGCTCCGTCAGGCCCATATGTCTCAACATCATGATCGAGGACAGCAGCAGGGCGGTTGGGTTGGCAAGACCCTTTCCGGCGATATCAGGCGCGGAGCCGTGGACGGCCTCGAAGATGGAGCACTCGTCGCCAATGTTACCGGACGGCGTGAGGCCCAGGCCGCCGATCAGTCCGGCGCACATGTCGGACAGGATGTCACCGTAAAGGTTTGGCATGACGAGCACCTTGTCGTTGTAAGGGATCGGATCCGTGACCATCTTCAGGCATGTGTTGTCCAGCAGCTCGGCGTCGAACTCAATGTCCGGGTAGTCTTTTGCGATCTCCCTCGCGACGCTGAGGAACAGGCCATCCGACATCTTCATGATGGTGGCCTTGTGCACAGCGCGCACCTTCTTGCGGCCAATATCTCGTGCGTGCTGGAAAGCGAAGCGGATCACGCGCTCGCAAGCTTCTCTGGTGATGAGCTTGATGGACTGCACCACGCCGTCGACGACGACGTGCTCGATGCCGGAGTACTCGCCCTCGGTGTTCTCACGGATCAGGACCGTGTCCACGTTGTCGTACGGGGTCTTGAATCCCGCAATGCTTCGGCAGGGCCGCAGATTCGCAAATAGGTTGAAGGTACGTCGAAGCGTCAGGTTTAAACTCACGTGGCCCTTGCCAATGGGTGTGGCAAGCGGGCCCTTGAGCGCGACGTAGTTTCTTGTCACGCTCTCGATGGCCTCATCTGGGATGACGGTCTTGCCGTCCTTCAGCCGCGGCGTCACGTCCACGGTCTCCCACTTGATGGGCACCCCAGCGGCGCTGTAGATGTCCTTGACGGATTGCGAGATCTCCGGACCGATACCGTCACCCTCAATCAGTGTCACGGTGTACTTGCCATCATTGCCCTTGGTTCCCTTGAACTTGGCTACCTTCTCGTCGGCCTGCGTGGAGACGGAGCGGCGGGCTGAAGCTGCATGAACGGCGGCGTACGAAGCGGACGGCGAGACGCGAGGAGCGGCGGCGGCGCAGCGAGGAATTGCACGTGCCAATTGCGGCCGCAGAAGAAGGCTCGACATGGTTGCTGGCCGATTGAGTCGTTGTCAGGAGCGGCGGTGTCGAGATAAAAGGTGGTAAAGGATGACGGGTTGGCTGGTGTGTAACTGGTGTGGAAGCTGTTTCTGCTCTATCTCTTGGGCCTCAAAGCTTCGCAGACCAATCACGCTTCGGCAAGAGAACTCGGGACATTTGGCCTGTGAAAATCCCGCACGCTCCAATCTTAACCATAACAAATTTTCACGCGGGCAAGGGTTCCAACTTTTTCTGTTCACAAAAATTTTTTCTCGAGAAAAGAAAAAGTGCAACTCATGCGAATTATTCTTAACAACCTGATGGTCGGGGGCAGTTTCGAATGCCATGCACTAAAATCCGTTTCGTATCAAGTCGGCGGTGACAAAACCTGGTCTTAGGATGACGTCGTAATCTTGCACAAGATCAATCTACATCTTTTCTACCTCTTTCACACAGCATCAAAGGCAGCAGCAAGCAAGAAGTATAAGTCATGAAGTACAAGAGGAGAAGGAACATTCAGTCACAGGTTGCAAAATAAAGAGGTAGTCTTGATAAGAAAAATCGCATTGTAGGCATTACCACTTCCTAGCATCTTCGCATTGTGTTCTCTCGATTTCCGTATCCATACACATTATTCAGTATCCCGTACAAGTGTTGATTCTTCATGCTGAAATGATGTGATTCTGCTTCATGAGCGAGTATCGGACAGTTATTTGCGCAGTGTCCTGGCAATTCAACTTTCTCTTTTCATATCCGGTTCATACCCCGATGTCGAGCGAATGAACGATTGCTTTATAGCAAACCAGCGACCGCAAGAGCGCCAGCCAGCACACCCGCTGCGGCGGTCTGTCTTGCTCCACCGGCCGATGAGCTGGCAGAGCTGGCCGCACTAGAAGCCGCGCTGGCTGCCGAGCTGGCCGCGCTGGACATTGCGCTGGATGCGCTAGAACCCGCAGACGCAGCTTGGCTTGCTGCAGAGCTCTGAACGGATGAGGCGCTGGCGGAAGCACCTGAGATGGCGGAGCTGATGCTTGAGGCTGCGCTACCCGTAGCGGTAGAGGCGGCGCTGTGCAGACTTCCAATGTCTGAGGTAAGGCTGCTGATGACGCTGGCAGCGTCAGAGGCGATAGAAGCGCCGGCCGAGTTCACGTTAGAAAGGATCGAGCCGACAGCATCTTGGGTTGTGGTCTGAGCAGAGCCCAAGGCGGCAAGGGTCGTGAGGAGGACAGTCTGGAAGCGCATATTGACGTTGGGATTGTTAGATGGTTTGAAGTGAGTTGTGTGTTCTCGTTTGTGAGTGATAGGTTGGTTGGTTGGAAAGACTGAAGCATTTGAGCAGGTGGTGTGCAGCAGGTTATATAGAGGAGCATGGCAGATGACGCCAGAGAAATGGCGTTCTACAGGTTACAATACCCACTCGCCTGTCGCCCAGGCCCAACAGTTCCCGTTTCTGCCAACCACCAACCACGGCTGTCACTTGTGACGTAAACTTGCCCGTTGCACAGCCTCGTGCGTAGACTCTTGTCTTGACCTGGCCGTTATTGGTTCGGGATCAACTTGAGTAACCTGCAAGTATCCAGTACCTGACCTGCTAAGGCAAAGGACTTCTGCAAGGGTCTCCCGCATTACCCGGTTGCTGTGTGAATCCTCTGTGTAGCTGGATCGGAGCATTATGCATGAACGAGTTTGCGTAACATGTTTACTGAAACTGTTCTTCGTTGACTTTCGAGCTTGCTATGTGACGCGTAGTTCGATTATGCCCACAGAACTTGGTAGCAGCAATCCTTCTCATTTCTTCACTGCCTTTCGGGCAACGCAAGCGCCGCCTGACCGGCCACGAAGACATTTGAAACCAAGCTTTGCGTCTCTAGATGGAAAAAACATGGCAGAAGGGCGAACCATTGCCAAAGCGTGTCGAGACAAGCTCTGCAAACTCCTTGTGAGGCTCCTCCACGCAACACTAGTCTTAGCGTGGTCGATCAAACCACACGATGCTTCGATCGGCCAATTGCAGACCAGGAGCTACGCCGTGTACGGAAACCTGATGATGGCAATGATGCTTGGGATGAAGTGCACCCCACAAAAAATTCCGATTCCACCTTGGAATGCAAAAAGCGGGGCCCGATCTTAAAACCACGAATGGTGAGGAGCCTCATCGTGCGTCCGGCACGCGATCCTGTTTTCTTGCTGGCCCACCATTCGGGCCTACTCCAATGCCTATGATGGGATTGTGACAACACATTTATATCAGTGCACGAAGAAACATCCGCAGCTCACGGGCCCTTGGACCTGCTTGGTTTGTCCCATTGGCCTCGACATCCGAGTGCTCTGTCGTCCTCTCCCACGGCATCGAGGATGATACATGTCGTTAACAAGGCCTTAGCACCTGCGGTTTCCTGTGATCTCATGCCACGCCCGCTACGACGCGAGTCTGCTCGAGAACAGCTAGGCTTGCCTTCGGTCGTGTGCGTTAACAAACATGGTGGGAAGGATCCGATCCATCGGCGTCGAGGAAAACGTAGGGAGCTTCCACACACGTCATTGGCAGCGTCTAACACAGGGTTACGCACAGCACGTCCATTTGCGGAAGTGGGAACGCCGAGTCTGGTAGCCTGTACAAGTGTCGTACATCAGGAATGATGCCAGCGTCGTGTCCGATGCGCGCTGATTCAATGTGTGGCGAATGCTGCCGTCATTGGGCGAGCTTTGCAGCCTGCGCTTTGGATCTCGAATCTCAACCCTCTTGGCGCCATAGAAGAAGATGAACTCTGCCTTTGCACAGCCACGAGATGTGGCGAGGGCATCTTGGCGTTGGCTCTGATACTGTGCAGAACTATGGGGACACGCACGAAAGGCGAGGCCGCGTGGATTGCAGATCTTCAAAGGGCAAAGGACATGAGTAAGGGACTGTGTAAAGGGGTCTGGCGGTGGCAAGGAAGGTCTCCATGCAGTGGAGCGATTCAAGAAGACAAAATTGACTGCGTGCCCGTTAAGTTCCGGCTGTCGTGCCACAGTCGATTTGAAATCCAAGCCTCTGGAGCACCGGTAACCAATGTCTGAGAGCTGTATTATTCTGACGGGTCAGCCGTGAAGACGGAGATTTCACATTTTCCATGACCGCTTGCTCGGGGCCACAAAGGAAAAAGGCTGCGTCTCAAGGTCAAGTACATCCGTCATCACACACAAATCACACAGTATATACATCACGTGCTCCGCAAAGCCCTGCCACTGTTGCAAAGATTTTCTATTCCGGGAGCGTCTCAGAGAAATCGACTCTGTTTTGAAGGTAGACTTGGGCGGAACTTTGGAATCGTGACGAACAGCCAGTCGGCGCACGTACTGTTTTGCATTGCGTTGCGGCTGCGCAGTTTCTTCCTATTGGTGCTTCTCGACATGGTCGAGTCGTCGATAGACTGAGGGCCGTGTTTTCTTCTAAGCTCTGCCTTTCACAAGTGGAGACAAATTATGCAGCGGTTCAATGGAACATGCTGAATTTGCTTGGCACATGTGATGCCACCGTCCGGGGACGCTTTCTGTGCATCCGCTCCAAACAGGCCGTCCGCGACCGCGAGTAGAGAAACAAGAAGAGCTCGAACAATGGGAACGGTTCCTGATACAAATGTGCATGCGAGAGGAGGCTCAAGAGAGATGGAAGCGCAGACTCGTCGGCCAAAAAGGACTAAGAAGGACAGAGAAGCTGGGCGCGCCATTCCCGCATTTCAAAGCTTTTCGAATGCATTTACCCCTCACTCTGCACCACGTTACAAACAAAGCAACCCAGCCAGAGTTTAGCAGTGGTAACTGAGCAGTAGCTGCAGCGCCTCAGGTTTGCAGAAGGGCCACGGCTGTGAACAAAAGGAAAAGCCAACATCCAATTCCGGGCTGGCGTAGCTCTGGGTCGGCTATCGATCGCTTACAGGGAATAAATACTTGGACGAGACGGCCTGCTCAAAACGGCCACCACGGCCTTGCGGGCGGGACCACGGCATCTCGCTTACGGAGAAAGTAGGACGAGATTCATCGGGGTTGTTGCATGGTGCAGAGCTTAACAATCGGTCTTTGGTGCGAGCGGGGCAACAGATGCTGTTTGAGGCTCCTTTTCGCAGCAAGTACAATTACGGAGTCAGTCGTGGGGAAACACTCACGGGCTGGCCCAAAGCCAACGTCGGGCGGTTTTGGTGCTGAGAACACGCCATTGGAGGGGAAAATTGGGCCGCCTCTCGCTGCTTGAAGATACCGAGCCTGCGTGCCGGATTTCTTTTCGAACAGCGGTTCGCTTAGGCCACAATAATAATGCGCTTTTAGCGAATGCTCACTAGTTCAGCTCACTCAACACTACTGGAGGCCCGAAAGGTACGCAGAGCGCAAACACGGGGGGGTTCGTCATCGATGGGCCCGGGCCTCGCATGGCCTAGCCGCGGGACGTACAGCGCAGGCGACCCGTCGAGCCAAATACTCTGCCTCGACCGGAAATGCTACTGTGTCATCGAAGCTTCTCGTCGGGGGGGAGTGAGTGTTTGAGTTTTGCACAAGCCCTGTAAGCCATGGCCTTTCTGCCCAAACGGCAGACTGCGCCAGATGAAAATGGCACATGGCAACCGTTCCTGGTTCCTACCAACGTAGCGACCTATGCTAGGTCCGGGCTCTGCAAGTGTCGACCTAGGTTTGGGTCCTCGTCTTCGTTACCGACCACGGGGCGTCGAGACTGCCCGTCGTCGTCGTCGTCGTCGTCGTCGTGGTCATGGTCGTTGCTGTTCGTATCAGAGCATCCCGCGCGTCTAGGTCACAGCGGGCCCTTCCAAAAGCTGCAAGGCACCGCCAATCCCGCCAGGCCTGGAACGAGGCTTTTCTCACAGTGAGATTGGGCACTTCCATCGTCTCTGCTGTGTCCATTGTTGACGAGTGTCCCCTGCGGCTGGTTCTACAAGCACGCCTGATTTGGCAACGCATCCAGCAGACTCAGTGAAGTGTCCGTCAAATGATTCTCGAACAGGCTCTCCGACGTTTGCGGGTGGTGAGACGGAGTCCGCTGGCGTCCAGACCGCCCTTGCTTGCCCGTCATCAGCGAGGTTGCTCGACCAGGCAAAAAGCATCCGTGGACGTGGGGCAACGACGGCTCGAGTAGCACGCTCGAAGAAGAACGCATGCTTGTTTTTCTGAGACTTGCAGCGACGAATCTTGCGCAGAACAGCAGTAGCAGCAGCAGCAGCAGCAGCAGCAGCCTACGACGGCCTTGAACGAGTGGCCGGGCGTGATATGCTCCGACATGGCGCTATGCCTCAACCCAGGGCGCACACGGCAGAGGGATCACCGGCCCGGGAAGAAAAAGAAACTCGCACGCGGTTCCAGCAGGTTGGGAGGCCCATTCGGAGCTTTCCATTTGATCGCAAGATCGAGCTCTGCGTTAATCGACAAGTCGCTAAGCGTCACATCCCGGAGCCTTGTTTGTTTTCACGCAAGCCTCCAGGCCTCCGGCTGGCGAGCGGAACGGACTGGTGCTGTGCCGCATGCTCGCAAACAGCTCGCCCACAAAGGCGGCACGATATGCGACGTCTGTTTAAAAATGAACACCCCCAGCAGCAGTCCGCCCGTCCACCCGCGTAAGACGATTCTCAGAGCCAAACCTGTCCCCCTGTGCCTGGCCCTTCCAGGCCCGCCCTTCTGCACAGAGCACATGCAGAGATACTTGTAGGCAGGGCAATCTGTGGCGTGCTCCAACGAGGACGCCTAGCCCGGGGCTTTCCACCACTACTGCACCTAAATCTGTTGACGCGGCGCGATTTGGGCACTCATGGCACAAGACGTTCTCTCCTCTGCCTCTGTGCAAGACCTGCAACCCGTCATCTCCATGTTCCTCTCGCTGCCCTCGCTGCTTCGTGCTCAATGTGTGTCCTAGATCCATGGATCCGCTCACGGTGACCGTCAGTGTCGCCTCGTTCCTCGCCAACTGCCTGACCACCGTCAAAGTGCTTGGCTCTCTGAGCTCCCGCTACCCACACGTGCTGGTCACCATCTCCTCCATCGTGACAGAGACCACGTATCTGGGCTCGTTCTTGGGTCACATACAGGAGCTGCTCCTCATCAATGCGCCAAGCGTGCACGACACGAGCCCTGCAGGTCGCGAGCTGCGCCAGACCTTTGACCTCGCGCTGTCCGCTTGTCTGATCACCTTCGGCTGTCTGGAAGAGGAGGTCAGGCAGCTGGCTATCCAGCCGCCGCCGGATGCCGGGCCAGAATGGAAGGAAAGAGTGAAGCAGCTGTGGAAGGATGATATCATGAACGAGATCCTAACGCAGATTCGGGAGCAGCAGTCGACCATGGCGCTTCTTGTGCAGACCTTGCAGATGTACGTTCCTTGTTTGCCTTTCTGCTAATGCGCCCTAATCATTGACGCTCTTTGTGTCTGTCCAGGCCATCGCTGTCTGCGAGCAACCACTTTTTAAAGGAGAACCGCGGCCTCTTGGTAGCGACGGTTTCTCGGTCCCGCGCTTTGCGACAGGCCTCTTATGCAAACCTGAAAGTCCCTGAGTCTATTTTCGAAGGTCGAAATTCCGCCCTTGTCGAGAGCGGCTCGATCGTCGGGAGCTCGGAATTCGACTTCGACGACGATGTCGTCAACTCCACCGTCTACAGACGAGCCAACGTGCAACGATACCGTTCGCAGCGTGTGAGAGCAAAGCATGTAGGAGATGCAGATACAGATGAGTACTATGACCCAGCAATAGGAACGACAGCAACGGACCACGGAGCACAGTCGAGCCAGAAAGAGACGAGGGCAAGTTCCAGAATGGCGAACATGGAGACGGTAGCAGAAGAGCTTGAAGACATGGCTCTCGACCGCAAACCCAGAAAATGGAGCGGCCAGAGGCACGGTAACGGAAGCTCAGATAACACCGTTCGCCCACAGCGACTCAACCAGTCGCAGCGCTTCTCCGACGATGAGGGCAACTTGTTGTCACACGACGCATCGGCGCAGAGCCGCTTCGACAGCGGTTCTCACCGCAGCCCCGATCTCAGCGCTTCCTCGTCCTTCCGCTCGCCAGACACATCCGCGTCCGACATCTCCGGTCCGGTTGTCAATTTCTCTCGTAAGCCATCCATTGCTGAACCAGTCGCCATGCCAACGCCAGATTCTTCTCGCACAGATAGCCTAAACGACTTCTACGACGACTCTTCCGGGCACTTTGCCCCCATCGCTGACAGAGAACCCGCCCAAATCGTACCGATCACGCGCTACGCCCCGTCAGCCGCGAAACGCGTTGAGGCCTTGTCGCAGGAGGCCAACGCGCGGAGGGGCATACCCTCGAAAGCAGCGAAGAGACTTGGCGTCGACGACCGCCAGCAGCCGTCGCGACTCGGAAATATCGACGAGATCCCCACGAGAGACAGACCTAGCAGCTCTACATCAGGAGGGTCGGGTAGCTCGCGAGGACGACCCTCAAGGCCGGTAACGCAGGTGACACTAGCTGAACTCAGTAGACAAGGCACCTTGGACTTTACGTCGCCCTGGTCCGTCTTCTGGCATGTGACGCCAGAGGAAATCCGCAAGCCACCACGCGGCTACAGCGTCGCGATCCAAGAGCTGTGGTGGAAGCTGCTACAGTTCGAGGAGAGCTACACGTACTCGCTACAGATGGTCCACACTCTGATCACGTCCGACACGATGTTAATGCCAAAGTGCGGTATCACCCCAGCTTCGGTCCAGAAACTGCAGGCCTCGCACGACAAACACATTCGACAGCCGCTTCGAGACGCCATGAGTGTTGGCCCATGGACGTTCGAGTACGCCACCATCATCAAGGCCTACCAGCTGGCGCACGCACATCTAGCCTCGCAATACGAGAGATATGCGTGGGACTTGCCCCTGGTCACGTACTCGTTAGCTTCGGCTTCCGCCCCGGCTTCGGCTACGTCGCGAGATCTTCTTCTGTCCCTTGGACCGGGCATGCCTACGAGGTACACTTGTTTGCGAAGTCCATTGACACACCTCTGCTCAACTTTCGATACTATCCAGTCGATTTACGACATTACGCACAACGGCGGTCCGAAAGATGTCCCCAACTTTGCGCAGCTCGTCTACCCGGTCCGAGAGCAGCTTCGATCACTCATCGCCTCGTGCAACCGCAACATCTTGCTGCAGTGGGAAGATCTCAGACGTGTCAACCTTTTCGGCGATCAGGGCTCAAGGGACATTGCCGACGTGACCAAGGAGCTCGTCTTCCCGCCGTCTCAGCGGAGAAACATGATGCTGCTCAACCTAAGCTCACCGACCCGATCCGTCATACTGCGTGCCGATCTGCACTGGAAAGCTAGCATTAAAGACAACTGGTCGAAGTGTCACGCGGTGCTGCTTAACAATTACGTCGTCCTATCAGGCACCAGTCCTGGCAAAGGCCAAAGACAGCATCAAGTCTACTTTGTGGTACGTACGATCGTCGTCGGAACGCCGACGCTCGTCTTTCACGCCAGAAGAAGAAAAGAATTAATCAAGAAAAAACGCAGGTTTCTCTTGCCGAGATTGCAACGACAACCATGTCTGCAGAACCCCTCGACGACAAGAAGACAATCAAACTGGCCAAAGCCGGAAAGCCGATGTACCACCTTACCATCCGAACCCCGGATTTCGAGCACATTCTCGGCTTCGGCACCATGGTGCAATGTCTCGAGTGGCACGAGCACCTAGACGTCGCCCTACGCGGCGAGATGATGGACATGCCGACGGGCATCTCTTCGAATAGCGTATGACTAGCGTCGGAGAGCATCCTCCGCACCGTCGAGGTCAAGATCGAGGTGAGCGATTCGCCGGTGATGACAGGGGATGAGTACGACGACAGCGATATGAGTCCTCTGAGCCCATGGGACTCGGCAGAGATGGGGGCATTCCCTTGGCCTGTTTGGGGAGAAGGGCAGCCCCGCAGGCCATCGTCATTCTCATCTTCGCCGAGGCGAGGAGACGGCAGTTTCTCGCCTGCTTTGAGAGCTATGACGGTTGGCAGGTCGGGCTTGAAACGCATCAGCTTCCCCAGCATCTCTAGCCTGAAAAGACTGAGCTTTGCGGAGGCATGAAGGTATAGGAAAACAAATCCCGCGTCTTATGTGTTACGATACCAAATAGAGCTTGATTCTTTTTGCGCCAAATGCAATTCTTTGAGCGAGTTTTTTACAGAACTCAGAGCCTGCAATTCCATGTGCTTGACTCGTGACTATGTCTCGCCGCCATGTCTTTCATTGTCGTGTTCACCGCATTGCCGCACAGACTGTGTCTCATCACCGCACAGCTACATGACGACGATAAATTTCATGATCACATGATCCGTGTGGCTGGCTTGTTTCACTTTCGAGGCTCTGGAACTCAGCTGGACCGCTTGTACCGTCCGTCTCGAGTGCGCACACGCTTGTTGTCGTGTGGAACCTGTCAGGAAGATGCTTGAAAGGGCTCGCCTCCCTCCAAGCAAGCTGCTAAAAATGTTCGGCCTCGGAGAGGACGAGCAAACGACGACGATTCGCCCAGAAGGCAGCTGAGGCATACTCCAGCCTACTGTAGTTTGCCTCCACCCACCGTCACGGTGGCACCTTGACTTGTACTTCCACGGCCCACCCAGACATCGGCGTCGTGAGATAGAGAAGCTGACGAAGGAGCAGCGGCCAGCAAGACAAACAGTCGGTCAAAAAAGTCCCATCTTTTTCGCCACGAGCCGCCATGCACGGCATCAGAAGCCGTGGCGTGGATATGCGCGAGCGGGCCCTGCGCTGACCGACTGCACGACACACGTCGCCCCCGACCTTCGACGCCTTATTCGCCCGCCAATCTCCGCGTCCCAATCGCACGGAGGGCCCGCACAGAGCGCAGCGGGCCCGTTGTTGCGTCCCAGCCCGTCGCGGTGCCCCCAATTGCGAGGGGGAGACACGGCGATGATGAAAGAGGCCCGGGCGGTGCTGGCGCCCCTCCGACGCTGACGACGGGGGCGCGATCCGCGCGGCGATTGGCTGCGTCTGCGATGCGGCTTCCCGACGCTGGGCAGGGATGCTGAGGATATTCCAACCACACACGACGCTCATCACGTCCTTTGTGCCTGCCCCGTCTCTGGATCTCTTCTGGTGAGCCGGCGAGGGTGCTGGGCCTGCTTTGTTGATTGTTCGCTTTCTAATGGCTGGCGTTCTTTCTGGTTCCCCTTCACGTCCCGGGGAGGGGGCGCGTGTCTCTCTTTTTAATTATCTTTCTCCCTCTGGGGCGGCGGGCGCGCGCGTGTGTGTGTGTGTCTGTGTTGTGGCCAGCGTGCTTTTTGACTAAGAAAATCTGACTTTGGGCCGACGACCGCTCGCCATGGGAGGTTCGTGTGTACGAGGTCGTGGCTGCCTTTTTGTAGCCCGCCCTCTGCTCTTTCTGTCGTACTCATGGGAGGAAGCCGCGCTCTTCGCTTCAGATCCTATCGTAGACGCCCTCGGAAAGCTCAACTCGACGTCTTCAATCGTTCTCTCGGCTCCTGCCCCGTCATCTGTACATCGTTGTCGTCCTTGCCACCTTCTTCCCTACTCGCCTCTCCTGGAAGACGGGCTTGGAGTCCCGATCCAACTCGGATCTGCGCGTAGATTCGCCCTCGACTTTGTCTACGGACGTTTGGAAGAAGCCAGCCAACTTTTCGCGGTCGCTTGCCGGACGGACCGCAGGCTTTCGACACAGTCCCTGCAGTGGGAAACGCGTAAACTAAATCTTTGACGTGGCTGTCCGACTCTGCTCTGCTCGTCCTGGATTGACGTGTGCTTTGGCCTGCTTCGGATGCCGTCTGTCTGTTCTCGAAGGGCGCTTCATGGTCGTGTCGAGTAAGTTTGCCGAATTGATTGTTTTGATATGTACCTCGCTCTCTCGGGGACGGTGGCATAATAAATGAAGCTAACAGAACGTTTGACGGAAACAGCACTGCTGGACAATGCCAATAGATACCAGCCAAGACAGAGCGCGAATTCATTCACTGCACGAAAACCTGGATCATGGATGAGACAACCAAGATACAGATTTGAAGAACCCAGGCGAGAGACTAATCTGTTCGTGTTGTATTGACTGGTGTGGAGGTTTTGTTTGGAGCAAACTAGTCGTGGGTTTGGACTTCGACACACACAACACCAGTAAGAGAGCGATACTGTGTGCAACGAAGCGACCATGGCTTTCCAATACGCACATCACCGGCCGCTAACGCCGATCACGCCAGTGCACTCACCCCATCCATCAGCCGGGTCTTCAGTTCGAGCGCGAACACCCGGTCAATTGAGTCTTCATGAGTACCGTAAGATGCAAGTGACTCCCAGCCCACCGGCTGTTCCAGGACAAAAAACTGTCAAGAAGAAGCGAGGAATGTCCAGTCTGAATCGTCCTGAGGGATCACACGCGCAAACCCCAAAATCTGACTTCTTCTCCTCATTTCCCTCCATGACGACACCCCCGGAAACACCTTCACTAGACCCTCCGTTGCCCTTCACTTCCAATGTTTTACCAGCCGATGCGACCCCCGTGTCACGCGTAGAACACTCTTCTGCTGCCACAAGATATCCAGAATTTGCACACCTCTTATCTCTTGGATCTGAGATTCAACACTCTCCTCCAAAATCAAAAACTTTGCTTTCATTGCATTCAACATTGCCTTCGTTACAAAGCTCATCTTCGTATAAAGCGCCAGCACCAAAACAACCTTCAGTCTTGGGTCTCTCGCCGCCGTCGTCGTCGTCGTCTCCGCTGAGGCATCCTCTTTTGGAGAGCCAACTCAGTCTGCGACGGCCTTGGTCCTCGACCGAGGGCCAAGACCTAAGGTACGTTTCCTCTGATACTGACTCCCAGGCACCATCCAGGATCCGCCAGCAGTCTAGGTTCGACGGGAGCAGCAGAGCAGAGAGCGCCGACATCATCCGCAGTCTTGGACGTCACTTCCAGCAACCCGATATTCTAGGATCGTCATTCCCAGGCACCTCGGTCCGGGAATCATTTCCAGGAATTGGAAGCACTAGGAATAACTTTCGTCCATTGAGTACTTCTGCCACTCAGGAGTCCACGTTTTCGCAGCCCAAAGTGAAGACATCGCAGCCTCTGGCGGGAGCATCTCATAGTTTTGAGCCCCTTGCTAGCGCTTTCAACCCTCGTGAAAGGTGAGTTTTCTCCTTCAGTGTCACATCAAAAAGTGAAGTCAAGCAATGCCTTTCTCACACATGTAGGCACTTCAACTCGATTAAGCGACTCCCAAGACCTCATTCGTCTGGCAAGCGGCGTCCAGTCCCCTTGAGCCTTACGACAAGTAACACAGACGGACTTTATCAGTCAGAGAACTACACGACAAGCACTTCGAGCTTCTCGCTGTCCAAATACTCATTTCCACAACCACCGCAACCACGTGCACTGTCGCCACACTCTCATCTGGCAACGCCACCTCTTTCAGTCGAGACAGAGAGTAACGTGCCTCGTCTGCCAGCTGAAAGCCCCCTGTTGCGCTTCAGTGGCGTCTCTTTTGAGATAGTGAACCCACACAGCTCACTTGAGCTTGCAAACTTTGACTCACTTTCTGACGAAGTTGAGGATTTGAAGCTAGATCAACCAACCGTGATTGACTACGACAGCGACAGTAGCGAGATGGGCTCTGACGGAAAAGGTGCTCCAATTGGAAAACGCTTCAGCTCATTCCGTAACGCATACGAGTCGATCTCAAAAGGCTCTAAGCAGTTACTAAGTGGCGGCCAGTCACGTCGTAGCTCCTCAAGTCGAGCACGTTCGACCTCTCAACCAACCACCCCTATAACGCCGCCTCGATTATCCACGGGCCCCACGCCTGCAAATACGCCGCCATGGGTTGGTTTCAATGAACATGGGCAACGCGTGAACGCTGCCGGTGAAGTGGTTACTGATTCCATCCAAGCTGGTCCTAGGACTAGCCAAGCAGACCTGGTCCGCGCCTCAATGTCATCGCGCTCCACTCCAACTTTCTCACAATCACTTGAGTATCCTGAGCCTGTATTCACGTCGAACATACCTCTTCCAAGTCGTGCTCGAAGCAATACTCTTCAACCTCTTCTTGAGAGCTCACCCATTCTGTCGGCCGACAAGCCGGCTCTCGCACTCTCTCTCGAGCATGACGTTATTTCTCCTGCAGAAGATAGAGTGGACTCCCTGCGATGTGAGACCACTACCCGTCATCTCCATCGCTCTCAGACTAGAGGGTCTCGCTCTGTTACATTTGACCACACAGAGGGTGCTGGCTTCGACTTCGGGCTTCCCGTCGCTCGACAGAATAGTCTGCTGCACGACTCTATGCCAATTGCACAAAGCAATGATTTCAGCGCTCTTCGAAATCGTAAGTGTTGTTTCATGTCCTAGTGCAGTTCCAATTTACTAATATACGCTAATTCTAGTTGATCATGGCGTTACTTCTTTCCCTCGTCCAGCGATTAAGTCTCAGCAGTCAGCGTTGCGACAGCCTATCTACGAATCCGACCTTGAATCTCACAGAACTGTTGCCGGCGGGCAGAATTTCGCTCCGGATCGTTCCACGGGCGAAACTCGCTACTCACAAGCAACCTCCGTTGACGACCTGGACTATCCGGAGTCGTCATGTTGTCTGAGCGAGCCATTCCCATACGCGAATTACGAGAGTCGTGCTACTGGTCAGAGCTCTACTCTCAGTCGTTTCATCCAAGAATACGACTACACTCATGGAGACCAGATGCTAGAACCGAGCCGGGACGCTCAGACAATCCATTATGAACTTTCGCCACATTCATCTTACGTAGACCCTGCGTGGACTGAGGCGACGAACGAGATAGCTCCATCGTCCACGAGATCTGCCTCTGCTGCAGATAGATTTGTAACTATGAATGGTCGTGAGGCAATCAATGGTCGTGGTCCGATGTATGGTGTAGACCTCGGCTCAAGAGTTGATTATCCTAGATTTCGTGGTCAAATCACCCGCGCTATTCCTGTACGGCAATTTAACACGGTGGAAGACTTTGACGAAGCCATCGAAGACATGGCGCATCAGCCACTTCTCCATCGTAGCGACACAGAGTTTCTTGAGCGATATCATGCGCTCATGAGCAGAATTTGTGAATTACATGGTATAGAGGCGCGTCGGGCTGCTGAACGCAAGCTTAACCACGTTGTTCCAGCACCACAATCTGCCTTTGACCATCAGGTCAAAACTCAACCGACGGGAGAGTATGAAGACTATCTCTATATGGCTCCAGTTGCTCCACTCAGCTATCAAGATGACGAGTCTGAATCTGAAGAGAGTGAGCGGAGTCCTTTGAATGAAAGCCCTGGCTCTTCTATAGCACCACTTGGCCCTCTGGTCGTACGCAACAACGCAACTCACATTCGTGACTCACGCGAATTTGCTAGATGGCTTGAAGAGGATTCCGATACTGAACAGCATTCAGCGGAAATTCCCCAAAGCCCACTGGATAATAGTCTGCCACGAAATCCCCTGGATGTTCACGGCGCATTCTTGCATAATCCAGATGGTGCACGGGATCAAGTTCAAGGCATTGAATCAAGTCAACTTGCCGTAGACAGGGTGCGATCGAACTCACACCGTTTTGGCTGGAGTGGGCCACCACCTCAAGACCCTGCACCGTGTCCTTCTAATAATGAGCAGTCCATTGGTTTTATAACACCTCCACGTCCTTTTGCAAATCGCAATCCAGCTGAGCAGTCCGAAGTCTCATCGTATGACAGCACTAAGAGATTGCTTGGTATCATTAACACAACCGCTCCTCGATCTCCAGACGACGAATCGTATGTTGTACCACGCGATACAGCTAACCTTAACGCTCAAGATCAATCATCAGCTTCACGACGCCGCTTCTACATGAATTGTCAGGCCCTTCGACACGAAGAAGAGCTTCCAAGGATGTGGGCACGTTACTCACCACCTGGGTCTGCAAATCTAAGACAAAAGAGGACGTCTAATGAGGCTACACCTAGCCAAACTAGCGAAGAAATTGCCGCAGCGATTGACGATGCTGATGACTGGGAGACAGAACCTAGTCGTAGTAACCGCAATTCGTATGCAAGACATGGCACTGACTTTCGTGGTGATTCCGGTGAGAATTCAATCTTGGGCGGGTATTATGCATTCCCGACGAAGGAAAACGAGTCCTATGGAGCCGGCAATGATTACACACCCGCACATCCGCTCCGCCCAAACGACTCTCATCTTCCTGGCTTTTACCCGGTAGAAGAGCTTTCGCCAGAACCACATGATGACTTCGAGAACTTAACTACACCTCCAAAAGCAGTAATTCGACAAAGTCACCGAAACGTAATTCCCAAGCAAGTCTACCGTTATGGTCACAACTTTGATGACATCGAGCTTGGAGTTCTTTCGCCACGTTCGATTCCGTCAGTACGCTCGGACCGATCGAGTCGCTCTCGAATGACGCGTTGGCCACGGCCATCTGTGCAACACCAGAACACAATACGCCCATTCATGCTTCGCTCCAACACTCAATGTTTTGACAGCGCACCCACTTTGCAACGAAAAGACACACGCATGACTGTCAAGGAGAAAAGGATCGCATATGCGGTCAATTGGTTTTGCATTACTATTGGTGCGATCATCCCCATTCCAAGCCTCTTATTTTGCCTCGGCTTCTTTGATGGCATCACGAGGGAGTGCACCAGTCGCAAATTGAAGAAGATTGCATTGTGGGAATCGGCTGTTATGCTTGTTGTGGTCCTCATTGCGGCTGCAGTTTGCATCACGATCTCGGCTGAAAATCAACGCCGCGCCAGCGGGAATTAATATTGATACCCAGAATAAGAATGATTCAGTAGTTGGTCGATTGAACTATTGATGATAAAAAACAAAGACCCCGACTCTTCAGCAGACACCAGCCTGATTTAACATTGGGGTTACATCGTCTAGGAAAGCGAAAGGACGAAAACAGCATTCATTTATTTTCCTTGGTCATGCTACAATCACACACGCACTAATAATGCAGTCATGGTCTGCCACTAATTCCTGTGCATGCAAACGTCACCATCGTAATGCATCAGCCGGCAAATGACAGCTCACTCTCTGTGGCTTTCGTGGTTGCGGCTCAAATTCACGACTACGTTGGCGGAATGCTTGTATTTCTAAACACATTTTGAATATATTATGAATGAGTCGGCAATCAACTGCTGCTCCCACTCAACGATGACAATGTCGATTGGACTCGTGGCGAGCTTCTCTGCGCTCGTCATCCTTCTGAAAATGTAATTCTTCCTTGCCTTTTGTAGGCTTGAAGAGAAGAATTCAATTGCAAAATGCGATTGACTGATTATGAAATTAAATTTGGTGGTGGGCTTTGTCGCCCTCGTCACTAATCAGCTCATGTAATATACTTAATAAGTTAGCAGAATCCTATAAATTCCATCCTACAACCTCATCCAAAGTATCACGCCGGTTAATTTGAAGAAGCTCTCCGTCGTCAGAAGCATGTCTACTAATACTAGTGCGTTTGAGCATGTTCATGTTTGGATGGAACCGGCATGGCATGACGGATGCAATTCTGAGTTTCATAAAAAGAGCATATGTAAGGGATTGATTATCTTTCCCTTGTCAGAATTTTTTAAAGCGGCTTCTCAATTCTTCTATGAACCTTTTCCATCGTCGCCGATAATGTGTATGAGACGGATGTGGCGGCGTTCGTGGCCTTTCAAAATGCAGACTACCACACGACGAGCCGAGACAATCCAGTAGCGTCGTCGGTTGCAACGCTCCGCTCATGACGAAATAGTTTTCGGATCTTCCGCGGTTCCATGCCGCATGGTGCGGGTCATCAATTCTGTTTGATGTCGGCGAGCTTTGTTCCGTGGACTGATGCGGATTGGGAAGAGTTTGATCAACTGAGAGATGATTTGGAGTCTGGCGAAGTTTCTCAACAGGCTCGCTGGCTTGCGAATCATCCAACGAGTGCGCCGATGGATCGTCCTGCCGTGCTGCATTTGGCTGCATATCGTGCAGTCCTTGAGCCAGTGTCTTTTGTAAGAGCGTGTTCTGCTTCTTGACGAGCTCAAGTTGCCGCTTGCACATTTCGACACGCTCTTTCTGCGCCTTATACAACGTCTCGTGCGTCTTGCAGTGCTCTTTCACATACAACCTCAGCGTCCGAAGCTCCTTCGAGACGTCCATAATTCCTAGCTCTGCCTTGACCGCCAACGGATCGCAGTCAAGCACCCGCTTGAACAGGTTTTCGTAGAAGCTTTGCACGCCAGGCTTGAAGCCACGCTGCCCGACGTCGAGAAAGTGGCTAATCCAGTCGTAATGTCCGACGTGAGTGCTCAGCACGCGGACGAGAAGAGTCTCCATATACCTTATGCCGCCGATGGAGCTGACGACGGCGTCGAACAAGGGCGTCTTGAGCACAAATCGCCAATCGTCGCTGTCATGGGCGCAGGCTTCGATGAGGTAGCGCGCGTAGTCTTTGCGATACCTCTCTAGCTCGCACGTCACGGGGCCAGTCCTGCTAGGCCAGCTCAAGGCTCCGCTAACGTTTTGACCAGTCTTCCAAACGGCCCAGTCTTCGCACAAGAAAACCGGCTGCCGCGCCCATCCCAGATACGGCGCCTTCGTGTCGGTGTAGTCCCAATCGATAAAGCCGGTAACGTTGCCCTCGCGGTCCACGAAGATGTTCTGAGGATTGAAGTCGGTCTGCGCCAGGACAAACTCTTCGTTCTGCTGGTAGGATTCGCTCGTGCCCGGTGCGTAGGGAAGGTACTTGAGCAGCAGCGAGTACAGGGCAAATATCCCACGGGTTTTGTTGACCATGGGGTTCTCGTCCGGTCTGTCAAATACGTCGTACTTGGCAAAGGTCCTTACCGTAGTTTCGTACCACGTTCGGAGGAGCTCATTGTAATATTCGTACGATGAAGTGGCAGTCCCGCTTCCCGTAAAGGACTTCAAAGACGATATTGAGCTCGTGGTGCTTACTTTGTAAGTTTCGTCAAGCATAAGATAAGGAAATCTCCTCGCATGCCTGTCCAAAATGTCGTCTTCGAGAATGGAGGAAAAGGGGCGCATCTTGATTGGAACAACCGTTGGTCGCCTCACATCTCCGTTGACAAGTCTAAACTCCCCGTAGCTCTTGAACTTCAGACTTCTGAGTTCAACCACTTGATTTGCAATCGACCTTAGAATCTTCTGTCTCTTGGCCTCGAGCTCTCGAGGAACCGAGACAAAGTCTTGTCCTGGTTCGGTTCCGTCAGCATCCCACCAGACGTCGGAGAGGCGCCTTCCCTCAACAAAACTCGTGATGATGAAAGGTGCCTTGATGGCATTTTCGAATCCCACGTCGTAGGCGACCACGTCCGGTATCAGCAGATTCGTCGTAGCTTTGACGTAGCGCATGGTGTCGACGACGTTCAGAAGCGTCGACCTTGCGTGCTTGTTCCAGACGCCTCGCGAACCGCACGAGGGCATGCGCACGCAGTATTTGACGTCGTTGTCGAACTGCACGATCGCGACGAGATTGTTCTGCCCATCTTCATATCTGATCACCTTTCCTGACGTCGAATGAGGCGGTCTGTGAAGCATGGCAAGCTGTTCAATTTGCTCTTGGGGAATGCTGATCAGATAGTCCCATCCCTCCAAGGTCGGGGATATGTGACTCTGCTTCTCGCGGCTTTCCCTGCGACTGTACTGCCACCCATCCAAGCTGTCTTCTTCTTTCACGAATGGCTCGTCGTGTCCAGCAGGCCACAACTGCGGGGAGTATTCGGCAGCGTGCCTGGGTGACTGACCGGATGCCTCAGCCCAGCTCATCGACGCTTTCGTTGTAGGGGCCGGCCCCGCGGCGTTCCCGTTTATATCTCTAGATGGATTCTCATGATTGATTACATGGTCCTTGGTCGCGTTGAAAAGCCGCTTCGGGATCCTCGCGCTGTTCTTTTGCTTCCCTGTGGACTGCACGTCCGCACTTTTAAAAGCTTGCTCATGACTGATACCGAACGGCGTTGACGGAATGGCCTCTGCAGCAAGGGCCGATAATTCTTCCAGCCTCTCCGCTGTGTTCCTGTTTATGCCTTCTCCTTGTAACTCCGCATGCTCGGGCGTGATGGATGAGTCCTTCGGCCGGAGACTTCGCAGTGGAGATTCAACTGGAGTACCTACGCCATTCGTGGCCATTTTGACCTTACAGGTCCTCTTTGAAGCGTCAGTTTCACAAAAATAAATGGAGTGAGTATTTGCTGCGTCGTGCATGCCAGTGTTTCGATGTTTTCACTACTTTGACAAACGCTACAGCTCTCTGGCTGAGAATCCGATGAGGAATATTAGATGGCGTTATATGTAGAGATAAGGATAAAGGCGAAAAGGGAACACCAGCTTTTAGGACATATTCATAGCTGTGTATGAAGGTCTATGTATGTCCGTTTGATACTTTCACCTCTTGTGAACGTGGACGTCACACGTACAAAGTTATGACAAACCCGCACGCAATGGACAAACAACCTAATCTGCGCGGTGAATCAAGTCATCACAGTGATCCGAATCATTATCTCGTATTCACCAACGGTAAAATAAGGTGAGAAATCCAAATACCTGGATATACCATTGCTTAATTGCCTAGACTCTTGCCTTCTCCGTTAAATTTTCCTTGTGGACCATCTAATTGGCAATCCACCACGGCGCTGACACCATTCTTAACGCTTTCAACCGCTTCCTTCAGCACTCTTTCTAGCTCGTCCGCAGTGCTTGCTCTTCCTGCGTACAAATTCCCACCTGCCGCAGCTTTTGCAATGCCTGCATAGTCTGGTGTCGGCTCAAAGCTGATGTTGATCGTCTTGTTGTCGACCTTCGAGCCTAGACCGTGCGGGTGCACGAGCTCCAGCGATTTACGTGGTGCATTCCAACCTTTGTTATTAAGCACGATAGTGAGAACCGGAATGGAATATCTCGCGGATATCCAGTACACGGATCCAGGCACGGAGAAGAGGTATGTGCCATCTGCGAAGCATATCAGTCAGTTTCAATGTGCGTGTCACGCGGGTTCAATAATGGAAGCAGTACCTCCCACGATCTGGCAAACGAATTTCTTTTCTCCAAGATCATCTGTTGCCAGTTTGACTCCCAATGTTCCTCCCCCGCTCCAACCTAGACCGCCACCTCCGCAATTTACCAATGATCCTGGTATCGTAACCTGCAGGTGATCTGACACCGTCGGGCCATTCGTCACAGCTTCAACAGCAAAAATTGTGTCTTGAGGAACGTGATGCCGTACTCTACTGATCAGATACGGAGTCAGAAATGTGCCGTCGTCTTTCGGTTTGGCAAGGCTATTAATTGCCTTTAGTCTATTGGTATATGACTCTCCCAGTCTTTCCCAACGCTCGTTTATATCCGAGGCGCTCAGCGTTTCTTTTAACGCTGCGTTTGATTCTATGTAGTCTAATATTTGCGTGATTGCATTGAAACTGCTGGCTTTGTACCGAGCCAAGGCGTTGATATAAAAGACTGGCATCTGCTGCTTGATCGGATCTACGTCGACGTGGTAGATGACGGCGTCTGATCGGGGAGTATTGTGATGATTTATCCACGGTACATCACAGTCAAGGACGAGGATCATATCCGCTGTTTTGATGGATTCATCCACGCCATATCTCAATCCCAGCCAAGCTCGGTGATTTGCTGGGAAATTCATGTCGCTGCCACCTGTGTCCAGGACCCTTAGGCCTTTGACTGTGTCTGCGAGTTTGACAAGCAAAGGAGGCACATCGTGATTGCGTCCGCTGTAGCCAGTAATGAGTAGAGGCTCCTTTGCATTCACGAGAGCTTCAGCAATTTTCTTCACGCCACTGAGTGGAAGCGCGGGTGGTTCCACCGGCTCCCAATATTTCTGGTCGAGCGTATAAGGCTCGATGTCTTGTTCCATTGGTTCTCGAGCGCCACAAAGATAGACTGGGCCCTGAGGATCGCTACGTGCAAAGGTGAGAGCCCGATTGACGAGTTGCTTTTTTTGCGTTGTCAGTGTTCATCGTTTCGCTTTCTTGCAGTACAACAAACGAACCTTTACATTCTTGCCCGTCTTTATCTCCCCTGTATAGCGGCAATACTGCGACACAATGGCCTTCTGATCAGGTACATCCTGGATCCAATGGATGTACTCCGTCCTGCTACCTCTGTGCTCGGACTCGAAGGAGTACGGCGACAGGCCCGCGAAGATAAGTACAGGTGCGCGGCCGCAGCTCGCGTTGTGCACGGCAGCTGCTAGTGCTTGTGTTCCCACATCAACGTGCACGATTACCGCTTGAGGCTTTCCTGAATATCGGGCATAGCCATCGGCCATCGAGAGAGCAACCATCTATCTAAATTAGTGGATTTGACTTGACACACCGGGGATTCTACTGTGAACCTCATTAGGACACGTTATTATCCTCGGGAACTCATTTTTCTTTTCCTTCTGGCCCTTTACCATCGCCTCTATGATGCTGGGGTGATCTGAGCCCAAATTGACTGCAAAAATCCGTCAATTCTGCTCCATGTACACATTCCGCAAGCTACGCACCGAAGCAATACCTTACACCAGCATCCCACAAAGCCTCGAAGAAGGCGAACGAAGTGGTATATAAGTCAGGCATCTTCGCGTCACCCATCAGAACACCAGTAGGAGTCAGAATATCCGGCAAATGGACGTAATTGCTGTCTGAATGAATCCAAATTTATGGAGGGGTAGGCTCAGTCAAGTACAGAATTTATCACAAGCTGCGGCCCCAGACTGCACAGTCGATACCCCGGCAAACTCTTCTGGGTGCCACCGTGGGGCGGCCCTAGTCACTCCCATGCAGAAATGATGCTCACTGCAAAAGAGGAGGCGCTGGTCAAGGCATTCGGACTTCGCGAGATCGGGAGATGTCTGGGGTTGTGGGGACACGACTACCATGTGTGTGCGGAATCGCTCCGCCTTGACGGCCGACAAGACAAATGCACCAGTCAAGTTCTCTTCTTACCTGCCCTGTCTGTTCATTTGCCGCGTAGGAGCCAACACTTGCGCCCTACGGGATCCAACAAATCCTTAACCAGTATTGAATTTACGATGCTCGCTCGTGCTCCGCACATGGTCGTTGAGAGTCTTAGTTCTAATCATCACTCGTTCGGGAACTTGGAACATTGCACGGCGTCTAACATTTCAGATACGTCTTGGAAACAAGACACATGAGTTTGGCAGTCTTCGTACCTCTCCTCACAGCCGAGGGGAAAGACTAGTCATCTCTGTATCCCATTCCTTCTATGCATGCTTGAAAGCTCTTGCGAGAAGTACAGTAGAGAAGTTCGGACTCGTTCTTGCTCCGTGCGTGCTTCCAGAAGGTATAGAATACCATATGTCCCATTACATCGGTACTTTTCGCGGAGTTTTGTACCAAGAAAGGCTTCCAATGCTACATCCGCTAAATCTGTCTTTCTCTTAGATATTTAAGGACAGCAGTCCCCCCATAAAGTCTTCAAAAGCGTAGCTAAGAGCTTGGGAGAGAGACCTTGTGACAATGACACATGTCCAGCTGTCCGGGATGGTAGCAACTTCATGGCTCTCCTTTTTTGAATTTATTACAATTTTATGGAACACTTTGGCGCTGCCGATAGTGTTCAATGCCATCAATAGGCTCGCTCCGTGCCTTTTGGCCCCTCTTCTGGCTATTCACAGATGGAATATACTCTTATAGCATTTGGTGGCCTTTGCGGCAGCATGTACAAGATTATTCTCCAAGTTCCTAAGGAACTGAATCAAAATGACCTGCAAGCTACACCAAGCAATTGAATCAGCCTCAAAATTGCTCCATGCTCTTGATTAGATCACCAACTTTGGCCGAAATAAAGGTCACATCTGGATCTCCTAAGGAAATAGTTGCTATAAATGGTTTGTTATATACCGAGAAGATTTTTTTTCTGGTCCACGCCAATGAAATCTCCCATACAAAAAAGATTTGGGACCTTCCATTCCGTCTCCTTCTGCTTACGTATCGGATCTCCTCGAAGCCATCGATTAGAAGTATTCGTGGATAGGTTCTTTGGGACGATCTTCGAAGATTGGTCTTCTGGAGAATTGATCGTTGCCTGAAATTGACACCAGGCGTACTTTCCTGATTCAAATAGTGAAGATACTCTTCCTATATCTCCGGCTGTCGAACATCTGACAATCAAGGAGACCGAGGATCCTTGCTTCGCCAAGCACTCTAAGCTTGCCGGTATAAACTTAATAGACGTCATGAAGGAATTAGAAACCAGTTCACAGTGGTCCGTTGCACGTCAAGCAGAGGACTCGTCAAACTTTTAGTCTGTTCTTCGGGCAGATCTTCTCATAACATGACCTCTGATTCATTCTTCAGCGAATGTTGCCCAGGATGTAACCATCACTGGCCTCGAGACGAATTTATGAAACTTTCGTTCGTGAATGTCAGTACAGCAAGTCTAATGAACTTGGTGACAGAAACAATATGAAGCTCGTCAGTCCAGGAGTGTTGAAAGTGAAGAACTTACGGTCACTATAGGTCTTGTCTGGACGAGTTACTGCTTCATCATACTCTTTATTTTCCTTACAAGACATCCGCTTCTTGAACATCCACAATACTCTGTACCCGTTGCACACAAACTAAATACCTCTCATTGCCGCGCCCGATCAAAGCCTCATATTGTAGAACTTGGTTCACAGCTCAGAGGGAGCTTCAGTCTCTTGAATTCCATTATTAGTATCGTCCTATTTTATTTAAAGCCTTGATATTACACAGTTCAACAGTCTTGGGCGCAACATCTGCTCGGTTGCGAGCTGCTGCTGTAAACAGCACCCTCATTTCCCTCACTAACAGTTAGACATCATGGCACCACTCTCTCGCCTTCCAGAGTTCTTCATACACAAGAACGGAATGCCTTTAGATGATGGCTTTGGCAACCAAATCATGTGTCAAGTAATGCTAAGTAAGTTGTTTCATTACCGTCACTGGGAGCAGCTCCCATTTACCCTCAATAGGATTCAAAGACAACACGAGTGTCTGTCTACAGCGCATGTATACGCCTGGAATAGGCGCCTTTACACAGGATCCGTCCATGTCGCTGGACACTGCTGTCCAACAGTCCACATCTAGCATGAATAATCTCAACAATTTGCCGGCCAACGTCAAAGTATGGCTCTTTCCAGAGAATTATAAGATGCTCTGGCCCGACGAGTTTCCGGAAGATCAATCTCCAGTCATGCCAATCGCTTGGAATCCGCTTCCTTGTTCCCCAATGGACCCGATCCTTAGAGCGATCGGAATTGTTCCTGGAATCTCTAACTTGCCATCATATGGTTTAACGCAAGCTAATCTCTCACCAAACGTAGCCACTATGGCGCAGCCACTTACAACACCCAAAGTGGAGGGCTCTAGCGCTGCTGTGGCCACAGTTGACAAATATGGCCTTGGCAGGGGAAAAGGGAAAGCAGAAGATGCTAATGAATTAGGAGAAGAGCGTGAGGTTGCCGTAATCACAAGCCCAATTAATTTCCGTATCTTGTACACGACCATGCTGAACACGCCGCAGCTGCATGAATTGTACACGATTCCAGACACATCGTTGCTTAGCACAACGCCAGGCCCAAGTACTTTGCTTCCCACTGGCATCAATCTTACCACCAGTGAAATTCTTGCATTCTTCCCTGGTCTCCTTCACGATCCATATTTCATCTATCGCGCCTATTCTACTGGTTGGAATTGGCAGACAATGGTCCATGCGGCGCGAATGTACCGCGACGTTCAGTGGGAACTTAGCCACGCAGTGGTTGAGCCCCTTATCCGTCGCGGCATGGCCTATGTTCTCGGATTGGATGAGGAGGATTGGTCTGAAGACGAGTATCAGCAGCGCGTCCCTGTTGAGAGGCGTCTAAAGCTGCATGACTACACCAGGGGTGGCCTTTCAGTTACTCACTCAACCCACCCCGCGAGCAGAAGCGACTTGATGCTTTCGCAGTTAAGGAATGAGGTCAAAGTTCTCCCTATTAACGAAGACGCTGGTGCTTTAACGACGCTCATTGCGGCTCTAAATTGTGGCCAAATCAGAGACATGCCAATGTCGGCTCTCGGCGATTTTGTCGAGACAAGTGTGCTCTACTTCCCTCCTCACGGCCCAGATGAAGATCTCGCCTGCGCCCAACGCTGGCGTGAGAAGCTGCGTAACCTACCATGGAACTTATACATGCCATAGTTCGTTCGGCATGGAATCCAAGCAAGTTCTTTTGGGCATGGCGCTGGGATATATTTATTGATATGCACCAGGCTTTTCACCGGCTTTAGCCTCTTCTCCAAGAATAGTAACGGAATATGAATGCCTCTAACCTATCGTAGTCCATCACGTATCTTAGCAGATGCGCTCCTTGAGCGTCGACTCGAAGTCTTGCAAGGTCACATCGAGGCGTACAATCATGGGTCAAAGCCACTATAGAAACTTCTGAGATGCAAAAAAGAAGAAGAAAACATTGTGAATTTAGAATAAAGAGTTAAAAAGCAACACTACAATTTTCTTCTCATAAGCATGCTCAAAATGTAGAACGTTCACGAACCGAAGTTACTTTCTGCTTCAAGCGCAGGCACACGCCAAGCGAAGTGGTACAGCGGATTCAGTCCATTTTATCGACCGCGCAATCCCGCCCCGAAGTCAACATGCCGCAGAAATGCACACTGTCAATCGCTTGCCGCGAAAACGTTCGAGGAGCGCCAGAAGGCGAAGGCGAGGGCGAGGCTCATCTCTGAAAGCAGATCTATCGTCTACCGGATTTGCCGGCCAGGAAATAATGCCGGTGCCGACCTGCAACCTGCAGATTTACCGCCCGACGCCGGCGACGGTGCTGTACACGGTCTCGACGCGGGCGCCCCTGACGACGGTTCCGGCGCGCCTGCTGCACTATTCGACCCTGGCGGCACGCATCGTCGTCGCGTCACTCGTCGTCCTGGCCTCCTGGTTGAAGTGGATCTCCGTCTACCCGGGCTTCCAATGGCCCGGCCTGGAAAACGAGCTGCGCGACTCCAGGCTCGGCCGGTCGTGCTTGAATCTCGTCGGCCGGGTGCCGACCGTGTATCTGGTGCCCGCCTCTCTTGCCGTGCTGTGGCTCTGTGCGTGGAAAGGATATAGAGGTAGGGGTTATCCACGCCATCTTTCGGTGTGAGCGAGAAAGAGACTAAGCATGTCGTGCAGAGGAATCGCTTCTCGTGCTGAGGGGATTGGGAATCCAAACGACCAGCTCGTCAGCAACGTTCCTGTCCACGAGCTCGACTCGGTTTATCCCCACGACTTCGATCCAAGACATTTTCATTCACGAAGCCTTCAAAGGCTTGGAGGTGCGCTTCTATCTCGCAATCGTAGTGGAAGGAGAACAAGACGTGGTTGTGGTCTTCCCAGTATGTTACCTTTCCTCATATTACGACGTCTATGTGTTCTAACTAGATGTATCCAGAACCTACTGCCGTCACTCAACATCATCGAAAAAGTCTGGCGCGGCGCACGCTCGTGTCTTTACGAGCCCAAAACATAGAGACGCGCATTCACATCGCAGTACTTAATCACGGCCGTCATCAGCGACACTAGACGCAAATCTTGGCGGCCTGCCCTTTCGCGCCGCCCATTTGGCATTGATGACCTCGACAGGCTCCATCAATGGTCTCTGCATGACCGGTACGTATTTTCCTCGCGGCAGCGCACTGTCGTGACCTTCAAACACTCTCTGGTTTTCTTTGCCAGAACGGTCAGGTGCTGGCACGGGACCGCGGCTGTCGACACCGTCGTTCCGTCCCTGAGTAGAGACCATATCCAACAGCTGTGCAGCCAACACCTCGTCCATCTTTGCCTTCCGCCAACCTTTCCAAAGGTCCGTCATCAAGCCCAAAGGTCCCCACTTAACTTGATTACTCGTGCCCGGACCAGAATCGGCGGCATACACCCACTCGAGCTCATCTTCACCGACGCCCCGGTCCACGTAGCCTTTCGACTGCTGTCTGTCTTCCTCATTGAAACGGCCTTTGTCCGGGTCTGCGCTAAACATGCAGTCCCACAGCACGAGAGGTTGGTCTGAAGCCATCTCGTAGTGCGGCTTGCACGGGTTTTTCTTCACGTCGAGCAGCTCCTTGACCACGGAGGGTTTTTCTAGACCTTGGCCTACAAGGAACAGGATGGCCACCATGCAACGTACCTGATGCCACAGAAACGCGGATCCTTGCACGTCGAACGAAAACAATCGCATACCTTTGGATGCCGGCACCCTCTTTCCCTCCTCGCTGAACGCGGTATCCGTGAGGTGGGCCATCTTCACAAAGTCCAGACCACCAACCTCTCCCACTTCCACAATCCTCGCATCCGTGATCCGTCTCGTGAAGCTCGTCAGCTGCTTCGAAGGGTCGACCTTGCAAAGATTTCTGAAGTCGTGCGTTCCGACGAGGTAGCTCGCCGCCTCTCTCATGGCGTCGATGTCAAGCCAGCCCTCGCGGCCACTCGTCCTGGGCGAGATGCCGGCGGCACCAGGCAATGGAAGGAAGGCAGGCGAGGTGAAAAAATAACGGTACTTGCGCTCTTTGCACGAGAAGCGGGCATCGAAGTTTGGCGGTGTGTTAGGGCACCAGGCAAGAACGCGAATGTCGGGCGGGAGGACGCGATTGAGGAGGACGAGGTAGGGAAGCTCGTCCTTGACAGGATCAAAGCGCGGCGGCTTATCATCTTCCACTTCACCCTCCCTTTCTTCAACTCCTTCCATGTTATGATAGCTGTGGCCGGAATCCTCCTGGGCACTTCCGGGTAGAGTAGTCATCGCACCAAGTGCGTCAGTTGAGTCTTTGCCTTCACCAACGTTCGCCGCCTCGACCTCCTCATCCTTCTCTTTCTTCGCCTTCTTGACTTTTTCCTTCGGTCTCGCACTCCTAACCCTAAGACCAATTACCTGCCCAAAGGCACTCACTCCCCTGTCCGTCCTCCCACATTTCGAATACTCGCATCCCGTCCAGTCGCCCACCACGCCCGCAGGCAGCCGCTCGACCTCCTCGACGCCCGCCTTGCCGCTCAGGAGGGGCGCTCCGTCCTCGCCGTACAGGCTCGGCGGGAAGATCAGGCGCGTCTTCACGAGCGCCTTCCACAGCTCTTCCTCGATGGTGGGAAGCGGCGTCGCGTTGCCGATGTGGTGCTCAAAGCCGTTGTAGCGCGCGCCCAGGTACGCGAACTTGAGCGCGATGTAGCGCGTCGTGTACTTGGACGGGTCGAAGGGCGTGTGCTTCTTCGTCTTCTTCTTTGCCGTCGTGACCTCCGCCGCCGGTGCAGGCTCGGCTGCCGGCTGGGGCAGCAGGGACGTCAACCTGTCGGGCCAAGCGATTGTCAGCAAAACGCGGACCTCGAATCGCGCAACGGCTGGTGAGAAGGGGCAAGGGGAGTCGAGGACGAAAAGGGAGCCCAAACGTCCTTTCGTACCTTTCCTGCTGCGCTTTAAGCTCACTCTCAAGCTGCGTCACGCGCTTGATGAGATCTTCATGGCTCCAATTGCCATAATCGGTACCAGGAGTCGAGGCCATGCTCGAATATGACGCTGTGAACCCGCTGTCCAGACGCAGAAGCGATGGTCGACCGCGACGCAGTCTGTGGTAGACGAGATGAGAGACGCTGGCATCAAGCCTAGTGAGCGTCTTTGCGCATCTCATATAGAATTTCTGCTGACGTAGCAGACAATGATTCCGCGTTTGTCTGGTCCGTTTGTGAAGTGGCAGAGCGTGTCATTAGTTTTTTTTTTGGGTGTCGAGTCTCTGCAGACCGCGAGATCGGCGCGACTATGAGGTCCGGGTCACTTCGCACAAATTGCCAAGATTCTTGAAGCCCTTAAAGTTCGGTGAAGACTCGCACGAATTCCAGCCCATATGAAGAAGGGCGGGCGAAAGGAGAAGATAAGAATCACAATGTCTACGCTTCGAAGAGGCTCGTCTTGGCATGAGACTGCACCGTTGTTGCTTTCCCTAAATTCTCTTGTGAACGACGTTGTCATTTGGCCCTTTTTGCGTATGGCTATATAAAACAAGATACATCCTTCACAAAAGGGATCTAACACGGCGCCACCTGCAGATGGCCACGTACAAACTGGAGCCTCCCTTCCTCTCCTACCTTCTCCAATGTACCAATCTTAGCCAAATGTGTTCGTGTGTAGAAGAAAACGCCGCGTTCCATGCAAGTAAATCTCGTAACGAATAAGTTTTTTTTTCTTTGCGCTACCCAGCCACCAACTGGAGTGTTAACACCTAGCCGCATGGCACGGCTCAAAAAATAAAAATAAGCAGGCGTCGAGGATGAGGAGGACGAGGCAGATGACGGTCAAAAACAATAATTGTGATAAGTTTGTATGCTGGAGAAAGAGCTTATGATAAGGATTCACCCCCCTCGTCTAACTTAACAGTCGTCAACAGCCATGAAAATTACTTAGAATTGCTGCCCGTCCTTCCTCGGCAGATGAGGCAACGGTCCACCAGGTGGAGCCCTCTGGTTCCTCACGTTGGTTGCGCTGCTCGTTCTTGCGGGATATGGCCGGCCAGATTCTGGGTTGATGCTCAAACCTGACATCTGCTGGTCCATGTCTGCAAAAGTTGGAGTCTGCGCCTGCGACGAACCGGACGAGCCGTTTACGCGGGGCAGGTCGCTGGCTGATGGCGAGTCTTGCGGTTGAACAAGGTGCGATTTACGATTGTTCTGGACCATTATTGACACGGCCCATGCAGGGAGGTCAACTGGTGTGCGTTTTGCGGCTTGGATGAAAGGGTCGGATTCCTGTGTGTATCAAGTCAGTATCGCTTCGCAGAGATATCTGATGTATTGGTATCACAAGATGACATACATAGAGCTCCTCCGGTGTCGGTCTCAAGTTTGGATCTTTCGTTAAGCATTTGTCGACAATCTGTTCCAGGATGAGGGGGAAGGCATCGCTCTTGGGCAGCTTTGGCGGAGGCTCGAGTACGATCTGGGAGAGAAGATCAAGGATGCCCTGGGGCCCTCCAGCGTCATCCGCACTGTCGCTGCTAAAGGGGAACTTGCCGATGGCAAGCTCCATCAGAGTCAGCCCAAAACTCCACACGTCGGACTTGATTGTGTATTGCGCTCCCTGGATTCTCTCCGGGGCCATGTATGTGCCCGTACCAACGAAAGTGTCCGCCACAGAGCCCTCGAGTTCGGAGGAGACACCGAAATCGCAGAGCTTGATGTTGCCCTTGGAGTTGACGAGGATGTTGGAGGGCTTGAGGTCGCGATGCATGATCTTGTGCGTTTTGTAGAGATAGGTAAGACCGCCAAGCACAGCTTCTGCGATCTTACCCAGAACATCGACACGGACAGGTCCAAAGTTTCTTGAGATGGAGTCGAGCGAGCTGGACGAGACGGGTCAGTATCTGCACTTTCCTCTACGTGTACTGCAAGCAAATTAGAAGGAGAGACCTACCCGACATCCATGTATTCCATACACATAATGACATCGCCCGTGTCGTTCATGAAGGCGCCGTAGAAGGAGACGATGTACGGCGAATTGCATTCGTGCATGATCTTCAGCTCGCGCACTATTCGCTTTCGCACTTCCTTGTTCGCTTCGACGTGGATAATCTATCGCCGTAAAACGTACCTGTCAGCTTCGCGGATTTTTTTTCGACGAGTGTGTTGCCGCTCTTTGATCTCGTCTTACCTTCCTAGCCATGATGACCTTGGTGGCCGAATGCTGCACCTTGCTGACAGTCCCGCCATTGCCATGGCCCAACTCCTTGAGCACGATCAAATCCTCCGCCCGCAGGTCCAGCTGGAACTCGACACCAATCTCCAGTGTATCGGCCCGACCGTGGTTGCCGATGGCACCAGGGACCTGCGCATCTCCCGCCGAAGGTGTTGCCGATCGTGGAGGTGGAGCATTCAGAGCCAGACCCTTCAGGTTCTTCCTCTTCATAGACTTGGGGGCAAAGGGGTCAGTCATGTTTGCTGCTGTGCCCCGCTGCCCTAAAGCCTAGCGAACAATGTATGCAAAATCTGTGTGGGAGCGATAATGCTAGAGAGGGTATTACGTGTGCTTGTGCGGTACCGACAGCAGGGTTCGAATATCAGAGGCAGCTCAACGATCTGCGGCACTGAGATGGTGGGGGAAACAGGATGTGTTTTGGGGGGGGGGGGGTTTTGTGCGAATGGGGATGACCAAGACGGTGCGCTTTGTTTCGAGTGGAAAAGGAAGGGTAATGGAAAACGAGGACCTGTTTTTCGTTTTCTCTTTTGCTTCAGACAGCAGCCAACACTGCTTTGGTGGGCATAGGAGTGTACGTATTTGGCGACGTGGTGGAGGATGCCAATCGGACTATGATTAAGCGCCTCTTGCTGGCGCGTCAAACCAACGGCATGCAGTTCACCACAATGATTGCTGTGGCGCTTTCTCGCTTGCCAATGCGGGCCCACAGCCGCCTTAACGCCCAACCCCGAGAGGAGGAAGGGAGCAACGTCGGAGGTCGAAAGGCTTGGGAGGATCAAAAATAGTGTGCCGATGGGAACTGCAGAAAGGACGACGACGTCTTCAGGTAGCGCAGATGTGGCAATGATTGGAGGGGTATGTTGCGACTGGCGTAGGGCGGTGGGGCCGTTGCTTAAAGAGGAAGAGACTGCGGCGGAGGCGCTTTTGGTGGTGGTGGTGGTGAAGGAGGAGGAGGAGGAGGAGGAAGAGGAGGTGGTGGTGGTCGTAGCTGTACGTTCAGCGCACAGCGTGGTAACTTCAGTGGGCTCTTTGTTCCCCTGCTCGCTTGTCTCTGCCGCGGGGTTCTGCCAAACAGACGACGGCGTCTTCGCTGCTCTCGCTGCTGCTGCTCGTTCGCGCCAGCCCGGTTCTATCTCTTCGCCGCCTTCAGTCTCTGCCCCAAAGTCTGGCTCTGATCTGGACCGACCGGCGCCCTGAGCACAACGTGAAAGATTAGTCGAGACAAGAAACACTGCACGGGCAGCGCCAACGTCCTCAACGCGGAATGGTCGAGAGATCATATACTTGGTGCTGCTCCCGTGTGGAGACTGCAGAAGCCTCGACTGTCCCGTTCCGCCGCGAGCATTCGATTTGGGATTGGCGCATGGATATGGCTCTTGTCCTTTGCCGGTTTCACGCGTGGAAGGCTGAGGCATGATGGCTGCTCCGTGTGAGAGCTATCAAGCACGATTCCACCCACGTCGTTCATTCGCCATCGCAGGCGTCGTCATCGCCGCCCTCCTCATCTCCTTCCATTCTCGTCGCGACTTGATTTTCTTTCCTGCTGTGACCAGACCACTAAACGCGGCCGCTGCCGGCCACATACAAGTAGCGAGGGACGGACTGTCCATAGCTCCGTCCTATAATTAGACGGCCACGCCAGCAGCGGGAGCCTCTTGTCACCTGGCACCTCGCACAGCGATCAATGATGGAGCCTGGAACGCCTCCGGAGCTATTGACCCGACCGTCGTGTTTCCTACCACTATATACTTGTATCTCCCAACGCAAGGCAAAGGTCATCACTGCTTCTCGAATGCTTGCCCTTCCTCCAGTCAACAGAAACATTTCATTGAGTACTCGACTCATCATCTATGCTTGACCGACAGTACGCTTGTACACCTCATTTCTGAGTCACAAACCGCCTCGGTTCATCTTGTTCACCCGCAGGAGCAGATCACAAGCCACAGTAGCATGGTGCTGGCGCTCTACCGTAGGGCTTGTGCAAATATTCTGCGAAGCGAGAGCCAGAAAGAGACTTGAAATCGATAGACGGACGTAATTTCCATCTCGTCGAGCGACTGTTGGGGCATATTCGTCACCACTGACAACCTCAACATAAGGACGTCAAAGGATCGTTTCGCGCCTCATCGTAAAAGCAACCGCCCATCCTCATCTGCAGAATGAAAAAGCACAAACAACAAAATGTCGCCGGTAATCTGCTCTTTGTATTCCAATCTTACTGCTATTACAGGCATGGCCTCGTGTTGGAAACCCTTGTCATAGTGAGCTTGTCAATCGCTAGACTGCTAACAATAAATCTATGCACGTCCCAATGGTCCAAGAAGCTACACGGGGTCAAATGCCTCGTTGCCGGACTCGACATCGGTCTCTCCAGGCATTCGTGGACGCGTTTCCAAATTCAAAGCCTGAAAAAAATTCTTGTGAAATACACGGCTTGATTATTTCAGATGTCGTCTCCTAGTCACATTAGATTCACGACCTGCGCACAACATCAACTGAGGGGAAAGGCGTCGTATCAGGCTCGCCGCTTTTGTGACCCGTCGGAACTCACCAGGGCACATTAGGAACGTCGAAGAAAGGCATCCTTTCTTCCTCATAGTTCTGGCATGTGGCACAGTTTGGTTCCTCCGTTTTTGACAGTTCAAAAAACAAGGCCAAAAAAAATCCCTTTTTTCTTGCTATTCACATGCACTGCCCTTTTCAAGTATCACTCCTCGATATATCCTTTAAGCGAAAAGAAAATTTGACGTTTATATGTTAAGCACGAATATGCCCTTTAACGATTCAGTTGCAGAATTGCTAACACCGAGGAGAAGCAATGATTGTAAAGTCAACCTACGCTTTGGGGGCCCCTCAGATCACAGACTTTGTTGCCTAGTGACCAAACTCTTTTCCACGTTTAATACGTGCGAACAAGTCCAACATGAAGTAGCGATCAGAGAGGGGTGTCCGCGCGGCTGGCATAGAGCTGAGAGTTCTCCAAGCAGCTCCTGTTGAAAAGCGTCGTCGCAAGTCATCTGCCAAAATTCTGGTCCGCTTGCCGAGGCATTTGTTTAGGCAAGACACCTTTGGCTTGTCATCGAGGTGCTCAGATAGCAGAGCACACGTGCATAAACCTATACGCATAAAGATCGCGTGTGAAAAGGGTATACAGCTGTTAACCAACGGGCTGGACGCCAAGACAGGGCCGTGGGGGGGCTCGTAGACCCACGTTGCTTGATCAACCAGGAAATACAAGTACACGACGATCAGCGACAAGCCAGCTGAAAAGCTAGTGAATATAATCTGTTCCCAACTACCTTCCTGATCATTCCAATGCGCCTGATTTCGAATTGCACGGCTTGCCGTGTACGTCCTGCCGTAAGATCTTGTGCCGAGTTAATATGTATGGATCTAAGGAGGACAGCTTTAACACGAGAGCCTGGTGATTTCATACACGCGTGGAAACCAACGGCGTAAACAAAACACGCGATTTCTGGATGCCTGTCTTTTTAGACAGCACTAGGCGATACATCCACGTGTGAAGAAGTAAATGCGAGCAGAGCTCCAAAGAGACAGGGAAATACTCGTCAGCACGTTCTTAATCTATCCATGGAGTCTGATGCTCCACACATTATCCTGAGACCGGTCCGACCACCGAGGAAGACAGCGCAAAGCCACGAGATTTTTCTCAATCCACGCGAACAGGCCGGGGGGGTTGGGGGAGGAAGCGGTTGAAATCTCGCCACCAAGAGCCTCAGCGCGTCAGCGACATCAGCTGGAGACCCCCGCTCTCGAGAACGGCCTGACATCACGCCATCGGGCGCTGCGAGATGGCACAGATAGCGGATTGATGTCTCCAGGGGCTTACATCGACGATTATGACTAGATCCGGATGTCAGCGAAGGTCTACCCCACAAGCAAGCCGCCGCCAAACCGGAGAACGGGGAGGTTATGCGGAGTGCCCGCCGCGACGGCCGCCGGAATCTGGCGCTAACTTGGGGCCAGGCAGGGGAACGTCCGGTCTGCAGGGCCACATGCGTCTGTGGTCACCGTGCCTAAGTCCCCGTAGCATATCTTATGATTTAACTTTCTGATCCTGATTGATCGCTTGCTCGAAGTTAAGAATAGAGAACCAAAAAAAAATCTCTCTCCCGTCCCTCTTGACTTGTCTGCTCTTCTCCGCATAGTTTGCGTTTGTTCTTTGTTTCTGCTCGCTCTTCTTCGTTCTCTCTCAGTCCTTTGTTTTACCCCACGCCCATCGCAAAGTAACAGCCCCCCACCCCTGTGACAGAGACGCCAAGGGAAACCCAAAAAAGCGTCGAGAAGGTCTCGTCATTTAACCTCGCCGTGGTCCGCCTGCGTGATTGTTGAAGCACGCGCGATCGAGACACCTTGTTTCGCAGCGATGGACGTGCCTCCGGAAAATGTTTTCGACGTCATCATCATAGGCGCCGGCATCACGGGCATAAACTTCGCCTACAGGTTGCAAGAACGCCTTCCACACCTGACCTACGTCGTTCTCGAAGGCAGACATGAAATCGGCGGGACGTGGTCCTACTTCAAGTACCCAGGCATTCGATCGGACTCCGACCTGTACACGTTTGGCTTCCCTTGGCGACCATGGATGCAGCCAAAGGCGATCGCGGAGGCAGAGCTGATCTTACCTTATATGCGGGAAAGTGCTGCCATGTACGGTATCGATAAGAAGATCCGCTTCCACCACATGGTCGAGACCGCAAAATGGTCGTCGCCTGATCAGAATTGGAAGCTGGGCGTGAGGATCAATGGAGAAAAAGAGACTGCGTTTAAGTCTCGATTCTTGTTGTTTGGTGCGGGATATTATGTAGGTTTTGACATTGCGAAAGCCACTATCCCTCCCACACATTGAGAAGCTACTAACTTGACAACGAACAGGACTACAAGGAGCCCCTGAAGACTTACATCCCAGGCATCGAGAACTTCAAGGGGCCATTGGTGCAAGCACAGTTCTACGATCCGACGCTAGACTACACAGACAAAAACGTCGTCGTTATAGGGTCAGGTGCTACCGCTGTCACCGTCGTTCCCGCAATGGCAGAAAAGGCAAAGCATGTCATCATGCTGCAACGCTCGCCGAACTATCTCTTGAGCGCAGCTAGCGAAGACAGCGTCGAGGTATTCATCCGCAGATGGCTACCCAAAACGTGGGCACACACTGTTATTCGTTGGAAGTGGCTGTGGTTTGGCTTCTTTATGGTCAAGATGTGCAAATTCTTCCCGAATTACATGACCAAGCTTCTGCGCACCCTCACAGTCGCTGAGCTCCCGCCCGAAGTCAGTCATGATCCACATTTCAAGCCAAGGTATGCGCCGTGGGAGCAGAGAATGTGTTTTTGCCCAAATAGCGATTTCTTCGAAGCTGTGCGCCAAAAGAAAGCGAGCGTTGTCACAGGCGTCATCGAGCAGGTGACAGAGGACTCGATCAGGTTGACGGACGGCCAGGTCTTGAAGCCAGACATCATTGTTAGTACAAACTCTTTTCCCCCAAAACTTGAACCAACAATGCTGACCGACGATTCAGGTGCAAGCCACTGGCTTGAAAATACAGTTCGGCGGAAACATTGACATAACGGTCGATGGCAATCCATATAAGATTAACAATGACAAGTTCATCTGGAAGAACATGATGTTCCAAGATTTGCCAAATGCCGCATACGGAATTGGCTATGTTGATGCTGCATGGACGTTGGGCGCCGATACCGCCGCTCAGATGTTCGTTCGTATCGTTAAAAGAATGGAGAGGCAAGGCGTGTCCTCCGTTGTGCCCACGATAGAGAAAGGGAAAGAGCCTGCTGAAGGCCCTTCTTTTTTCAAGCTTACCAGCACATATGTTACCCTCGGGAAGAAGGCGTTCCCCAAGACCGGCAAGCACCCACAGTGGGCAGGAAGGTCGACTTATATGTACGATCTCTACCAAGCGAAGTTTGGTGACATTGTGACTGGCATGAAGTATGTTAGACCACCGATGATCAAGGCGGCGTAACTTTTTTTTTTCCCCGTGAAGATGTAAGATTGGGATAACCTCTTGATGTCTTGTATCTTAAGAACGTAGTATACCTGAAATGCGTGTTCCCTTACGAAGCTGGAGGCGGCCCATTTGTGATTAATCCAGGCATCCAAAGCATTGCTTCGAGATCACTGTTAAAGTCCGGCCAGGATTGCAGGAAAGCCTCGTCGCTGTGAAGCCCGAACACGATATCAGGGAAAGGAGCAGGTGTCTCTGGTAATGGAAGCGGATGAGGTTTGGGTGTAGCAACCGCCGAATGAGCCGGAGTGTTGGTGCGCATCGATGTCAGTAGCTGTGCAGCCGTGCCGTCGGAATCGATATCCCATGAGCCTTTACCACTCGCCGCACTGTCCTGTCTGTGACCACCTAGACCAGGCTCATTCGGGTGAACCTCGAGCTGACTTTGTTCCGCCGCTGCATCAGGTGAAGTTGCGGAAAAGGTGGCAATGATTTTTGGTATGATGTTTTGGTCTAGGTGAACATTGTCTGTGAGGACTTCGCCCCAAGGTGGAGGCATAGTGTCGCTGGGTGGAAAAGGATTAGGCCCTGTTCGTGCGACAGCAAACAAGAGCTTGCTAATAACATAACCAGCACGCTTGAGCCCAGCGTTAACGCGCTCACTATCAGCAAGCACGTTAAGTCCGTGCTGCAGACATTTATGGACATTGCTGCCTGCTTCGAGGAATGCATTGATACGCATCAGAATCGCAACAGCGACGTAGGAAGAATACGCGATAAAGTATGGCATCCTTCGTCCAGTGAAAGCGTGCTTATATATCGTGACAAGGTGAGAGACACGCATCGCAGTCACGGCACACTTCATCAATGACTGCGGGGCTTCGTTTTCATCGTAAAGATGACCTCTTGTGAAAAATGGGCGATGCAAAAGGATCACACAAAGGTGATACATGCAGCTGATGGCGGGGTCAGTGGAAAGACGTGATTTTCGTGACTTTAAACTCACAGCATGCTCAAAACGGTCGGGGTAGGGACTGTGTTGAGATTTACTGGCTCACCCGTCGCCCAAGGCTCGTAACGTATTTCATCCTTCAATTCATTGTTAAATCGTGCAAGCAACTCATCCAACACCTCCATCGTATGAACTTGATTAGGTTGCTGAGTCGTTGCCACGTGTGCTCGGTGGCAATACACATTTTCAGCATAGAACTCCGTTAAAATGCGGCCCAATATTACGCTGATTCTGCAGTGCGCGGAGAATGTAGTAACGCTGTACGACGGTCCGCCGCGATGCGAAGGCAGCGGGTAGTCAGCACTAACGGTATTTAACGCCTCTAGCGGATACCATTGCTCTAACTCCTCATAATCATCCAGAAACTCAATCGGCACTTGCACGCTAGATTCCTGCAGAGTCACTGGTCGTCCATAATACATCGAGTGGATCTTGTCAAACACAAACGCCCCCCAGAACACTCGGCGCCTGCATTCAAGTTCCTCCGGAGAAATCTTGTTGTGCTTCAAAAGCTCAACACCATCCACGTTGAGGCCCAAATCAATGATCATCCGGAATGCAATCCCAGAATAAAGCCAAGCCGTTGACTTCGCAGATGTCTCAATTGCAAACAGACTGCTCGCAAGGGTAATTAATGCTTGGATTGTCGTGATTTTGCTGTCGTCCATTTCCGCTCCCAGCAGGGTTTTAAAACGCTCCCGAAATGCGAAGCCAGCTGTGTGGGCGAGCTCCGGAGACTTCCGGAGCTCGTCTCGAGGAGAAAACTTCGCAGATGCAAACAAGATAGCGTTCAGAAGAAGCTTCGAGAAGTAAGGGCCCCCGCTTGCCCAGTCGCGCATGAACAGTGGTCGGTAGATAATAAGTAGGTTATGGTGCTGGCGGTTCCAATGGATGTTCAACAGATGATTAACCAGATCAGCATCCCAGCCATCATAGTCGTAGGACTGACTACTTAGAGGCAGCGCTTCAATTTGGCCTAAGTCTAAAGTGAGTGTTGAGACTTGTGTCCAGGAATAAATAACGCACGTTGTCTTGCTGAAAATGCAACCAGCTGGGATCGCAGAGCACTCTTTGTAGTTTCGTCTAAGTTTGAAGTAACGGGATCTATGTGTCTGGACTCCTGCCATCGCGGACTCGAATGATCTGGCTGTTTATAGAGGAAAAGCGTTAATTTGTGTCCTCAGCTGTGCAGTCAAGGAGGTCACTGGGTGCTTGAAAAGAGTTTCCAGCGACAATAGTAAGGCATCATTTTGAGTGCCAGAAGCGTTTAAAAAAAAAGAAAATATCAAACACCTAGTATATAAATGTTCCCACATGATACAGAAGGTCTCGCAACATGTATATGCGTATGTATGTTAGGAGTGATCAAAACCGAGGACGTACCGGATAATGATGGGTATAGGCTGACTGCTTTATACGTCCACTTCCATCCATACTCTGAAGCTGTGGATCGAACATTTGCTCCGCTTCGCTTGGCCTTCGCACACTATGTGTGGTGTCACTGTAGACCGGGCTCGTCAAAGCCTGGGCATGTGAACTCGATGACGGCCGCGGACTTCCATCGACGGTTCCGGCGTCGCCGTCATGATCGAAACCGTCCTCGATTTTTACGTTCGCCTGCTCCAACAACCGCCGCAATCTCGCGACCTCGTTCTGCAGCGCATGTATGGCGGCATTGCTGGGCCTCGGCGCCGGCGCTCGGATCACGTATTCACACCGGATATTTCTCGCCTTGCAAGCGCTGCACGTTGGCTCGAGGTTGTCGCACTTGAGTTTGCGCGCGCGACAAAACTGACAGGCGGCTTTGGATCTTGAACGAGAGGTCTTGTGGTCGGTCATGTCTGCATTGTGCAACGCGGAAACTTTCCTACCGTCCGAGTCGGAAGAAAACCTCTAGTGGTGGTGGGTCAGCAAGGTTGGCAGACTGGAGTGGGACGGGGAAACTCACAGGGAAGAAAACGGCAAAAACGAACGGTACGAAAACCCCAGGCCGCCGTCTGCACGTGACGCCCTCGGCCTGAACCGAAGGTGAAAGCCGTCTGACTGGGGAGAAAACCACACACCAGGATCGTCAGCGATCGTTTCTCTCAGCATACCGTTATTTGCTTTGCCTTTGCTAGCTTGGCCGCCTCTCGTCCTGCTCTGCGCCCAAATACGGCCCCGGCAGTCAACCCACTCCCGCCAGGATAGTTGTCATAGAAGATGCCTCCCAGCATTTCGCCAGCAACGAACAGGCCCTCAATGGGCTGCTTGTCTACGAGTCTGATTACTGCGCCTGTGTGTGCATCCGCCTTCAGCCCGCCGAACGTGAATGTGATGCCGCACGTGATCTTGACCGCAAGGAACGGCGGCTTGATAATAGGAGTGGCCCAGTTCGTCTTGTTAGGACCAAGAGCAAGCCCACCGTTCGAAGTGACAGTGGAAAGTCCGTCCTTCTCTGAGGGATTCCAACTCTTATCAGGATTCTCCTTCTGAAATGTCGTCACCGCTTCGTTGTATTCCTGAATACTCCTTAGAAACGCCCTTTCATCGCGCATGCCCTTTTCCCTCAGCTTCTTCGCGAGATCTTCAAGAGATTCTGCAGTTAGTCTCTCCACCACGTCCTCGCCGTACTCTTCCTTTCTAAGCCAAGCGGCTCCCTCTGCATCCCAAACTTGGAAGGCAATGCCGTCGGGCTGCTGCAGGATCGCTTTCCCAAACTTGGCATACGTGTAATTCCTCATGTCTTCCCCTTCATCGACAAATCGCAAGCCCTTGATATTAAACATCAAACCGAGGGGATATCCTGATTTGGTGAATTGGTTCGTGAGTCTTTGGTCTCCAGCATTCATAGGAGCGTTGAAGTCCCAGCACGTGGAATGACAGCCAGACCAGTCACCCGTGGGCATAGCGCCCACCTCATCTATCGCCAGTCTAAGCATGTCTCCCGTATTGTATGGGGTACCTCGAACATAGGCCAGTTCCCAATTTGGGCCAAGATGCTGGACTCGCATCTGTGGGTTCGCCTCAAATCCACCAGCACAAAGGATTATACTGCGAGAAAGAAGTGTATATGTCGTCCCGTCAGTCCGCTTTATCGAAACACCCTTAACGGATCCTCTCTCGTCCAAGGACAGCTCTACGACCGAGCTATCGTAACGAACATCTACTCCGAGTCGCCTGCAATTTTCTAGGTGCTGCTTGATCAAACCTTTGCCACCGTCTTCGACCTTCAGCACCATACCACCCCAGAATTTCTGTCGTCCGTTGATCTCGTAGGCCTGGCGATTAAAGCTGAGTTGGAATCTGATTCCGTTTTTATGTAGCCACTTTGTCGTCTCGTTGCTCTCCTCAACAAGTGTCTTCGCTAATTCCGGATCGCTACGGTTATTACACATTCGATTCAGGTCGCGCAAGAAATCATTCTTTGTATATGGTTCCATATCAATCTTGTCTATCATATCGTGCGGGACATTGTTGACCAGTGGAAGCACATCGTGGAGACCTGAAAACACCGTTCGATATGCGCCAGCTGTAAACGTCGAGTTTCCACCTGCCCAAGACTCTGGCGCTTTCTCGAGCACCACTACACCTCGTGCGCCGTGCTCTTTCGCTGACGCAGCAGCAGAGAGGCCTGCATTTCCACTGCCAACGATGACGACATCAACTGTTTCTAAATCCATATTAGACATAATCTCCTAAAACTAAGATCACGTATGCTTGAGGAGCATTGCTACAGAGCAGACTGTAAGAAACTCAAGCGCGAAGTTAAATCGTGGTTTGGGAGCTTCCGCGCAGAACCCCGTCATTCGGCCTTTCATATCCCGCTCGCCGCACGACAATCCTCGTTCCAATCCTGAAATAGCCTTGTCACCCCATTCATGTGCTGAAAAAGAAGAAATTCTTCATGCTCTAGTGCTAACGAGTTTCAACCAATAATAGACGTAGCTACAGACTCAAGCTATTTCTGAATCGGCGTTTGATAAGATAGTCGCGGTGTGATAGCGCCGAAGATTTATCTGCCCCCAAAACCTAGACAATACACTGAACGCTGCTTGTGCTTTCAGGCATAAACAAGCTCTGATTACGACAAAATTTTGACTCCATTTTTTTTCTATCTCGAAGTCGGCTATTGTTAAGACAATAGGTCAAACTTGTGCCATGTTGAGAAGTGATTTCATGATTGTGCTGTATATCTACGCAACCCATTAGCATGCCAGATATACCGATATACCACATGCCTGGAATCTCGAACCGTGCCTCATCTGTTCTCGTCAAGCCTAAATCTCATGATTTACTTGTTTCCCTGCTGCTCTTCATTTCTGCCTCGACCTTCTCCTCTGCCTCTAGTTCCGACACACCCTCTGGTCTCGTTGCCTTCTCGATTTGCTTTTTTTCCTCAATCAGTTCCTCCTTGGCTTTGATACTTTGCTCAACCTGCTCGACCGCACGCTCAATCTCGACTTCCATAGCCGGCAACTTGAACTCTTCAGCCAGCAGCTTTCCGTTCCATTTCTGGAGCAGCATCACATCTTCCACGCCACCGTTTGTTTGTGTTTTAATAATCTCCGCGACTGCTTCGCCCTGTTCGCGCGTGGGACGCCGAGCGACGCGTGACATTTGACGAGTCGGATACATCAGACCAGCCGTATATACCTCGTCCATCGCCGTTGACGGTGAAGGTATAAGGAGGTTATTCTTGACAAGAAATTCAAGATGCTGTGCTCCACGTAATGCTGCGAGTTCTTGTCAGCAAAAATTTTCTCCCCATCGCTCGGATTCTAGCTCTGTACCTTTCCAGTGACTCCATGCTCGGAACAAAAGATAAAATCCAGGAATATTTGGTATTATTGGGACGAGGGCGAACGGTAAAGTCAAAGGAGCACCAATCGCGCTGTATATCATCCTTTTTCGATGCAGTTGTTGTCTCTCCACGGCAAGCTGTCGACATGTCTCAAGCACTTTGCTTTCCTTCAGAAATAAACTCGGGAACAGCACTTCAACCTTCTCTTGTTGACTAAGCTCAAGTTCCTTCCTTTTGTTTGACAATGGAGGTATTGTCTTCAATCCCCATTCTTCATAGGGAATGCGCCTGAACACTTTGTTGCCATATGTTGTGAGAGTCTTTTTCCAACCACCGTCTGCCTTTTCGAATGATAGCCATGTCTCGTTTGCCTTGCTGACTATCCTATCCTGAATCGAGGGCTTCTGTCCGGGCGGCGGCTTTGCGCGTTCACAGTATATGAGTGTACGGCGTGTGGAAATGGGAAGAAGAAAGAATCGCATTGTCGCCTAATGATGATGCGCCAATAGAATGTGTACAGCGAGAATTTTGCTATCGGTCCATGGTTCGGTGCAGGAGTTCTTCGAATCTGCACCTCGATTATCCGTACTGAATTTCCGGAGAGCAAGATGTCAGTACTTGAAGAATCTAAGAAGAGATTATCCGTCGTACCCAAAAATTGATGATGATGATGGTGCTGGTAGCTGGTGGAGCCACGCTGAGTTTCGAGATCCAAAGACTGCGCCACGTGTTGACGTCAGAGTTCAGCACAGCTTGTACCATGCTCAGGAACAGCCGCAATTTGCATTTTGCCCCATTTGTACCCACTCCATTCTTCGCGCCATTCCTGAAGAAAGCGCTTGTCTAGGATTCAAGTGAAAAGTTTTTTATGGAATTTGATAAGAAACAGGAACAAGATGAGTTGATACAATTGGAGACGAAGACGCCACAAGTTGCGCAGGCATCGATATGTTATACCCATTCTGTTGCAACGAAAGAAGTCGAAGGATCAAGATTTTGAAACAACGTAAGATTTGGCTCAGAACCAAGTATCAAGCAATAGCTGTCAATACGATAGAATCGGATGGTTTCGCTGCTCGTCACCAGCTTCAAAACATGGGTTTATTTTCACAAGTAGAGCTATCGGTACAGTCAAGCAGCAGGTCTTGAAATGAAAAAGAATGCAAGATATCAGTTGGCCAAAATCGCATTATTTTCGTCTTGTAACTCAATCCCAGCTATTGTATAACCAGCGTGTTGTCAACTCCGTAGGTATGTATCTTTTGCAGGTGATGCTTTAAACACACATCCACCACATTCGCGAGAATGATCTGCAATCCGGTGAACTGCTTGTAATTTACCATCGGCTGCAAGATGGATCGATGATCTTCTAGTGGCCAGTAAAACCACGTTCTCTTAGTTTGCCTGAAGCTTTCTTGAATGCTTGTCCTCGCTAAAGAGGGTAGTCTGTAGCGGGTAGACTGGGATTGTCCTCCATGCATGCACCATGACGTCTTAACGTCGTTCCTTCACCAGCCGCAATTGGAGGTAGAACGGTGAACACTCCGCAAACGAGGAGTAGCCCGTAACGGCCTTCTCAGAAAGGCAGCAGGTTTCTCGTACGTCAATCGCTACCTGGGCATTTATTGCTGGCTATAATTTGGCAGAAGCAGCATCTACATTCAGCCCCGCTTCAATATTGCTCGTCGCATGAGAAAAGGACGCGCTGCGCTCCTAGTAGACAGATTTCCAACCAACCCAAGGCTGACTGATTCCTTTGGCTATCTTATAAGATGACTACTTCACCCGGCCCGGAGACGAGGCACCAAAAAACCCATATTCTCAAGGAAAAGCTAGAGCATCCGTTTCCACACTTGCGGGAGAAACTCAAACAAACAAGCCTCTATGATATAAAAATCGGGGCTTCCCATTTCAAGCACAAGATCGGCAAATTTGCCAACTTGGTCAATCCCAATCACCGCCATGACGAGGAGCACGAAAAGAGGACAGACGAAAAGCGCAGTCGCATTGCCGAGAGCCATCGCTTCAACTCGTTTGCTCCTGAACGAGATGGGAACGACATTAAGTGGTATGTTGACGGTAGGGACTATTTCTGGGCCGTTTCTGTCGCCCTGGATCGTGCAAAAGAAACAATATATATCGCCGACTGGTGGCTGAGTCCGGAACTGTTCATGCGTCGTCCTCCTTACTTCAACCAGGAATGGCGTCTCGATCAGATCCTGAAGCGCAAAGCACAAGACGGCGTTAAAATTTACATCGTTGTATATAAAGAAGTCGAAGCTGCGATAACTTGCAACAGTCAGCACACGAAACGGGCGCTGATGGATGGGCTCATCAAAGAGGGAGAGAAGGGCCGTGACAACATTCGCGTGATGAGACATCCAGATCACAACGTCTTCGAAAACATGGGAGACATGACATTTTACTGGGCACATCACGAAAAGTTCATCGTCATCGACTATGAGGTTGCTTTTATCGGCGGCTTGGATCTTTGCTTCGGCCGGTGGGATCACTGGCAACATCCTCTCGCTGACGTGCACCCTGCAGGCGTACAGCATGAAGTTTTCCCAGGACAAGACTTCAACAACAATCGCATCATGGATTTCCAAAGCGTGGAAGATTGGAAGTCAAACGAGCTCTCCAAAACAGAGTACGGTCGTATGCCGTGGCATGATGTAGCCATGGGCGTCATTGGGCCCTGCGTCTATGATATTGCCGAGCACTTTGTTCTCAGATGGAATTTTTGCAAGCGTGACAAGTACAAACGCGACAAACGTTATGACTGGCTTTGTCTCGAAAATCGTGAAGGAGAAGATGAAGATCTTGTTGCCGTGCAACGTCCAAAGTACCCCGTGGGCGAGTATATCAAGCACCCTCTGTCACCTCTGAGCTCAAAGAATTTGGAGAACAGGGGTACCGTGCATGCACAGCTTGTGCGAAGCAGCGCGGACTGGAGCAGTGGCATCTTGACTGAGCATAGCATCCAGAATGCGTATTGCGAAGTCATCAGAAACGCAGAACATTATGTGTACATCGAGAATCAATTTTTTAGTGAGTACGATAATGCCCTTTCTATTTTTTATATTTACTCATAGAAAAAACAGTTACTGCTACTGGCGACAACCAGGCACCAATACACAACGTCATTGGCCGTGCTATAGTAGATGCAGTTGTTCGAGCTGGGCGGGAGGGCCGTAAGTTCAGAGTCATTATCTTGATTCCAGCAATCCCGGGATTTGCAGGGGACCTTCGACAGGATGCGGCTAAGGGAACAAGAGCCATCATGGATTACCAGTATAAATCAATCCTGCGAGGCGAGCACTCCATCTACGAGCAGATTCGAAAGGAGGGCGTGGATCCGACGAAGCACATCTTCGTTTTCAACCTGCGCTCATATGACCGACTGAATAAAACGCCGGCTATGCAAAAGCAGGAAGAGATATCGGGGCTTAAATATCAAGACGTGCAGCGTGCTCAAGCAGAAGAGATTATGGGAACTGGTATCCATGACAGTGCTGAATTGTCCTCACAAGCCGATTCGCAGGCTAACGACTCAGGCGATGAAGAAAAAGAGAGGGCAGTAGATCAGAAGAGAAAATTTGAAGCTCATCGTGAATCTGCGGGTGGAGAGAATGCAGATAATCAAGTTTCTGCAGACTCGATCGCCAAAAGCGCGCTACATGGTCAGCCAAAAGTAAGCGAGGAACCATTCCCGGGAGACGACGAGGAGCTAGAGAAGGACGGTTTCTTCCAAGAGGAATTATACATTCATGGCAAATGCTTGATTGTCGATGACCGAATCGTGATCGTCGGTAGCAGCAACATTAACGACCGCTCACAATTAGGTTTCCACGACTCGGAACTTAGCATTGTGATGGAAGACACCAAAGTCCTCGAGTCTACAATGGATGGAAAGCCGTATAAGGCCGGTCATCATGCAGCAACCCTACGCAGAATGCTGTGGCGCGAGCATCTGGGCTTGATTCCTCCCCAGCCGCTCGATGCATCAAATGATCCCAACGCGCAACCTCCGGGAGATTGCCCAAATGATCTGCTCGAGGACGAGCATTTCGACTTTGTGGCTGATCCGCTGAGCGATGAGGTCTGGGATATGTGGACGCGGCAAGCAGATGTCAACACGGAAGTTTTCAGGGACTTGTTCCACGCTGATCCGGACAACAGCAGTGAGTGATATCTCCACAAGCAAGTTACTCGTTAAGATGGCTAATGATGCGGAAAAATAACAGTCCGAACATTTGATGATTACAAGGATTGGATGCCGAATCTCAACGATGGGAAAGGACACAAGCAGGGTCACCTTATTGATAAAAGTAGGCCCCTGGCGGAGATCAAGCAGCAGCTTGATCGCATCAAAGGTCACTTGGTCTGGATGCCTTTGGATTTCTTGTGCGATGCCGAGATGGCTGAGAAGGGCTTGCAAGTCAACGCGTACACAGAGAGTATCTACACGTGAGAACCTTTTCTTTTGGCATCCGTGTTGAAGGGATCGAGTCCCTTGTGTCACGAATTTAATGACAGAATTCACGACCAAACTATCTTGTGCACTTTCTCCCTGTCAAGGAGACTTTGTGAAAGAGAACTGCTTTTTCAAGCTGGCATACAGTTTGACATTTTATTACACAGTCTATAGTTTTGCGTGCTGCGGTTGACGCTAGACGTTGGACTTGAGATCGTCCTAAGGTCTAGAGCTTCGTACTCAGGATGCTTCCGCCGTCTAGTGTAATCGTTGCACCGTTGACATAAGATCCGGCTCTGCTCGACAAGAACAAACACGTACCGGCTACATCCTCAGGTGAGCCGATCCGATGCAGTGGAATGCCCTCTTTAATGGATTCTTCAAACTTCTCTAGGGTCGCCTTCATCATTTTTGACCTGAATGGGCCGCAAGCAATCGTATTGGACGTAATGTTCCTCTCACCGAGGTGGGAGGCAAGAACCCTGGACAGGTGATGCAGTCCGGCTTTGGATGCCGAATACGCAAACGTCTCCAGTCTGGGCACTCTGAGACCGTCGATGCTACCGATGTTGATGACTCTTGCGGGATCTCCTTCCTTTTGTCCCTTCTCCAACAGCGGTGTAAGCAACTGAGTGATGGTGAACACTCTTTTCAGGTTCAGGGTAAGCACACGATCCCAGGCGCTGTCAGGGTACACATCATAAGGTTCGGCCCAGTTCGACCCAGAGTTGTTCACTAGGACATGAAGCGCCGACTCGCGCTTCGATAGCTCCGCGGCAAGTTTCTTGCAGTCCTTCTCATCGTAGAAGTTGGCTGGAATAGAGAAGGCCCTTCCAGGACCCGTCGCATTAAGCTCATCGCATGCTTGCTGACACGCCTTCGCATCGCGAGAGGAGATGTACACTTTCGCGCCGTTGCGAACAAAGCCTTCTGAGATCATACGGCCTATACCCTTTGCACCACCTGTGACGAGGACGACTTTGTCCTTTGAGACGTAAATCAGCAATCATCAAGGACAGAGCATGTTAGCGAGATCACCTTGACGTTAAACAGCGTATTGATATCCATCTTGGAGCTCGTGATGTTTGAAGATGTTTTCCACAGAATCGCAATTGAGGTCGTTCGAAAGTTTGGGAACTCATCCTTACTACACAATGCACCGCATGGCAGAGCCGTGTCTGTCCCCACGTCGTTGCATTTTGCCGAGGCTTGCCAAATCTGGAAACGCCTCTCAGCCTTCGTCCCCAGATTTCGGGCGACCTAACTTATGGACGCTTTTGCATTTCCTTTTTGCTGTCGACAATCAGACGCAGTCGATTGCAATCGCCGAACCGTAGGTCTCGGAAGAGATCCGAAATTCAAATCATGGGCATCGTCACCTGACCCATTCAACCCTGCAGCGTTTTCGCGCACTCCATGAACACGGCCTGAAGTTGCCACGCTGCCTGCAACCCAAGTCGAAAGCAGCTAAAGGGCCGCATGTGGAAAACGTCGACAGCTCTGATCGGCCATGGTTGCTGCACGAAAGATGATGTTCTATGCATGACGTGAGCAGTAGTACGGGTGAGTTTATGCTGATTGCTGCTCAGACGTGCATGTCAGGACTACTTAAATTTCCAAACACAAATGTGGATCTCATAGGCGAAAGATCAGCTCCGCGATCTCAACCAATTCGGCGTTTTCGCTGAGCGACATTCTGATAATAGATCACAGACATTCCGGAGCTTTTTTTTTTTTTTTTTTTTTTTTGCATAGCGGAGCAACCAATCGACGCAAGGGTCATGCGAGGAGAATCCTTCTAAATGCCACAACTCGTGCCGCTTTCTGTTCACTACTTCGACCCCTCAGTGTGCGGCGAAGAATAGCTTCTCACCTCTGATCGTCGAAAAATGATTTCTAATTGATGCCTTGTGCCATCGAAGCCGTTATGATGAAACGAGTCAGGGTTGAATGCCCCATCACTCAAACCACGACCTTAGGTTGTATGGTTTCCGCCTGCTTCCTTTTCGATCATATTCATACCCGCCGGATAGATACGCTTCACCTTCTGAACAGATTGTTTCGTGGCTCACAACGGCTGGAGTAAACTCCGTTCGCTGTATTATGAAACTCTGCGGTGTTCTTCTTCCGCGTTCTAACTTCAACGTCGAATCGGACACGATCAACACAGACAACCTAAACGTCAAAGTTATATATCCTGTCTCTGGCTGGTTAGCGGTTCCTGCATCAACGAGGTCAGAGATTACTACAACCGTGGTTGTCTGCAATCATGTGTTCGACTAGTCCTAATTTCGATCATCCCTTTCGAAAGCCAGCTGGAGATGGCTCAAGACGACCACATGGGATCCTGGTTATTGGATCCAGAATAGCGCATGACCCAACTTCTTGTCGACGTCTGGGACGATCTGGAATGTGCACTTAGCTGTATGGAAAATGGCGCCATCGCGTTGCCTGGAAGCCAAGCCCTCCCGGAGTGAACGAGCAACCTCCCCTTCCACGGACGCAAGTACCAATCCGTCATACACCAAATGCAGCCCAAACCGCCGCACGCTTTCCATTCTGGGATCCTGCCACGAGCTCCACGCCACCGATAGCGAAGCACGAAAAGGGTGAACTCGTGATCAGTTGTGACAGAGATTTAGACACATCCGCCACGTGCTAGATTCGCATTGAGCGAAGCATGGAGTGGCCAAAGTATGCGGGGATCGATAAGCTAGCCGTCATGTCGTACTTCTTTTTTACCTCTTGCGGCCAACATAGTCAATAATCCCCAATTCGCTTCCTAGGAATCTGTGCATCGGAGTACAGGCTCAACAACGCGAGAGTAGCAGCTCATGTCGGACAATTCGAATGCGTGCTATGTGCACGTTTTGCCACACGAAAGCGGTGCTTGACAGGCATCTCACAAGTGGCACACGGTGAACACAAAGCCTACGCTTCACTCCTGACCTGGCAACTACCCTCACGGCCACGGGTTGGTTCCTGCATGATAGTCATTTCAGCGACTGCGTGCTCACGGTCTGAGATAAGTCAGCCTCATAATTCCATATGACACGGCGAATTTTATTTTTTTTTAAAATTCTCCGAGACGTTAGTTCGTTCTGCTGCATGCCTTGGACTGGCCCTCCAGCCTCCCCCCCCCCCCCCCCCTTTTACCATTTGTAATCCCGCATGTAACCTTTCTACTTGGGGGATCAGATTTGTATTTTCAAATTCCAAACCATTCGAACAGGAAAACCTCTCTGCTCGTTTGCTGCCCTCTGGTCCAGCGCCCGATAATGTTAAAGGTGCAGGCAATCAAATTGCATCCCCACAATAGCGTACTACGTTTCATGGAGCCAGGCAGGGCTTCACACACCTGCCTCGTGGCACCAGAAACCTTTGCCCTTCAGCCATGGAGAACCGCATTCCAGCACGGCTGGTCTCCACGAGCGAGTAACGGCTGAGATGCTTGGTCTGAACGGCCACTTGCCGATCCTGGCAAGCAGCCGCTGTCAAAGCATCTTGTACGATTGCCCCGTAGACACGCGCTTTCATATCGAACTCAGAATGAAAGTTTCCGTGCCTACGGATGGCGAGAGTCTTTTTTTCCCTTCCGACTTTGCACGGCCAACCCCGTTGTCCCCCTAGATGACCGGTGTCACACAACGGTGGCTCGTCCTCTGTTGATGATGAATGCGTTGGACGATCGAGCATGCAGACCGTTTGAAAGCTCGTGCCTGCTGCACCAACCCGTATCTTCGTCGTGTAAGTGGTAACCCGTTTTGGTTTAGGTACGTGGTGTGTAGCAAACGATTGCGAGCATCTGGGACTGGTTGATCATGGGAAAAAAAGAGGGGGGGCGAGGGGGTTGGACATTCATTTACTCCCCCCCCTTTTTTTTTTTGTCAAGAAGTTCTCTGCACAGGCAGTGTTTGAAATTGCAAAGGGCAGGCACCCAGACGAACACGTATCTACGTTGGGCGGACCTGAGGTAGAAACCGTCGGGAGTAATGGGAACCGGCGTGTGAACGTCAAGCCGCACCCCATAAATCAGTGAGACTCTCCCCCCAGGTTGACGCTCACTTTCCAGTCGCTTCGTATGCTCCAGCGTTTGTAGCTCTCACCGTCTTCGCCTTAGTCCCATTCATTTGACGCCCTTTTTCTGACCGATAGCATGCACGGCTCTGAAGGCGTCCAATCTCGAAAACGTCACTAGGTCATAAACGCAGAGGTACGTCCTGCAACAAGACAAACAATTGGCTCCATTCCCAGACCCATCATGGGACTTAGCCCATGATCTCGCAGCTGGCCTTGCGAGACTAAATCCGCTGAGTTCCTTCAGATGCATTCTGTGATGCCACGCTTCTGTGGCGATGCTTGCGGCGAAATGGATCGATATAGAAACTGGCCTCAGCAATTCTTCTGCTACAGCGAACGGACAAGCCCTCTCCATCAACCGTACGAAGGAGCACGTCCGATGAGATCAGCACCCACAAACCGGCCAGACCGTATCCTCTCAGACAACCCGGGCCAGGACCAGACAACAAACAACTCCGCCCGCCGACGAATTGCGGTTGCTGTGCGTGTACAACCCTAGAGCTTGTGCAAGATGGCATCGCTTTCCGAGAAAGCTGACGTTGATGACAGTGTTCCCGGTGCCGTAAACGGAAAATCAAATGCAGCGGGGATTTGGGCAACGGGCTAGGTTGTCAGAACTGCAGGACGGCCGGCGTGGACAGTTGTAATTTTTTCAGGGTCGGTCTCCGAAGTTGAACAGTCGTGCTGAAGGCTAACCTGTCCAGGTCGGATCCTTAGAAGTCAATATGAACCAGCACGTCACGAATTTGGCCGGCAGCTACATCTCGCACAGCCCTAGCGACAGACTGCAGTACCTTAACACGCAGCATGGATATTCTTTCCCACAGCATCCGTCTTTGAGCGTGCAGACCAGGAATCTGCCTTCCGGTGGTTACTATCCGGGTGACGGCCAGTTCGAGACGGAGTCCCATGGCGAGAACTACATGATCTCGTCTCCGGCAACTCCAATTGCGCCACACGACCCTTACGGGACATGCAGTCTGCACGACGGCGCGCGCAGTTGGTCCGTTGCCAACGGTCGATTCATGCCACCGTACTATCCCCGGTACGGCGCACACGAGAACAATTCGTATTCGCACGAACCGATTGCAGGCTCTCGAAGACCGTCAGCAGCAGAGGGACCCGGCCCATTTTCAACCGCTGCGCTCGTCATGTCTCTTCCAAGTCCCAATTCAGTCGTCGGTGACAGGGAACTTCCACTTCCCCACGGAGGATCACGCGTGCAGCTTCAGACACCCACATACGACGGCGTGCAGAACCGAGGGGGCATTTTGGCTGAGAACTTTGCGCAGGCAGGCTACAACAAGACGGCCCAACGCTGGAAGGCGGGACAGACGACGCCGGCTGTGCGGGACGGGTCTCTTACAAGCTCGCGCTGCGGCAACGTCGCCGCGTCCGCACCGCAAAAGTCGTCGACAACGCCGTCCACGGCTTCGGACGGTTCCAGCGCGACGCTCCTGGCATCCGCGAGCCCGGGATCCTGCGTCTCCCCTACGACTGGGACGACGGCCGAGCATGCGACGGCCGGGAGCGCTCTCGTGCGCCAAAGCCCGATGGGCATCGACCATCCGTTCTTCTCGATCCCCACCGCTTCGACCAGCGAACCCCGCCTGTCCGGGCCGGGTAGCAACTTCAGCTCGTTCAGTATAGCGAAACGACAGCCGTCCGGCAGCGAGATTCCGTCGAGCACCGACGAGCGGCAGATGGACATTCAGCAGTACGTGCCGCTGTCTTATCCGTCAGACACCGACAGCCGCGGAGGCCCGCTAAGTTCCTTCAGGCATGACAGCGTGGACGGTCGAGCTCACGAGTTACCACATCGCAGTTCGATGCCGATCGTCAGCCCGGACTCGTAGAGCGACAGAGGCCTACAAACACCGCGACACTGACGATCGGGCCAGCTCGAACGTGGCTCACCGGCAGGCCGACTCGCTTGTTCAGCTGCCAAAGTCGTGACGGCGTCAGCATGGCTCCTGCCTAATGACCATTCTTATTACTGTATGCGATGCGATCAGAGGGGGGGGGGGGAACATCTAGTGGATCGACCTGAAAAAGCGAAGCTCAAAAAGCTAGACACAGACCAGCTCACGCATGGGAAGGGATTCATGAACGAGGAGGGAATCGAGCGATGTTCTCTTTTGAACGGCGCGTTTGACACGCAAGGTTTCGGCAGACCACGACGTCATTGAGATTCGAAAGCACGTTATTTGGGCTCCAGCATCGCCATCCATCCTATGTTGCTTTGAGATGGGGGAAACCGACAAGGAGCACGGACGCAAGCAGATCTATATGACGCGAATATTCTGTAAGATTTAATGTTTGATCGATTGCCGTTTGCTGGTTTCTCCTAGGGGGGGGGGAGAGAGAGAGAGAGAGAGAGAGGTAGGGAGGGAGGGAGGGAGGGAGGGAGAGGAAGGGACGGGGTGCTGGAGGAGTTTGTGTGTGCAGGAAATTGCGGCTGCTCGTTGGAGCTTCTTCAAGATCCGTGCCTGAAGGGTGTTCTATACTTGTTGGCACCCGGAATGGCCGTTGCTCATTTGCGTCCACCGCGGAGAGCGACCATTCGTGTCTTGCAGTCCCCTAGACAGAGATAGTGGCCCGAGATTCTGAATTGGACTTGAAGCCGCAAGGTACGATGAGATTGGGGCCTCCCATGAACACGAATCCCCCCTTTTTTTTATTTTTATTTTTTTTTTACCTTTCATTTGACTTCGCTGTGGGCCTTTTTTTTTTCCCCTCCGCAATCCTCGGACTTGCAGACGCAGACGTCTGTAGCAAAATGTTCCTCAGTCGAATGTCCTGCCGACGGTCGAGGCGGTTTTCGACCGTCAGAAAGGCAATGTGGGTTTCCTGGGTCTGTTTTGAGTCGTGCTTTCGTTCGAGACGGTAGTGTGGATCATAGCGCCAGAGGTACAACGTAGCCTAGGTGCATTCAGTCAAGTGGTAGTACGACGCATGGTTGGCCGCCTCAAACCCCCCCCCCTCTCCCCGCTCTTCGAGAGAGTGTACGACCGGCCTGTGAAAAAGAAAAGCAAATTTGCGACACATGGCTGCTGTGGTATGTTCGAACTGCCACGTTGTCGAAAACGTTGCTGCTGCTGCTGCTGGGACGCAGCACCTTCTGTACGACAAAGTCACACAGATCAAGGTACCATGGTTTTCTGATCGTCAAATTTTTGGTGTAATTATTTTTGTCATAAAGAGTCCGTGACCAGCTTGATATGCTGCTACTGCTAACATGATCATGTAGGGAGGGGCGTAATGTTGTTCCGAAATCCAACGTCAAATTTCACAAGGCTCCATTGTTCACCTCTCTCTTCATCCTCTCGAGCCGTCTGTGCATCTCCAGAAGCTCCTCTCTTCTCTTCTCGCTTGGCGGCTCAGCGCTCTGCGATATCTCCATGTACAACTTCTTGTATCGCTGGTAGTATATATTGAACTTACGCGCCATCTCCAGACTCTGGCGCCACGACAGTGCAAGTGGCGGGCTGCTGCTCGAACTCTCAGAGTCTGAACTGGCGTGGCCATTTGACACGTGGTGAACGCCGTTTGCACCCGAGCTCGGTTTGGCCTTGGATGCCTTGAGCGGACGCTCTTCGCCACTGGAACTTGAGGTTGAGTTTGTGTGAGGGCGTTTGCTGGCCCCGTTGGCCTTGAGAGTGGCCCCGTTGACCTCGTCCGCCTTGCGTTTGGTGCCGGCACGAGGTGACGTGGCGGCGGAGAGGCGCTTGTGAACGGGATGACCGTTCTCGAAGTCGGACGCATTCACAGGCGGAGAAGCGCCGAGCGGCGACAAGTTCTTTGGCTTGTTCAGAAGACCCTTCGCGGCCGTGCTGGGCTTGACTTGCTTGCGAGGAGGCCCCGAGCCGGGTCCGTTGTCGGTCGTGCCCGCAGCGCGCTTCGAAGGTTGGCGTTCTTTGCCCGCTTCGAGCTTCGGGTTACGAGCGTCGGACGTGGACTTGACGGCCTTTGGCTTTTCCTCCAAACCATCATCCTTCGTCTTCTTTACTTTGGCGCCTTCCTTCTCCGTCTTCTTTGGATCCTTTCGCTTCGGCAGGCCCGTCTTTTTGTCAAAGCTCTGCGCCTTCAACGCTGGCGTCCCCTTTGCTGGATCCTTGAGCGCAAGGCGCGAGAGGACCTTGCCCTTGCCCCTCTCTTCTTCGGGTAGAAGTTGCTGCCAAATTGGATCGTCTTTGGGCAGCCTCATGCGATCGAAGGCTCGAATGGCATTCTCGATTGCCGCCTGCCTGTCCTCCTCGGCGTACTTGAACTTCCATACATCCAGCTCTTTGTACGCCCGATCCAGCAGCGTGTACTCCTCGTCTGCCTTGCCCGTCAACTTGGCAATCTTCTCCAGAACCCTACGAGGGTTGGTGCCGACCGTGCGGCGGCATTTCAGATACGTTCGAGGTTGCACGGCCAAAAAGTGGACGAGAGCCTTGCGAACGGCGAAGTCAAAGGGCATTTCGAGGCCGGCAGACATTGGCGGCGGTCGAGAGTGCGAGGGTGGTGTGGCGGCGTCAAGTGCTGGGCTCGAGGGGTTGGATCTGCCGTTGGAAGCTAGCAGAGGCTTGAGGTGTGTTGCTCTTGCTTGCGCCTTACTCATTCCCTTCGCGGGCGGGAGGTCTGGTGTCGATATGGCAGCCCTGCGCACAAGTCACGAACGGTTAGCATCAAGTAACCAGAGTCCATTCACGAAACCCGCCCATTGAGCTGGCGTGCGAATGCAGCGTGACAATACGCACTTTCTTACTTCCCGCTCGTGCTCTATTGACGCCATTGTGTTCTTCAACGTCTCGAGTGCACGGTCCGTACCGGCAGACGCATCCTCGCCGTCCTGGACGGTGAGGGAGTGGTTGATTAGACCACAGAACTCCCACGACCTGTCGTCATTTTCTTGATTCGCTTTGTACAGTTCGTATCGGAACTTCTCTGGCTTCGTGCGTAGCTCGTGGGACTTTCCGTCGTACTTGATCAACTATTGATTTCACGGTCATGTTAGCCGCTGCTGTGCCATGTATGCTCGGTCGAACTCCGAAAGCTGGGCCGGGCGTCGGAGGAGGGAGCCATACTGGAGTTTTGCCGAAGAGCACGTGAGGAGCCTTGCCCTTCCGTATGCACTCGAGAAGATCGTCGAGTATGTCGTTGCTCATTTCCAGGTGCATGACCTGCACGGCGGCTGTCTTCTCATCCGACGCACCAATGCTCCTGTCGGGAGCTCCAGTGAGAAGAATGGTGTCCATGATGAGCAGCAGGATGTAGAGACGGCGGACTGCTCACAGCGGGCGGAGCTCAGTACGTCCAGAGAGGGTCGGGTTTGGCGTGCGGATGGGGCAGCCCCGTCAACCGTAGAGGCCGTTCTTCCTAGTACGTGGCAGCCAAACGCATGAGTCCAGGCTGTGAGGGCAGAGAAGCAATTGGCACAGGCTAGACAGGGCAAATGAATTGTCGGAAGACGACCTAGCTTCACGACAAAGGAACCAAGGGGATTTCGGACAAAGATCGATTCTCTGGGGGAGGAGAGGAGGGTGGTTCGGTTTCGGGACGTGAGAATGGGAGTGAGCGAGAGTGAGCGAGAGTGAGCGAGAGAGAGAGTGGGAGTGCGTGGGCGTGGGCGTGGGCGTGGGAGTGTGTACACGAGCAGGCGAAAGCGCTGGCGATGCTCGTCGTGGTTGGCGCAGGGAAGAAAGCGAGCGACGGTCACCAAGGCGAGGCAGAGTAAGTAGCGTTGGTAAGCCACAGAGCAAGCGTCAGACCTTCACTCTCGCCAGGGCCGGGCCAGAACCGGTTGGCCGGGACGGGCTGGGAGGCCGTGGTGGAGGTCATCCTGGCGACGGGCCCGGCCAGCAGCATCCTCGCCGGGGCATCGCGCGACGGCGCTCAGCGACACCATCCCGGAGCGGAAAGGCGGCGCTCGCATCCACGGCGCCGAAGCTGTTCGGTGGCGTTTCGCGTACTGCGTCCCGCACGCACGCACACACACAGACTGCGGCCGCCTTGCTGCCTGGCCGCCTGGCCGCCCGGCGGACGGGCACGCGGACGGCATCCGCATTGCACGCGCTGCGTCTCGACTGCCACCACGCCCGCTCACGCCCGAGCCCAGGCCCGACACAAGAGAGCGCAGCGGCGGCGGCAGCAGGAGCACGTAGGAACAGATGCTCGCAGCCGCGCGTGCAACAGCGCAGCACGGGAGGAGTCGTGCTGCGTCAGGTTCGCCGTGCAGCAGGAGTGCACCAGCACACCCACATGCCCGCTGCCGCAGCCCACGTACCCACCTTTGCTACAAGTACATGCACGCCCGCTTCCGCACGCACTCACGCACACGCCAGAGCTCAGCGTCGGCCCCATCCTTCCGTCCTCCCCCTCGTTTGCTCCAAGCTGGGCAGTCCAACGACGTACGGCACGGCGTGTATTTCTCACTCAGCATGACTGCGATGGTCGCCCGTGGAACTCGCTCGCTCACCCACACTCTGACGTAGGCACTGAGTCTGCTCGTCACGCCCCCCCCCCCTGCGCTGTGCTCTTTTCCCACTCACCGTCCTCCGTCCTGACTGCCGCGTGGGTCTTTCTCCATCAGTCTCTCTGCCTCTCTCTTCGTGCTTTCTGTCTCCTCCGCCCTTTCTGACCTTGGATGGCCGGCGTGATTCAGGCCCCGGGCACGCACACAGCAAAACCTGACGGACGCTGCCTGCGCGCCCTCGCCGTATGCGTGGGTACGGCCCCATCCCCGGTCTGGCACGAAACAGACCAGACAACGAAAAAAAAAAAAGAAAATAAACAAAGTATCTTAAATAATGAGACGACAACGAAAGAAAAGAAAAAAAAAAGGGTCGATCAATTTGAATCATTGTTTGCAACTTGTTCGTGCGACTGCCAACCATTCTCTCCCGATTGATTCCCCACCCTTTTTTCTTCCACTCTGTTTTTACTTGCTCGGCTGCTACTGCTACTACTACTACTCCTCTCGCTCTCTGCTCAAAACGTCCCCTCTACCGTCGTGGTCAGATCGTGGCACCAGTTGCGTGCTTCTGGATCCAATCGTTGCCCTAGGCGCAGATGGGCGCTCGTCTGCACACGACAAGGCCCCAGTCCCTCCAGCCAACGAGCAAGAGATCCATACTTGAACCCTGTTCCGAATGATCGCAGATGAAAGGCCGGGCAAGCCCCCCAAGGTCTGAATCAATGCCACGGTCCCGTTTACAGCACAGTAACTTGCGTCGCCTCTGTACCTGAGGAGCGCCCATCCAGGCTTTTGCCGCGCACCCCCGCCGATCCGGCCGTTCGCCCGCACCGAGGAGGCACCGAGCCACGAAGCAAGGTCGGAACGACACCATGTTTCAATGACAGGCATGCCATATTCCGATCTGTAGAAAAAGGGCGTGAAAACCACGAAACCGCGAAACGCGGCGTTGGGCTAGCACGAGTTTTGTCACTGTGATCTTGGATCAAGCGACCCTCCGCCATCGCCATGCTTTGGTGAAAAGAACAATCGCAAGAGGCAGGGCTTCGTGTCACCTCGTCCCAAGATAGACTGACTGTACGGGAGCAACCAGAAAAAAAAAAAAAGACTCAGAATCGTAGTGATCATGCAACCTTGTCTGCAGAGACGGACGTGGCCAGCACAGAAGGGGGCATGAGTAGCAGCGGTCGGTCCGCCATGTGGAGACGCTGGTCTGTCTTTTTACCCGTCGAGCAGAAAGGCTACTCTGTCGTCGTGGCACCAACATTTTTGCGGCAAGAAACTGTAGTACAACACCACCCAACATCAGCTCTTCGTGACACTGACGCCTGCCAATCCAACACTACGCCCTCGCTCCGCCGTTGCAGCTAGTTCCAAGCACGCTAGGCACAGTTTTGTGTACGGTCCTCGCACATCCAGTAACTTTAGCGGCTGCGAGGGATCGGCCGTGGTCGGACCACGATCAGATCGAGCGCCTTTATCCGCGGCCTGCACTCGCAAATGATGCCCATCTCGTGCTCCCTAAGCGACCGGACTGCAGTTCCCCAAGTAAGATGTTCTCGCTCTCTCTCATTCAAGCCCTCTCACTTCTTTCCCTTTTATCGAACTTGTAGCACGAAAAGGGGGGAAGGGGGACCGCTTTTAATTTGAGCAATCTCTCTCGCAAGAGCATCATTGCCTCTTCGGCCCGTTGCCTCAACGTCTCACACACACACACACACACATCCAACGTGATCGTCTTCGTCGTTTCGTCGCTTAAGCGACCGGGAAAGGCCTTGAGGGTGGCACGATGCGTTCACGCTCCTCCTCTGCAGACCGAGGACGAGCTCTGCGTTCGGGATCCGTGATTCTTTGACCACTTTGGCCGCCTTCTCAGCCCCGTGGACTCGAACACGAGCCAGTTTGTGGGGGAGATCCTTGACCAGGAACAGACTGCGTTTGACATTTCGAAGCAAAAAGCGCTTTCTCCGCCTTTGGTCAACAGTTTCAAGCTCTCAGGTACCAGCCACCTGGCGAGCATCCACGCGCAGATTAACGCTCCTCCCCTTCGTAACAACACGTCCAACCAGCAGCCACGCTGGATCTGGCCGTTGCTGGGCCCCCACCGCCCCCAGGTGACGTACAATGGGCTCGACAGGCGAGAGGCGAGATCTGGGTTGCCCAACCCGTTGCATCGAACTAGCAATCACGCCTGCCGCAGCGAAAGAAAGACGGAAAGTGAATGAGGAAGCCCAAACCCACCTTTCTCCGAGAAGACGTCGCTTCCCGGCGCATAAACGTTTGCTCTCACTCCCGTTCGAAACATCCGAAATGTGAACGCACACGCCCTCCAGGATCTCCTCGCCAATGGGCCGCCACAAAAGCCCGCTACTTTTTTTTTCGTCGTCCTCGTGGCTCACTCGCTCGCTCGCTCGCCAGATGCCGAATGCAAAGGCAGATCGTGGAAATCACAATGGGATTGGCAGCTTCGTGCCGTGGACGACATGCGTGACAGTGCAAGCCCTGACTGGTTTCGGCAGGTACCCGGAGTGGCCTTGGCCCACGACAAACCGCGGCAATGCAACGTGTGGGAGGGGAGATCGCGCCGTCTCAAAGCGCAATTTGCAACTCGGGAACTAGTATATACGTGGAAGGATTGATCTTAGGGTAAAGCGTGATTAGGTTGAAAGGGAAGTGCAAGAAGAGTAGAACTGCATGTGGTCAATTCCACGGAACGTTTGTGTTCCCAGTCATTTACACTGCTTAGCCCTGTTCAGGCCGTTCGTGCTTGCCGCCAACAGATCAAGCGTTCAAATGATAGCCAAAATCCTGACACCAAGTGATGCAATTTGAGAAAAGTAAAAAAAAGGTACATGTTTTGTAGAAAGAGAGGACAGGGAAAAAAAGGCTCAAAAGCAAAACTGTAGAGCAAGACTGTCCAGATTGGCTCCCAACGGAAAGCTGGGGCTCTTGGTTCCTGACCGTCCCATGCAGTGATAGGTCGTGATGCTCACTTTTGGGTATCTCCACCGCTTTCCCACCGTCGTGTTGCCGCTATTCGAATCTCGCGAATTTCTTCGGCCAGTGCTCACTCGCTCTTAGAAACCTCCCATGCCCGCCTCTTCGTCGGTCAGGTCCCGGTGTCGAGCGAGCACTTTTCTCTTGAACTCTGCCTGATCCTTGTCCCAGAGCTCGGCTGCCTCCCCGTTGAGTGGGCTCGCGCTAGATTTAGAATGTTAGCAACGCAATGCTGCTGGCACGTCCTTGCTCTCTCTCTCTCTCTCTCTCTCTCTCTCTCTCTCTCTCTCTGTGCGTGTGTGTACACGTGCGTGTCTGTGTGTATGTATGTGTGTTTGTGGAGGGGGAGGGGGAGGGGGCGAAACATACTTGTTTGGTTCGCCGAGCAGGCTCTGCAGGCTGAGCAGCACTGTTTGAACGTTGTATATTGCGCTCCACTTCTCCTTGAGGATGTCCAGGCAGATGCGGCCTGAGAAGTCAATGTTCGGGTGGTAGATGGGCGTCTTGAACAACACTGTTGGTGGCGTAAGTGGGTACGTGCTTGGAAATTCGAAGCTCAGCTTCAACGACAGGCCGGCGTATGGCGTCTCCGAGGGACCTTCCATGGTCGCAGTCCAATTGAGGAGGTCGGCGTCATTGGGGAAAGCGCTTATGCCGGGCGTGGGTGACATCATGAGGTTCATGAGTTCCGACTGTAATCTGTACCAAGCATGAGCACGTTCTGTCCTCGTACAAACAAGTTCGGAGACGAAGAAGTTTACCTTTTGGTCACATTCATGTTGCTTGCCGATGGTGCTGGATTCGACATGGTCTTGTCTGCTGGCACTGGAACAGCTCCTTGACTCGAAGTGGCTTCCATGGTACAGAACGGTGTGCGGTGCTGAACTCGAGCCTCAAGGAATTGTGGAAAAAGCAGCGGTCTGGTTGGAAAAAATTCACTGGCAAGCACAAAGAAGATGCTCGGAGGATACGTCAACCCCAACGGCAGAGTGGTTTTCAGGACGGGGAAGGTTTGTCAAAGCAAGAATCTGGTCGGTTACGGTCGAGGTTCGAGCTTTCTGTTTACAGTTGGGAGAGGGCGTTGCTAAGGAACCAGGGTGGCGCTTCTTGGACATGCGGCAACCGCCAATGACGGCGCTCTCCACGTGCGAGTTTCGTGACCTTCGAAACAAGTAGGTGCTGTCGCTACACGTACAGACGGACAATCCGTCTCACCTGCGTTCTTCGTGCTTGGTCTTGAAGAACAGCATTTACTTTTGGAGCCAGACGCTTAGGCTGTGAGCTTCCATTGCTAATCATGCCCTCGCGCCAAGTACACACCTTGGTGCCCAAGATGCAAAGAGTCCGCTTAACTGCTGAATTGAGTGCATTACTTTTCTTCAAGTTCAATTTGATGATCAGCGTCATCTTCTTGCCCAGTCGCATACACCGTCGTCTAATTCCAATTCCACCAGACATAAACCACGCCATCATACCCAGCAGCTCCGCCAAAACTATGGTGTCCTCACCTTCCTCAACGACCACAAGGGCAGCGGATTAATACAATCCTGCTATTATCTCGATCAGGTCATCTTGATTGAGAAGTGGCCACTATTCAGATCCAATCTCGCTGTTCTCAGAATATTGTACTTTGCATTTCTTGTTGCTGAAGGCATTTAAAGAAGGGCAAGCCGCGGGCTATAGTTCATGCTGAACAACTGCCAAAAACCTAATGCCCATCAAGCTCGCTCGGCACTTCTGTGCGAGACCACCCTTCTTATCTTATAGGTAAAGATGATGAGCGACTAGATGAATCAAGCACTTGAAATTTATTCCACAGTTTTCAAATTTTCCAGTGACGCGATTAGTTTTCGGACTGCCGATCCCTCAGTTTGCTTTGAATAAGACCTCGTATGTCCCCGAGCTTGGATGGGATGTAGAATGGACTCCCGCTTCGCTCGGCTCGTGGCGTAGCGCCAATGCTGAATTGCTGGCACGATGTGCACGATTATAGCATTTGGTACTAAATGAGCTGATAATTCCACGAGCATGATCCTCACCAGACTCGCTTCTGGATCTGACTCGCTCACGTTCTCCATGTTGATAGGGGTTCTATCCTTGGCTGGCGTCTCTGACATCTTGCACCTTTCGATACTCTTTCTCCAGAGCTTGTTGCATATCAAAGTCCAATTGGCGCTCCGCTTGAATTCTTGCTTGCCTTTCCATATCTCGTATTACTCCAGCATGCATCGCCTGACCATTCAATTAGCGCACCAATTGCCGGGTTTTGAACGCGTTTGCTTACTGCTCGCTCAGCCTTTTGCCCGTAGTGAACACCGACAATAATGCCAATCGCCCCAATGCTGGTCAATGCCAGCGTCACCTTTGATGCTGTTGACATCTCCTAGTTGAAATTTCGATGGCAATTGATGGATAGGTAAGATGGGTGCCAGATCCAAGTTGTATGATCTTGATCGAGACGTCGAGCCAATTCGAGATGAACTTTTCGTATACAATGCACGTGCGCAAATATCCTGAATGAGTAAATAGGCTAGTGCTTGCTTCGTCGGACCTCCGCCGTGAGAAATCAGACCATTCTCAGACACGCATTCTGCGCATTTTCGCCCAGCTGACTTGACCTTCACACTCCTGCGTCATAAGTCAATGCAATTGATGGATGCAATGGCATCCGATCAGCCGTCCCGGCCATCGATATCCCAACCTATCCCTTCACGAGCTCCTCTTCCCTTGTCCGCAAGCCAAGAACAGCAGGTTCGAGATATATATCACAAACGCGTGCGCGCAAAGTGTGCAGATGAGATAAAGGGTACGCGCTGAGCTGGTTCATCGAACATGCCGGCCACAGACTGACACCTTCGAACCAGAGTTTGCCATGTGTGCGCGCCAGCACTCGTTCCTTGCAACATTTTCCTGCAAGGAAGCACAGCGCATAATGAACAGCTGCATGATGCGGTACGCGACTTTGGAAGAGCAGGACAGGGCGCGAGAAGAATGGTTCGCGACAAGAGATCAGAGACGGAAAGAGAGGGAGCTCAAAGAGGAGAAGAGGAAGGAGGCCGAGCGGATACACCGCCAATGGTGGGGATTAGATGAGCATGGTAGGAGGATAGTGAAACCGGAGAGCAATACGGGATCTGAAAATGATCTCGCCAAGATGGAAGAACTGGCTAAAGCAGTTATTGAGCAGAAAAAGGATGAGAAGAAGAGGTGATGAGCTCCCTGTGGGAAGACTGACTGCGGACCATGACATGAATTGGTCTTCTATCTTTTTTTGTCTTTTGAGCTCAGAGCGCATCTCGAAGTTCTGAGGTCGTCTATCGTGCGCTTGGCTTCTAGCACCATCATCGTGAAAAGATTGTAAGATTATATGCATAGCGATGGCGTTTCATTGGGACTGCGTCGACCGATGTTGGTCGAAGGAGGAACTCTCTCCACTTGAATTGCGAACAATATCTGGGTTGCTGTGTGCATTTGTGAGAACTCTCGGTAATTGTGCATGCCAATACCCTTATCAAACAACCCAACCTGCGCCTCCCGATGCTTTGATGCCAACATCTGTAACCTTGAACGCCTTGAATTTATACATGAATATCAAACGGAACACGTGCTCAGACGTCCGTCATGGCAGTATCACCACCTCCCGTGCCCATAGCTTCCTCAAATTCCTGCTGATCAACCTCCTCTTGATCTGCCGTGCCTCCTTCAATCCCACCCATCGTCTCGTCGCCGGCCCCATCGTCTGTCACCTCTTCGTCCCATTCCTCTTTCAATCCCCATCCCACCCCGGTAAAGGTATATTTCTCTGGTGGCAGTCTGTACCCAAAGTCCCTTTCCGGCTTCGGCAGTGCGACCTTGTTCTTTTCCGCAGCAAGCTGCAGCAAGTAATCCTTGGGCAGGCTTGGCTGGAACTGGAAGTGGCTTCGCGCTGAAATGGCCAAACGCAGGTGGTCAAGAGTGATGTTAGGCTCTTTGTCAGCACCGCGGCCAGTGGAAGTTTTGTAATAACCATCATTTGAGAATTGGAACGCGTCAGAGAGGATAGAGGAGGTGTAGCGGTATGCGAAATCCATGATCATAAGCGGAACTCGTTCTTGATATCCTTGGACACCTTGTGCGGCGAGCACCAGATGAATCAGTCGCGCATCGCGGGGCCTCTTATTCGACAAGGCTTCAAAATTCAGTGATGTCAACGGCTCCTCAGGGAGCGCTGCATTCGTGTTAATAACTGGGTTCGCTTCAACGGTCGCTGAAGTTTGAGTTGTCGGCGGACTTGGGCCTCCCAAGTTCTGTGGATTGGTTGGTGGAGTTGAGACACCATTGGGCGCGTCGCCAGTGGCAGGCGAAGCCATCAAGAGCAAGTTCTGAGTTTTTAAAGAGCGTTGATAGCTATTGGAAAAATAAGCTGTGTTGTTGGCTTTTGCGACCACCACTTTGCGCCACGATGCGCTGGATACCGTACCTGTTTCGGTTCTTGGCAAGGCTGAACGGGCGCATCAACAAATCAAAGAAGCTCAAGGTTGAAGACGAACAACGTCGTGAAAATAAAAAGGCTCGACTTAATATATCACTCGCTCTAAATGAACACTTGCGACCGAGATGGTTATCCGAGGATTATTAACAGACATGAGACTACCAAGTTCTACTCTGTTCTACTGTTCTCCTCATTCTTCAGTAGAACTGCTGCAACTGCCGAATGATACACAATCCACTGGTTTCAAAGGAACTATTGTCAGTAGCATGATTTTGATGCACACTCCTGTTCGCGTGTTACTGTTGAAGTTCTCATGGCTTTCCAAGTTTCCTTTCAGGAAGCAAATGTCCAAGAGGACATTAAGAGTGTTTTAATCTGTTTGTAGTTTTAGCAGCTTCTGCTTGACGGTTCATTGAGAAATATCAATCGCTCGGCCGCAGTATTGTTAATGAGGCTGCGTGACAAGATAAACTGACGCCTGCCATTTTTTGTGCTTTTGATGTAGATGTCAGCACTTGCTATCTAACATGCTGCATCTCACCTAGCAAGTCGTATGTTGAGAATTCGCAGCTTAAATAAGAAGGTTATCACATATCAGTAGTGAGTCGCGCAAACAACCGAAGGCGATTTGCAGCTATGTTCAATGTCGATGCTAAGACATGCCTTCGCAAGTATCGATGCGAGTGCCCACATCATCTTCAGAGCACCGTGTAAAATTACATGCTTTATTATAGCGTAGATAGACCATGTGCCAAACCGCTCCCTTTTCTCAACATTTGCAGAGGTGGTTCTATACCTCGAGTACTCTAGCTCTCCCAAATGAGCGTCGCGAAAGGATCAGTTACATGCCAAACACTGCTCCTCCTCCACCGGCCCTGGCTGCACTCTCTTTTTGCATCTTTTCGCTGACTTTGACGTTGACCTCAAAGAATTTGGAAACGCATCGGTCCAAGCAGACGCCCTCGCCCTTGTTCAGTTCGGCCTCCCGATAGTCGTTGGGTATGCACTTCTTCGTGCAGGAAGCTACGAGTCTATCGCGGTAAACAGTCAGTCGCGGAGACAGATGTGATGGTAATGCATGCAGTCAAGTGTTCAATCAGTCGAAAAGCTGGTCGTGTGCATGTCTGCGAAGGTATCTTCATCTTGCCCAATTCATTCATACCTGTTGAACATATCTGACACCATTTCTACCTCAGCTTCTGCTGCTGCAATCTTCTGCTCTGATGTAGGCTGGGGCCTACCACCGCCAAAGAGAAACGACATCTTGAAGCGATGAGGATTTTTATGGTCAACGCCGAGAGTAGGGAGGATGCCGCGTGCTCAATGAGATAATCTGCTGAATGATTTTGCTTTGCGCTCGTTGTAAAGAAAATGGATATTGATTGATGCAATCAAATATTGACGACCTGGTCCTGCTGGAAGTAGTTGTTAAGAATGATGTCGTGGGTCAACTCTGCGGAGGTGAACGCCGAAAAGGGAAATCCAAAGCTCCAAGTTTTTCGAGCTTTCTGTCCACCGAAAGGAGGGTTAGCAGACGATCTGAATTAGACACGACGTGACTTACACTGTACAAAGAGTATAAAGGTCAGTAATTTGTTCCGTATAAGATTCGCAATCCCTGTCTTAAGATGAGAAAATGTAAAGAACCGCTGCGAATGACGCAGCTGCGTGTGATTTTACACTTTACGTCCTATACGCAACCTGATCTATACTCCACAAATAACCCTACGATCCTCTCATTTGTCTTTCCACTATAGTAGTGCTGACGAGTGAAAGGCATGTCCAGGAGCTTATCGCTCGCTCTTCGACCATGTCTCAATGCGAGCGTTAAGCCTCGATGTCGAGATGCCTATCTTCGCTTCTATACAGCTAACACTCAGGCAAAAAATCAACGAAAAGTAGCCGAGCCCGATGATCAACTGGACTCATTATGGTCGTCTGTGTCATATAGAAAGCGACTGAGACAATTGACGGCGTTGCATCCGGAGGGGCAGAATGCACCCACTGACAGTCTGTACCCACGAATTGGCAAAGAAAAACGTCTTAGCCCAGCGCAATTCAGACGGCAGGCAGAGAAATTGAATTTAGCCCCAGGAGATTGGGCGCGCAAGGTCGAATTCAAGCTGCAGGGTACGGAATATGGCATCATGCACGATGCGAATGTTGGCAGAAGATCTCTGACGCATTCAATCTAGGCAAGATCCAACGCGTTCGAGCCATGAGTCGGAAACTGCTCTTCCTTGACGTTGTTGAGAACGAACATAGAGTGCAAGTCATGGTTAGTTTGGAGAACCTGCAGAAGAAAGGGACGTATAGCTCAACTGAAGTCGATGATTTACGGAAGCGGATCAGTGTGGGCGATTATTACGGTACGTCCGTCTTATCCAATACGCATCACTCTCTAACATCTAGACAGCGTTCTCGGGCGTTGCGCATCGAACGCCAAATGGAGAGTTAACGCTCTCCATCCAAGAGCTCCCGCAACTGCTTGCACCATCTTTGCACATTCTGCCAACCACAATCACTGATAAGGAGACATTAGCCCGTCTACCTCAGTTAGATCTTCTGCTACACCCTAAAAGGCGAGATTTGCTGCGCCTACGGCATGTGATAGAGCAGACTATTGCCGGTTATCTAGACAATGCGGGCTTCATCAAAGTCACGACACCCATTCTAGCTGCCGATACAGGAGGGGCCGCTGCTCAGCCGTTTGAGACTTCGACGAACGAGATACCAAACGTCCCCTTGCGGTTGCGAATTGCACCTGAGATAGGGCTCAAGAAGCTCACGGCCGCGGGTTTGGGTGCCGTATATGAGATTGGCCCATGTTTTCGAAATGAAGGCCTTGACAGCACACATAACCCTGAATTCACCACGTGCGAATTTTACAAGCCATTTACGAGTCTGGACACGCTGATGTCGATGACTGAAGAACTGCTTGTGCAGATGGCTAGGGCGTGTCAAGAAGCTGTGGAAACTCGTCTCACATCGCTAGAGAAACAAGACCTCACGAGCGAATATTTCCTGAGCGCACCGTCCACGTTCGCGCGTCTGCCGTTCCTTCCGACACTGCTGGAGAGGATTCGAGAAGTCCTTCCTGGGTCTCGTCTACCTCGACGCCTGGACGAGAGCGCTGTCCAAGAGTTGCTTGAGCTGTTCGCGCAACTTCAGCAAAAGGCGCCGGAACTAGAGATCAAGACACCTGTGAACCCAACAGCGTCGCGGCTGCTAGACTCGCTGAGCTCTTATTTCATTGAGCCGTTGTGCCAGAAACCGACCTTCATCACAGGTCATCCGGCCATCATGTCGCCGCTCGCGAAATCGTACTATGACCCGAGGACAGACCAGGTGTTGTCGGCTCGCGCAGAGCTGTTCGTCGGCGGCGTCGAGTTCGCCAACCTGTATGAGGAGGAGAACGACCCATTCATGCAGGCGCGCAAGTTCCTGCAGCAAGCCCGCGGCACTGCCGCGCTCACCAATGAATTCGGCATCGACCTCAGTCATGAGGAGGTCAAGGCACGGCTCTCTCCGAGCCAGCAGTACTACGTGCGCGTGCTCGAATTGGGCCTCCCACCAACGGGCGGATGGGGTTGCGGTATCGAGCGGCTCGTCATGCTCTTCGGTGGCGCAAAGAGGATTAGTGAGGTACTACCCTTTGGAAGCCTGAGGAGCGTCATCGCGATGGGCACCGGTGTCGACGCGAAAGGAAGGCTCGTTGTCGACAAGGCCTGACAGAGAGGCGAGTAAGGTTTTAGGCGCTTCAGCACATTTGTAAAAACAAACGGCGTCGCTACATGATCTAGCGTCCGCAGTGCAAATGTACCATTATATCATTCCTGTAGAAAATAGTACACTTCAACACGGCCGTCCTCGCACTTCCAAGTGTGCGCCCAAGCCTCCGTTCTGGTGTTTGATAGTTTTCTCACATAGCTTGTCTTGTCTGTATCGATGCACGAGTGCTTGCCTAACCGTTTCTCCCTCCCCATGATGACTCCCTTCGATGATGTGTCTGCGAGGCTGCCGTCTGGCCTTTCCTGCTCGGGTCCATCCTCTTCGACCCTAACTTCACAGTCGTATCGCACATGACGTGTTTGGCCGCGACTCTCGAAAAGCCTGGATAGGAATATGCGAGGAACCCATCAGCTGCCTCTGTATGTGGTGTAGCTGTACGGTCCCAGCAGCAGCGGGACGTGCCAGTGGCCCCTCTCCTCGCCATTAGCGTCACTACCGAATCCGCTCGTCAAGAAGCGGATCTCTACCTCGGGGAAGAAGGGTTTGATATTCCTGTCGGCGAAGTAGCGCAGCACGTCAAAGCGGGCCACCCACTTCATGTCGGCGCCTTGCTCGAACGTCTCGAAGAGCGCTTGCATGTCCAGAACGTTGCCGTTGCCGTCGCTAGACACGGCCGTCCACGCAGGTATACGCCCGTCGTCATTGGTGACGGCCTCGAAGACTATTTTGCCCTCACGTGTTGGCGAGAGCAGCTCGACGGTGACAGGGATGTTCCGCGCCGGCAATCCGGACAGCGTGTCGAGGATGTGACAAGTTATGGGCGGGCGCGTTGCGGGCATCACGAGAGCGTGTGCGGCGGACGGGGTCGCTGCGAGATGTGACGTGAGGGTTTTCAGTCGAGCAGTGGGCGAGGATTGCGGCATCTGCTTTCGATGCGTCGTTCGAGATTCTTCCGCAGCGACGCACAACCGTCTGCTCGCCGAAATCAAAGCTGGGTGCGGGAATGGACGGGTGCTGCGCGAATGTTTCGACAATGGATGTCCGAGGCCGGTAGAGGGGCTGACTTTTGTTGTTTAAATACTACTGTCTGACGATCGACTAAGAGTGGGAAAATTTACTTCGAATGAAGGCCCCGTCGGAGTCGCCCGAAGGTGGAATCTGAACTGGCAGATGCGCCTCCCGCAGCACGAAGCTCCCGTGCCAGAGCCCTCAACGTTCCGGCACCTTAGCAGGAAGATTTGGCTCGCGCAGCGATTCTGTGATAACCGCGTGGTTCGCCTCGAGAGCCAGCGGATTCGTCACGTACCTTTTTGTTGTGCCCCAGTTACTTTTCCTCAGACGCTCAGACCACGTCTTGACATCATGTTCGACAACGCTACGGAGTTGTTGCATCTTTTTCGCGGCAGACAAGGCTGATGTGCAGCCTTCTACGGGTCCCGGTTTGTGTCTGCTTATGCTTCGCAGCTACAATTTACGAACATTTACGTCTATTCGCCACGTCTGCAAGGCTGCGAACCCGAGCAATAACGCACGTTCTACATTTGCTCGCCGCTGCGGGAGGGCAACGTAGTCTCCTGACCGCACCAGCCTGACGCAGACTGGTGTACTGATGCACGACGCAGTGGAATGAGTCCGAATCTGCTTCGGACGCCTCCCAAGCAATCGAAATGAGACCTCTGCCACAGCGAGCACATAAAAATGGCCATGTAGGCGTGCCGGATGTTCGCGGTTCGCCCAGGCCGTTCTTTCCCTGGTGAAATGTTGCTGGGCACGCGGCAAGGAACGAGTGAACGGCACTCGATCATCGATCTTCTGCGGACCACACGGTGTCTTCACGATGACAAAACAACAAGTCCCCCTGCCTCGAATCGCAGCAAAGCAAGCGGCGCAGTAGTGCCACACGCGTTCACACTCGCGCACAAACACAAAAAGGACCTGCGCAGCTGAGATGGCAACTTCGGGATTCGAGGTCAGAATTGCATTACTAATGAGAACGTGGTTGCTGCGTCCACACTCGGCAGTCACCATCGTGCCAGCTCGTGCCACGGAGCCGTCTCGAGAGGAGGCAGGTACTCACACAACCTCTCTCCTTCCTCTGTCGCTTGCATCGCGTCCCCGTGATTGCTTCCCTCTTACGATGCGAGTCAAGCAGGAGGATGGGGAAAGTGCAGTGGACCAGCGGATGCGAGCACGGGAAGGTGCTGGTGGTGCGACACGGAGGACTTTCTCAAAGAAGTACCATGTACGGCACAGGTTGAGGATGGGGCGATGGTGGTCAAAGCCGGCCGATTGGCACCGGGCGCATCGATGATGGACGGATCGGGGGGCGAGGGAGCAAGCAAAAATAAGCGAAGACGCGAACTCGTTCTCCGAAGCAGTCGGGGGTTGGGTGAGTGGCAGAGCGGAGGGACGAAGGGCAAGCGTCGGCAGGGATGTGATTGGCTGCTGGCAGGAATTCAGTGCCTGGGGCATCAAGCGGCGCGACGGCCGGGCTTCAAAAAGACGTGGAGCGAATGCAGCCCGTTTCGATTATGACGTACACCGCAATTCTTCTTTTCCTTTCCTTCATCGTACTGTACGGCCACCAGACCACCAATTCCATTGTCCTTCGTCGTCTTCAGCAGTCAGCGCGACGCTTGCCATCGTCGCCAGTCTTGTTTTCATCCGTTCCATCGAAGAACCCGGTCGATTTGCGCGAGGGACCCCCCAAGTGCACGCCAGTGCCTCCTTTCTCTCTCGCGCCGCTGCGTGTCGTCATCGTCCTTTGATTTTGTCATACCCGACGCAGCTCACGTACGGTGACGACAGAGGTGCAAACGCTCTCACACAAGCGCACAAGCACGCGAACACGCACTATCGCCTCGACGCAAACGCAGCTGCCCACCTTGGCGACTCGCTTGGGACCTCCTGTCGATAGCAGTCTCGAAGGGAGAGGGCCGCCAGCCTTTCATTGCCGTGGACCGATTTGTTGTCGCAGCGCAAGGTACGTCGTTACGGGCCACTTCCCCAAGGACAACCGGGTGGGATGCTTGCTTGCCTGCTTGTCTTCGGCCTTGCTCCAGCAGCCCTCTGCTTTGTTTTTTTTTTTTTTTTTTTTTCGCTTTGGCTTTGGCTTTGCTTTGCCTGCTCGCTCACTTGCCAACGTGCTGGCGACTGGCCGCTGGCTCTCTGGGCTGGCCACTGGTCGCCCGCCCTGCCCCAGCTTCCCCCTCCCCTTCCGCCACAGCCAATGTCGACACTCTCCTCTCTGCACACACAACCACTCTTGCGCGCTCCCCTACACACACACTTTGCCAGTACCACACATGTCCCCCCGCCACAACCGCCATCACCTCTGATGCGCCTCGCCTCCGCATCCATTTCACATATTATTCCTCCTTGTGTTGACATTTGAGAGAAGGACTAGCCACAGTTTGTCTTTCCCGGCGCGCCAAAGACGCGCACTTAAGCGCAGCCGACGCTTAAAGTGAGGAGCAGAAACGAGGCGCTGCAACCTTGACGGGATCATCCACGAGTCTGAAAACACGAACTCACTACGTCACTCCACGCCATGGCCGCTGTTGCTAGCAGAAATGCGAATAACTCTCCGCATCTGAGTACTATGTCATCGCCCAAGGATGCGAAGAAAGTCAAGTCAGAAGGTATCGTAATCTCTCTCTATTGCCCACTGTCGCCGCCCTTCTTCTGTCTTCCTTGTTCTCCACGTCGCCAGATTGTCTTAACAGCACTTGCTCATTTGCCTAATCCATCTACCCAATGTCGTCACCTGAACCTTTGCTGCCATCATAGTCGTCGACACATGATCCTGGCTCTCCTCCGTTGACGCTCCGTCGCGCACTCACGTCGTGTGCGCCATGCTCCTCGAGCCTGGGTCGTTGTTGCCGACGACGTTGCTGCAGCTGTGTCACCGAAAGGCATGCTATCGCCCTTCACCTCCCCATCTAGATAGGCGACAGTAGAAAGTATCGGTGTCAGCATTGTGTCTGCCATTGTCCTTACCAATATCAATCGTCACTGTAGCGTATAATTCGTCCTAACCCGCGACAGCAGACTCAGCGAATTCGGTGCAGCCGACTTCACAGGCCACCTCAGACATAGACTCGAAGCCAGCTACAACTGCTAACGGCGAGTCCAAACCTCTTGGGCCGCCTCCTAAACCCTCGGACGGCGGCGACTACTTTAGCACCGCTCACGGCACCAACGGCACTCAGTACGGCGCCGAACCTAATCCATTCGAAGCCCAGTTTGGGAACCCGTCGGCTGAAACTCCAGGCAAGAGTCTCCTGCCACCAGTCTCCAGTCTTACCTCACCTCAACCTATACTAAACGGTAACACTCCAGGCTGGCCATCGCTCCGGTCCGGACCACTGAGCCCGGCAATGCTCACGGGCCCAACTGGTGCGCAGGATTATTTTGATCCTTCGTTCAGCCGCGGATTCCCAACACCAAACGAAAGCGGGCTGCGAACGGGGTTGACGCCCGGTGGTGGTGGATCCATGTTTCCTGCGCCGAGTCCGAACTCACAGGCATTGTTCAATTCTCTGCAATCAGGTGGAGCAACACCAAGTACGCTGGACTTCTACCGCACAAGTCTCGGCGCAAAGGCGGCGTCACAATCAGGCAGCTTCAATCCACCAACCTCGCAGCCTACGGACCCACAGCTACAGAATTCCATGGACCGCTCGCAGCAGCCCAACCAACAAGATCCTTTTACCCAGCAGCACGGTGACGCTGACGCCGTCAATGGTCTGTACATGCTGGCTCAAGCCTCCAATGGCGCCAATGGCGTCCGTAACAACCAGTACCCCGTACAAAACGCTCAGGCCCAAACCAGCATGTCTGCGCAGGCGGGTTCGACAGCAAGTGCTTCCCCAGCAACCAGGAGAGCGGCCAAAAATTCTATTACCAGCAATGAAACGAATGAAGTTTCCGAAGAGGAAAGCGAACAAGATAAACGTGCCACTCGCTCGCGCGGCAAGAAGGCTGCTAACACAAAGTCGACCCCTGCAAATAACAGGCGGAAAGCTGAGGACGCTCCAGCAAAGGCGCCAGCGAATAAAAGGTCGAAAGGAAACAATGGTGCTGCGCAGGAGGCGGACGATCGCGAGGACGATGAAGAAGAGATGAGTCCACCAGCTGCTGAGAATAATACGAAGAAGATGACAGATGAGGAGAAGCGCAAGAACTTCTTAGAACGCAATAGGTAAGCTTTCATTCGTGGCCGCAAACATTCCGTGCAATCAGTTCCTTACAAGTTACATAGAGTTGCTGCACTCAAGTGCCGTCAACGGAAAAAACAATGGCTTGCCAACCTTCAGGCGAAGGTCGAGCTCTTCAGCACAGAGAATGATGCGCTCTCACAAACCGTCACTCAGCTCCGAGAGGAGCTTGTCAACTTGAAAACGCTCCTTCTGGCCCACAAAGATTGCCCTGTGTCTGTCCAGCAGGGCATCGCTGGGCCTGCAATGGCTATGTACCTCGGCGCCGACAGTGGCAACCACCACGCCAACCCTTATGGCATCGGCATGCAGCCAAATGGCCTGCCTCAGGGTATGCAGATGCCGATGCAACAAACCGGACCCGGTGGACAAGGTGTTTCCAGGGGGTGAGAGATGAGAACGCCAAAGAGAAGGTTCTAGCCATGCTAACCAGATGGCAGCTGACACTGTTTTATGACTTGAAATGGATCACTTGTCTTTTGTTCCCCTCCGACAAGGAGGACGGCGCTTCGGGTTACAGTCCGAACGATGTGAGGCATCCGTCACGTTGAGCACAGCTTTGCGCATTGCGGATCACTGGTAGAAATCCGTCATGACCGGCCTGAATTTTTGTGTTCCGGACTGCCAACCCAAAGCGCATCCTTGTCATCCATTGTACTAGCCACATATGAGACCACGACGTCATTCCCTGTATACATTCGGTGGTATGAAGGCACGGCGGCATACCCTTCATCCCTTTTTTTTTTTCATTTGTTCTTAGCAATTCTCGAGCGACCTCCTTCTTCCATTGGCTCTCATTTTGGATGTGTCTTGGCGATGGAAACGTTGCAGCACTGAAATTCTCTTCTGTCATGTATATAATCGAACGGAATTCATTTGACGGTTAAGGAAGATTGGGTTAGGCAACAAAATAATTGGGCAGGGAGGCGCAGTCGGATCGATGACCGCAGTAGCATGTTCAAAAAGGGTCTGTCAAATCGGGTGGCAGAGACTGCATCTGTCACTGACCACGCACCGGGATGTACTCTTTGGAAACACTTTTTTAGGTTGATTTAATTAATGTAGATTACGAGAATTCGGCCCAACAACTTCGTGTGAAAAAAAAGACCTTTTTATCCCACTTGACTTTTGGTTCTGAAGATTACAAGATCTGCATCACGTTGAGCCTGGCAATGTTGTTGAGTATGACATCCCCGTACTCTCAGCCGCAAACCAAGACCTGCCTGGAATTTCCAAGCGTCTTGTCATATGGCGCGAGGGGATCAAAGAAAAAAACAAAAGGCTGAAAGCAAGGCTGACTATGATGTCGGTGGATGCAATGTGGAGGTTTGGTAAGACTTTGCGGGGCACGTGCTTGTGGCCCTGTCATCCGCAAACGTTGTCCTCTCAACAGGCTCCTGCGACAACATAAGCCTACTCTCAGCTCTACATCAAGTACACACAGCTTCTTCGCGCAGTATGGGTGCATTGCTCTCGATACCCTTCCTCGCTGTGCCTAGCCTGAGCACTGTATGTGACATTTACTTTCCCATTCTCTTGCCTATCTCATCGAAGCGCCGGGTTAATTCGTCTCTCTCCAGGTCGGCACCTTTGCCGCATCGTGTTGCGGCGCCGCGACATGCTCCGCAGTATGCAGCGCCTGCGGGAAGTGCAACAACAGGTTCGCAAGCGCCTCCTAGGTCGACGTTTGGACTTGGTTGGACTAATGACACGCCCCAGTATCGCCACCCGCATCGCGTATGCTCTCATCTTACTCGTCAACTCGATCATATCTTGGCTCATGCTCACCGACTGGGCCGTCAAGAAGCTTCAGCATCTCACGCTCGACTACATGACTATTACATGCAACGGGAAGGACTGCTACGGCTTTGTGGCCGTACACCGCATGAACTTCGCGCTCGGCTCGCTGCACCTCCTTCTCGCACTTATGCTGCTCGGCGTGCAGTCATCCAAGGACAAGCGTGCGCCAATCCAGAACGGTTTCTGGGGTCCTAAGATTGTCGGCTGGCTCCTGCTCGTCGTAGTCTCTTTCCTGATCCCGGACGGCTTTTTCATCACTTGGGGCAACTATGTCGCCCTTGTCGGTGCCATCCTCTTCCTGCTGCTCGGTCTCATCTTACTCGTCGATCTTGCCCACTCCTGGGCGGAGCACTGCCTCGAGAGGATCGATGCCACAGAGTCGAGAGCTTGGCAGATTGCCCTGGTGGGCTCAACAGTGTCCATGTATCTGGCGAGCTTGGTTATGACGATTGTCATGTACATCTTCTTCGCAGGCAAGAACTGTTCCATGAACCAGGCTGCCATCACGGTAAGTTCCTCCTTGAGAAAGCCTCTTTTGCTCTAGGTATTCACGTGCTCACTCTTTTACCTTCAAGATCAATCTACTCTTCTGTCTTGGCATCTCCGTTCTCTCAATCCACCCGACAGTGCAATCATATAACCCACGAGCGGGCCTCTGCCAGTCGGCTATGGTCGCTATCTACTGCACCTATCTCACTATGTCCGCCGTGGGAATGGAGCCTGACGACCAACACTGCAACCCGCTGGTACGCGCTCGTGGCACCCGTACAGCTTCCATCGTCCTCGGTGCCATCGTGACGTTCCTCACCATGGCCTGGACAACAACTCGCGCCGCGACATATGGCCTAGCTCTTGGGGCCAAGGGCAACTCATACTCCTCCCTCCCCCAGGAAGACTACGAGCACGGCCTTGTCACTCAGCAACCTTCTTCTCGCCGTGAGATGCGCGCCGCAGCACTGCGCGCCGCCGTTGAGTCCGGCTCCCTGCCGGCATCGGCACTCGAAGAAGACAGCGACGACGAGTCAGATAACGGCGGAGGCTCCGGCCCACGCGACGATGAACGCAGCGCTACACAGTACAACTATTCTATGTTTCACATCATTTTCCTGCTGGCGACGATGTGGATCGCCACGCTGCTCACTATGAACGTGAAGCCCGAGGAGGGACAGAAATTTGTTCCTGTGGGTAGGACGTACTGGGCCAGCTGGGTCAAGATCATTAGTGCGTGGGTGTGCTACGGCATATATGGGTGGAGTCTCATTGCACCGGCTGTGCTTCCGGACCGATTTGACTATTGAGCTATTTCTAACATCGATCTCGTGGTTGGAGGCAATCCGGGAGTGTACATAACATGTGGGATGGCTGGATGACTGGCTTAATGGCGTTCTTATGTAGAGCAATAAACATTCGTTTTGTGCAATTAGAGCATGCTCAAACTAGCCATACTATTGTAGGATGGAGCAGTCGGTATGTTGGAAACCTCCATGACCGGTGGTAAGATACCGTTTAGTGTTCTGCCATTCTTGAACATGGACGTCTAGAACAGCCAAGATGGCCGTGACAAGCGCTATATTTGACTCGTATGCCGTTTTTATCGTACATGTCTAGGTGGTACATCTGCATAGTTAATCCTACACGCATGCCTTGGGTATCATTAATCGTAACCTGCTTTTGAATTCATCCGTTCCCTTCTTCTCAATCTTTCTCCCATTCTCTTCGTCTCCACCCGCAATGCACAAGCCTCAAAACCGTCTAGCGCTCAGTATCTTGGCCTCTACCGTACTAAGCAGACGTTCTTTCTCGATCCTTGCCTGTTCCCTCAGCACTTGTACCTCCTTCAGCTCGCCCTCCAACTCCTCGATGCGTTTCTCCTGGTCCTCCTGACTATTGCCGAGGCCGGGGAGGCTCTCGATCAAGGCCTCGATCTGCGCCTGCTTCAGCACCAGGTCCTGCGCCAGCTCTTGCAGCGTCGCGTGGAACCGCCTGGGCTCCTCTGGAATGTGCCGCGTATCCGGGTCGACGGTGGGAGCGGGAGCGTCCTGGCCCGACTCATTAATAGGCGGACGTACAGCCGCGTGCTGATCCACCTGGCCGGGGATCGTGGAGGCCGGGTGACGAGTGTCGATGTACGTTATTGAGGCAAACATCTGCGTGAACAGCTGGTCGAGCGCGTCTTGAAGCTGTGTGAGGCGGTCCGCCATTGTGAAGGAGGTTTGCAAGCTTGCCAGGTGCTTTCGAGTCGTACGCGTGTGTTGGTTGGGCGTCTGATCGAGGCGTGAAAGCAGATTGTCGGAACCTGATAACGCAGTGTGGACTCTAGTCTCGTTCAAATCCCCATGTCTCTATGTTCGTTCGCGGCTAGTGGTTGTTCCTAAACAGTCTGCTTTCAAGATGGAGACGATAGGTCAGCAAAGCTCAGACGCAATGCGACATCGAAATCGCAACAAACATGCCGCACGTTTTCGCCATGACTTTCAATCCTTTGGGCGTTCGCATTCGTCCTTTTCAACTATTACTCTCCTCGCTGAATAAAAGATAATACACGTATATATTATATTCTGAAATATGAGAAACCACAAAAATGTTTCAGAGATGCTTGTTGGGTAGTCAACATTCCGCGCTGTGGACCTCGACTCGTACTTATCGAACGAAAGGCAGCAAAAACAGAAAGGCCACGCAAGTAACAGACGGTCCATATCTCACTTCCAGGTCACCTGCCAGCAATACCTCAATCAAAGAAACGTGGAAAAGACCGGTCACTATCACACGTGGTTCCGAGCATCACCACGACCTTGCATCTTTTTTAGAGTACGCCAAGCGCGAAAGGCTTTCGGATTCATCAAACGTGTATTTGGGCACCGTCTACGAATACACCGCCGCCGCCAGTGTAGCTCGCCTGGGATTTGACGTGGTCAGAACAGGCAGGACAGCGGACTTTGGTATCGACCTGCTTGGATGGTGGCGTTTGCCCACATCACCTGACCCCATAAAGGTCTTACTCCAATGCAAGGCCTACGAGAGGAAACTGGGCCCTCAATACATTCGAGAGCTTGAGGGTTCCTTTCCCGGCGCACCAGCCCATTGGCAGGGTCAAGGAGTGATGGGATTCCTCGTTGCCCCCAGCCAAGCGACCAAGGGCATGAGAGACGCCATGATCAAGAGCAGTCTGCCACTAGGCTTCATGCAAGTGACGAGAGAAGGCAAAATTCTTCAGATGCTCTGGAATCACAAGGTCGCGCTGTGGGGTCTCGAGGGCTTCGGTGTGGTCAAGAAGTTAAAGCGTCAAGCTACAACTTGCGACGTCAATGAAGAAATCGCGCTGACGTTGAATGGCCGAACGTTGGACTTGAGCGAGCGCCCGTCAACGGAAAACGCAACGGGGTCGGCAATGGGGTCGTGGAGAATAGGAAATACATGAAGAAATGCATCTTCCCGTCGCCGGACGAGCCGCGGTAAGTCACAATTACATCGAGATGATCACCTTGCGTGCGGTCATGTATCGCGGAACCACTTCTTAGTATCAATTTTGCTTAGGAGAGATTCTAAATTGAAATTTCTTGGCTCTTCCGCAGGGTCTGAAACCCCGCGGTTTGGTGTCTCTAAGAATTGTTAATATCGTTCGGGGAGTGCCAAAAGCAGATTACAAAGTAAGGAGTAGCTTGCCTGCGAACAGAGATTCGTGACAGTCATTGAGCTTATTGCTCTGACAAGATGCACCGTACGCATGCCTTATGTCTACCCAAGTCATCATGGTCATTAGACACCTCATTTATGTACAAGTAATTTTATCAAAATACGGCCGGACTTTGTTTATGCATGTCCATTTATCTTTGCCTCGTCCTGTTGTTCAGCTTCAGCCGTATGAGTGGCGTTGAACAGCTGCTTCTGGGGCCCTTGATTGGTGCAGAATCCTGTGAACTCCACCAGTGATGCATCAGGGTTGATCTCCAAACCAAAGCCTGGCTTATCCAGCACCGACACATCAAGACATCCATTGACCGGAATTGGCTCGTTTATAAACAGGTTTCCAAATACAGGCAAAACTGATTTCCCGTCCGGAGAGTTCGCGAGGTACTCTTGGAACGGGGAATTTGCCTGTGAAACCACGAAGTGATATGAGTAGGGACCGCTCGCGTGAGGGATGACGGGTATGTCGTACGCCGCGGCCATCGAAGCGATCCTGAGGAGCTCTGTCAGGCCGCCAACCCACATCACATCGGGCTGAACGATGTCCAAGTTCCTACCCTCGATCAACTTGCGGAAGCCGTAGCGAGAATACTCGTGCTCGCCCGTCGTGAACTTAATATCCGGATGTGCGCGTTTGAGAATCGCATGACCATCAAAATCGTCAGGCGAGAGGCATTCTTCCCACCAGTCGATCTTGATACCGGCATCTTTGCATGCCTGCACAACCTCGATCGTGTAGGGAACGTTCAGACTCATATAACAATCTACGCGCAAGGGGAAGTCGTTACCTACGCTCTCCTTGTGCTTTCTGAGAAACTCGACATTTTTTTTAAGACCTTCCGGTCCTTCTCCTGGTCCATATGGCAGAGGCACTTTTGCGCCACTAAAGCCCATAGCTTTGGCAGCTGCAGGCTCCGGTCCAGTGCAGTAGAAGTTCAATAGCTTTCCCTTCGTGTTGCCACCGATCATCTTGTAGACTGGTTCATTTCGGATCTTACCCAGCAAGTCCCACAATGCCAGGTCTATGACGGAAATGACGGCTACCGGTAACCCTTTCCGTCCATAAAACATGCTTGCGCGGTACATTTGCTCAAAAAGATGGTTCGTATCTCGTGGGTCTAGTCATTCAACGTCAGGTCCGGCGGACCGCTGGGTTTTGTTTGTTTATCTCTTACCAGCCCCGATAAGAAATCTTTTAAAGTGCTCAAGGACTAGCCAGCATGCTGGCGGGCCGCCAAAGCCTGTAGCAAAGCCCTTGGTGCCATCCGTCGCTTCGATTTCGACACAGAATGAGCCCAGAACATTGATGCCCCAGCTAGTTCGCGACTTTCGGTATTGTTCGTATTGAGACATAGGCCTGTTAAATCATGAGCCTTTCCCAGTTGTCCAGGAGAGCAGCACCGGCTCACGTCGAAATTTTTGAATCTACGCTTGTCAGATAAAGGCGCAAAGCATTCGACAATGTCGGAGGATATACCAATGAGCCAATGTCCACCTTCCACATTATGGTCTAAAGGTCGTCAAGCCAAGCCTCGGATATTTCTGTGCTGGAATTCTTACAGTCTCCGCCAGAGCCTACGCCAGATATGACAAAAGTTTTGATATTCTTGATCGTAGGAAATTCCGCCATCGTTATGGAGCCCATGGTGCGAACTTTGTCCAGGAAAAAGTTGGACGTTGGCCTGCTACAAAGACAAGACGAAGAATGATTGAAGGATGAACTCAGCCAGTGTTCGTCGCCGGCATGATATACGAGAGGCCATGTACCTTATACAACCGCGTAGCAGTCTGAGGTTCGGTCTATCTTTCAGCGAGATGCGTCCATTCCGATCCCTCGGCTCGCTCGGAGACGGATCTTATCCTAGTTCGTGGTCCGTTCGTGGTTCGTTCACGGTCTTGCCGGGATCCCACACCGCGCTTCCCCCGCATTGGGTCTCTGGGGTGCTTCCACGCTCATCTTCGTGCTGATTCACACCGAGAAAGTTCTGCTATTATCATGCGAGCTCTCCAATAATGTCGAAACACTCTCCTGCTAGTGCAGTCAGCGATGGACAAGACGTTTGGAGCGATGAAAGTGGCAACGAAGACGGAGATGCTGGCTCCAGCAGAAAGCGGAGGAGAACCGCTACTGAGAAACCCATCAGTGTCTCGTGCGAAACCTGTACGTCACACGCGACGCGACATTTTCACTCTCTACGCTCTGCTTATCAGACACGCAGGCAAATCTCGAAAAGTAAAATGCGACAGAGCCCGGCCCTCTTGCGGATGGTCAGTAGCTACTCCTTCAGCCGTCGGATCTAGACTGATCTGTGTTCAGGTGCTTAAAGAACAATCAATTATGCGAATACAAGGAGCGCAAAAAGCCGGGTCTTCGCGCTGGCTACGGCAAAGAACTCGAAGGCCGCATGGCCGAGCAGGCTGCCGCCATTGAAGAGCTTCGACAGATCATTGCCCGCCATGAAATCGTCATTGCGCAATTAACAAACGACCAGGAACGGTCCCCTCATGCTTCTGGCAGTCATTCTGAAAATCCGCTATTTCGAACGCCGTCGTTACCAACAACTCATGTACCAAGACCTGAGACAGCTTTGTTCATGCAAAGGCCAAGCCATTCTCCATACATGTCAGCCTTCAGCAATCTGAACGATCGGCGCACTCCGAGTCTCCCTCACAGTGCCGGTTTTCAAGGACAGGTGGGGTCGGAAAACATGGCGAGCTCCGGTATTCAAGGTGTACAAGCAGTTACTAAGGACATATTTAACGAACCAAATCCAGCCATGCAATCACCTACCCTTGATCTGCCAGAGCATTCCGGAACAACGCCTAACTCCGTGCCCGCTACTGCCTCCCACGAGTTTCCTGACCATGATCTATGTTACCATTTAGTCGACCTCTTTTTCAAGCACATCAATGTTTGGTGTCCTATTTTGCATCGAAGATCGACCATGGACCTTCTCTTCGGTCCGATGCCTTTGCAAGAAGAAGAAAAGGTCTTGTTGCATGCGATTATTGCTACGACGCTACGATTCTCTTCGGATCGCAGGCTCAACGACAGTTTTCGTCAAAGCCAGCACAAGATTTCTAAGGAAAGAGTGCAGCTGTTTGGAATGGAGCACAGCTCTGTTAGGGCACTGCAAGCGCTTGTCATCCTCACGCTAGACCTTGTCGGCGATTCGAATGGACCGCCGGGCTGGAACATGTTGGCTCTGATCGCCCGTCAAGTAGTGCAGTTGGGCCTCAGTGTCGAAAGCACATCCCTTTCAATAGCTCCTATTTATCCGTCGATTTATACGCTACGTGCCATGATTCTTCCAGAACCACGAGACTTCATTGAAGAAGAGACAAGGCGCAGATTGTTCTGGGTCATTTATCTTCTGGACCGATACGCTACCATCGCGACAGCCTTCGAATTCGCTCTGGATGAAAAGGAGATTGATCGTAGATTGCCCTGTCGCGAAGACCTACTGAACAACAATCAGCATGTTCAGACGAGATGGTTCAAAAGCTCAGGGCGGGTAGAAATCTCTGAAGATAAGCCAGAGAACCTAGGCGCCTACTCCTACTATATTGAAGTTGTTGGAATATTGTCAAAGATACACCAGTTTCTTAAAGAGCCCGTCGACATTGGGGCATTAGCAGACGTTGAGCGTTGGCAAAAAAGATACAGAGAACTCGATAGTGAGCTTCAGTCTTGGAAATACCGTCTGCCACATGAGTACGGTGACATGAGCAGAATATACGATCGTGGACCCAAGCAAAAAGCTGTGAACTGCAGTTGGGTCATGCTTCATGCCGCGTACCATACGTAAGTTTTACACCTGTATCTTCAGTCAGAGGCTAAAAATAGTAGCACGATAATTCGATTGCACTCATCAGCAGCTTATCCAACAACTCGTTCGCCAATATTTACCCCGTCCTATTCAGCCGCGCAAAGATGTCAGGCAGCGGTGGAGAACATTGTTGCTCTAAGCACCTATGTGAAAACTGCAGATATTCTCAATCAATTCGGGCCTCCTTTCGCTTTCTCTCTTTGGGTTGCAGCTCGTGTGCTGCTGGTTCATGGATGCACAATTGATCATCGCGTTTCACAGTCGATTAACCCACTGGTTGAGACCTTAAGGGAGATGGGCTCGTACTGGAAAGTGGCTGATCGATATGCGACCCTACTGCAGCGTGTGCTTGACGAGTACAGGGAATCCGAAAGAGCACCAGGAATGGAAACCCCTAACACCGTTAAGATACTCGCTGATATGCGTCGGAGTAAGCTATTACGATCGCTTTCTTTCAGAAATCCTGCTAATCAACTATAGCGGCATTCGATCTAGACTCCTTAATTAGCAGAGCGCCGAAGATTCATAACACGGGAAATGTCAAAGTCATCGCCACCCCAGCTCGAACTCCGGCGCCAAGCGATCTTGAATATCTCGACGTTTTCGACTTCTTCAACTTACCGCGCTTGCCAACAAATCCCGGAACTGTCGCCGAAACAAATGGAGGTAGGGAGGACGATGCTCCCACAAATGCTCAAAATGGGTCAAATATGCATGAACATTCAGTGAATGGGTTGAATGAATTCAATATCACCAATTTTATCTTCGATCAGAATACTGACTGGCTTGGTTCATGATACAACGTCAACATGATTGGAGAGAGCATCCGTAAAAGCTTTTTGAAACAGACCAGAAAAAAAATGAGAGAGAGAGAGAGAGATTATTGTAGCTGTTCGTTTGGGAAACGATACCCTTTCGCGCCTGGAACGAGACATTTTACTTTTTTTTCATTTCCGCCTTCACGGCTCTACTCCCACTTGGACTGAGCAACATTGAAAGCCAGAAATCCCGAGGAAAATTGGCTGTATGATAAAAGAACTGGTGCATAGCAGGTGTCACGAAACTAGCCCGAACTGGGCTTATCTCATGAATGATTACTATTTGCGAAAGTAGCAATAAAGCCTCGTACAGAGTATATGTGTCAATTCGCAGTTGTACCTGAACTCTCTTGGCAGAATCATCTAGGCAGGCTCAATAATAAAGGACTCCAATCTCTCGCGTCCAAGATTTCCAGGTTTGCTCGCGCATTCCCCACCGCTAAGGCTACCATGAGCAGCGCCTTCACTACTTTAAGCGTCTCTGGCATCATATATGGGCCGAGTGGCGACTTCGGACTCCTTTTCCTGTCATTTCGGGGCTCGACTGGAGCTGCCTGCCTGAACTTTCGATGTGGCACACTGCTCTAAACCTCCACCAGAATAATAATCCACACGCCAACAGCTCCATTCCGTCCCAATAATGGCGTACAGTGAACCCATCTGGCATAGCCCTCCTCGTTACTGTTTCTACCTGATATCCAGCGTACTTTTGCGGTCACTCCAAGGCCTTCTGCAAGAGCTGCGACCAAGGTATCACGCGCGCGAGGGGTACCCCCAATGCGTTTTATGAACGGAGACTGTAAAATTCCAGGTAGCCACAGTGTTGGTGAGCAGAAAAGAACTCGTAGGGACGGATACGGTCTTACAAGAAGATACTAAATATGTTAGAAGGTGACCCCTTTTCTCGTGAATGGAAACCCACGATTTGACAAATACCCTCAAGCTTGCCATTCCTGTGTCAGAGTGTTCTTCATGTTCAGCGACGTGGCAAGATCACTGAGCTCCTTAACCAACAGTCGTGGTCGATCATTTCCGCCCCCCTTTGTATCATCATTATTATCAACATGTGCCCTATGCATCTTCCTTCCGTGTCGACGAATCATATCAAGCTCCGCTTCATTCAGTACTTCTGCTAGCTCTCAGAAGCTATCCCTTTCTTTCTCGAAGTCCGCAAGTTTGCCATTTAGCTCTTTATTCTCCGTCTGCAGTGGACTTAGTCGTCCCTTGTTCTGGACTTGCTTTGAGATGAGTCGTTGTAGCCCCGCTAGACTAGTACCTTCTTTGCACAAACCTCTGACATCAACCTGCGCACCTATGAAGTATCGCGTTTTTCCCTTGCTGTTAAGCAATGGTGCACACATCAACAGGTTCATAAAGGGTGAGCCATCTTTCCGACTGAATAAGTCAAGAATGCAAACCCCAAAACAGCTTGAGCAAAAAGAAAGCCAGGACGGAGAATGTATTGTTTTTCTTCTTTATTTGCTAGTTTAGAAATCCGCTATTTCTCGTTGTGCAGCAATTGCCTTCGATAATCTTTAGATCTGTCCGAGGACCTTGAAAAAAGTGGCAGTTCCTCCCGATTGCGTATCTCACTCCATACTGCGTTGTTCTGTAAAATTCTATTCCTGTCCTTACTTTTGCTGTTCGTTTTCAAAAATATCGCTTACCTTTTGAAGCAAATACAATGGGATTGTCATGCCTCGAAGAATCTGTCAAGCTAAAGACTTCCGCCAACCCCTCTGAAGCTTCAGATAAATGTGGAGGCATCGTTCCTGTTATCCTTCTGTGTATACTAACACTCACAATCTTAATGAATGTATGCGTGATAAATGCTGGCACGTCGTCCTTGACGAGGGCCTCAAAGGCGTCCCCCGCCTTGTTTTCAAGTTTTGAATTCACCTTTTTTTTTGTGGGGGGCAACCCGAAAAAGCGTACCCTTCGACCGATAGAAGGGTTTCAGTGATGGAGTTTGAATATTTAATCGTGCGTAATGCTTTGAGTGCGTCAAGATAATATGCGACCAGTGGAATTGATTCACGTCTTTCAGTGTTAAGAAAGTCGGTAAATTGCAAAAAGAGCGAAGTATCCTTGAAAATCTCCTGCAAATGCTCGCGTGAAAACATTTGTTCCGACATGTCCTCGAGCTGGAATACACTTACCTCTCTCTTTATAGACCCGACCAGGTTAAAAGACGCGGCATCATCTTCCATCAGCGGTTCAAGATGATCGCTCTTATCGAGAGCGCTAATCCCCTGGAGCACTGGGAAGTTATGAAAAGCTTTAATAGACGATGCTTTGGCTTCAAATGACTAAATCTATTCAGCAGATGGTTTTGAATTCTCAACCTTTGAGTTGTATGCACTTGAGGATATATCACAGTCTGAAATGACATTGACCGCCGATTGAGCCACTTTCTGAGAAATCGATGCGGCTTTGCCTGCAATGTGGGACGGATTTGCTCTCATTGTCTCGAAAGTGTTAGGTGAACTGGGACAGCTTAGCTTATCAACATTTGTCCGCGCTCGTGATTCTCACCTTGCTCTAAGATGATTACTTCCCAAGGAAGTTTTCAGCTCATCTTTCTGCACAAGTTGCAAACCACTTAGACCCTTTTCAAGTTTTAGCAGTTGCTTCTGTAGCAAGTCACTTCGTTCTGGTGCGGAAGGATCTAGTATATTAGCAGATGATTCTAACTCCCTGGGAACAGCTTTGTGCGAGAAGTCATGAAATAGTGTTTCGTCTGCGGCAAAGCTTTTATCAGTCTGAAGTTGGCCGTCTTGGTGATTTCCAAGTTTCCTTTGAACTTAAGCTGAGTGATTGGTCAATGTGGCTTGAGCATTTGGAGGTAGAATTTACGTAAGGCACTGCAAGACGCTGTCGTTCGGTACGAGTATGAGCACATTATGAATCCATGAGTACCGGAGAAGAGGGCGCTTCGGCGTCTAACGAACTATCCAAACGCTCAAGGGAGATTCTCGACGGGCAGCACTTCTTAAAATCATGTAATCCATTGAGATCATCATTGATCGCTTGGATTTTGGTGGCATTTATGGGGAGTAGGTTGGCCTAAAATTGTTTTTGTGGGGGAGGTACACGGCAATAAGAGTCGCAAGTACAGGAAGCATAAAAAGTAGAGGCATCTCTAGCTGTGTAATTTACTGTACTGTCACAGTTCTTATGTTATATGAAGCCATGTTGGGCTTGATGCACGATAGCATTTTGAAATGTATCTGCCTGATACAAGATGATCCAGATATGCTTTTGGCGCGATCCATGTACTCAATCAAAATTTAAACCTAGAGAGGCAATCCACAAAGCATGCGTTGATTTAAATCTCTAGATCGAGATCATCAATTTGCACATGTCTCTGCACAGAGTAGTTCACTGATGATTCCCAAAGCGACTAAGGAAGGGTTCCTAACGGTCAGACTCATAAGTATCTTGCACTATGGTTTGAACGAATCGAGTCCTGCGAGTGGAGTCGATCTCTGGTAACACGCTACTCAGAACTAGTATGAAGACGATGCAATATATAGGTGAACTATGCGGAACGAACATGGTCATGGGGGCTCCCTTTTTTTTTTTTTTTCTTTTTTGCAATCTGGTGTCAGCTCCAATGCTACTTCTTAGTGTAGCAGCTCAAATGAAGAACACCGAGCATGGCAAAAGAGAAGATCCGCAGTACAATTTTATTTCAAGACAAACCTTTTTTGGAATCTTCAAGAAGAGTGAGCGCGAGTCTTTCTTCCCTCCGGCAAACAGTTGGCAATTCTGACGAAAGATAGAAAGCTTGCCCAGCCATCCTTGGCAGTACCGCTAGGCTCAGATAATGTCTGGAGGAACGATGAACAAGACATCGTGTTTTTCCATGATGTTCGGAACAAGCATCACAAGACGCCTTTGGTCGGGGAAGAAAGGAAGAAGGATGTTAATCTCCACGAATCGGAATTCAAGAGCCAGTTGTCTTACGTGGACTTTGAGATTGGTCGAGCACACGAGCGATTTGGCCATGGCGATTCGGGATTCGAGTGTGGTCGAACTTTGAGGAATGAGCTAGGTGCGCGACGAAAAAAGTCCTTTATTATATCTTTTTTCCCTGTTTCGCCGCAAGAAGTGTGCACATTCATGCTCGAGAGGGTGGAAATGAGGCATCAGATCATTCAAACGGCCGATCGGAAGGTTCAAACACTTGCCCACAGATCGAAGCAGCTAGTTGTGATTCCAATCTGCAGACTTATTATTGTGACTTACGGGAAGAAGTCTGTCATGAATGTCAAATCTGTCACCCGTGCTCATGTCGCTCCGTGGCTGATTCTCGCATAAGTGGCTAAATAGTTTGGATCAAGTTATGACTTAACCAAAGAATCTTCATCATATCATGGACAGCACCCTAAGTAGGCTAAGCTAACTTAATGCTTTCTCAGGCCCTCCGCTGTCAGGCCCTCTGCTTTTAATGTGGGAGAAACGAGCTGTGGCTGTCAGAACTGACGCACGAGACAGGAACGCAATACGCAGGTTAAGTCCGAAACACCCGTGATCCCTGCGAAATTCTGGAGCAAAACTATTTGTCAAATGAACGAACATGAAGTAGGAGTCTTCAGAAGTTTCGAACGAAAGGTTCAGCCTTTCGCTAAGCATGTAGCAGACTAACACACAAATTTGTACGATATTGCCCTCTCTTATGTCCACGCGAGGATGCTGTGTTTCCGCATGATAAATAGACTGATCTTGCGGGCCCGACTTCAAATCGTTGACATTTCCCTCTCCCAGTCAAGTACGTTTTATATTTTACATTAGAGGAGAGCTATAGCATGCGAAAACTGGGAAATATTCTCAAAGACCTTAAGCCTCCAGTAGCGCGCTTCGCTCATCCACATTCTGAGATGTCTCGTTTGTCTCTTTACAAGAGGACTGTCGATATAGTCTACTAGGAATTAACAGAAGCCTTCTGCAGTAGTATATTGACGTACACATAATGCTGGATGATGAACATGAGATCGAAGAATAGGCTAATGTTGCTTAGACCCAACTTAACTGGGTTACCTACCAGTATTCCATCAGTTTGTGAACATAACAAGCATCGGAGGTGTCAAAACTAACCATATAAACCACTCCAATCTGCCTGAAGTGCTGAATCAATCACCAGCTGCACAAGTGATAGAATTCCACCAATGAAGTCCAGTAGGATTTGCCATATGCTCCAACCAGCAGTAGATTTGCGTCGATAATTTAGATAGACCTGGGGACAGTATTTGACTACCGTCGCCATAAGCTTGACATAGCCAAGGGCATATACGACGTCGATCCAAGCCCATCCGCTAATGTCGTTGCCTACGTTTGTGTCTGTAAATTGTACGAAGATAGTAACAATGACGCCCAATATACAACCCCAAAACACGCCTAGAATGAATATACTTGCATTTTGCTTAGGGCTGACTCTAAAGCCCCAGATGAAGGGAAAAAATTGTGTGTATGTTATAACGCAGAGAACGAAGCCATGGGCAGCGAAGATCAGGTCATTAAAACGAACGGTCGTCTTGGGCGAGAGTGGATGTCGATGTGTATATTGCCTCTTGACGACGGGTGAAAAGAGAAAGGCGGCAGTAGATATGGTGTATGATGCAAACCCCAACGTGTTGATCATTGGGAAATCTATCGCAGTGCCAGTCACTGACTTCCTCCGCCAGTTCTTCAAGGGCTATCTCGTGTCATCACCGCTCTCGGAATTTGCAGAAATAATATTCACCTGCGGATAGAAAGAACCGGACCAAGCCAGGATGTATATCCATCCACATAAGCGCGAGATATCTTTTGCTAAGGTTGTGAAATCTGTCTCAGCGGACAACATCTTTCAGAAGTTGTGAAGAGAAGAGTAAGAAAGACGCCTTGATGGTAAAGGAACGGGAGACTACATCGTTGAGTGAGGATTATTTGTGTAGTTAATGTGTTTTTCAAGATTTATTGAAAAAGAGACAAGCCTTACAGAACGGTGAGCGTGACATGAGTAGCATGACTTGATGCTGGCACCGCTTGAGCGGCAAACGGGATGACCTTTATTCAGGTACAGGGGTGTGCTTTACGCGTGCTTGATGTGGTTAGTGCCACATCCTCACTCGCGACGCTGCTTCAACTCTTGCAACTCAAAAAGTGAAGTCAACAAGGTAACCAACGTCCGAACGAAAATTGACCTCTTTTCCGAGCATATTTGCGACAAATAGATACCAGATATGTACCAGCGCGACATCTGTCCTGGGCGGTAGACGGCGTTTTTGCGGATGCGCCTCCATCCCCCTTGTCCCGCCGTACTGAGAACGCGTTAGCAATACTCACCAACAAAGCCTGCGCACTACGAGATGGCACCGGCGAGCACGCCGCGTCGAAGTGCCGCTCGTAGACCCGGGCGACCTCCATCGCAGAAGCGATCGAACGCTGTCACGGGCTCTGAGCGCCCGGAAAAGAGATTACGGTCTGCGCTGTACCCTCTTTGTTACTGATTCAAATGGAAGGTGCTGATATCTTCTAGATACATTCCTGGTGGGCCAGGAGGAGGTGGAAGATACGTAGATGAAGACGGAAATGAGACACCCGTCGGTGGTACTGGACCAGGAGGGCCTGCGTACGCAGGAGCACGTAGGCGAAGTTCTCACAGACTGCCAACAACATCGCCACCGGTTGTGAGAGACCGACCACGCAGGGCCCCTATACCGCGATCTCGATACGAATCGACTGCTGCGGCGGCAGCATCTGCCATGTCGAGTGAGGGTTATAAGCCAAGAGAGGAACGGTCTTGGGAGGAGTTCCATCCCGATCTAGACATCGACGCAGCCTTACCTGTCTTTAGTGCGGAAGAAGTGGATGGAAGTAGTAGGAGCAGTAATCCTGTTACTCCATCTCGTGGATTTGCGCTCTCACTCGCAGAAACAGGCGCAGTCTCCGCGGTGGATAGTGCCCTCCGAGCTCAACAAACTCCTGGAATCAATGGACTGTCTGAGTTAGAAAATCCTTTCAGCTTTGCGACAGCTGCTGCAACACCTCTGAAGCGACGTCCAGGTCGCCCGCCGAAGAATCAAATGCTCAGTGGCTTAGGCTCCCCACCTGCGCCACGTATAACGCCTTTGCCTACTTATAATCCCAAGGAGCGTCTCAGCTTACCCAAACCAAACTACCGTCGCATTGACACGTTTCGGAAATTTGAGGAGGCAAAGAATGTGGGTGTCAACTTTGTAGACAAGTCAATGGCCAATGTCGGGTATCAAGAGACAGATCGGTTCGCTCGAGCGGCCGAAACTTATATAAGAGCCTCTGATTCTCTGTTTGAAGATGAACTTGATGTTGCGCAAGCGCTACGAGAAGATGGCGACGATAGCGCTGTCATTGGAAGAGTTGAATACGACATGGATGAGCAAGATGAGCGTTGGCTCGAGGGAATCAATGCAGAAAGACAGGCTGAGCAGGTTGATGCGATCAAGCCAGCCATCTTTGAAATTACCATGACGCAGATCGAAATGGAATGGCATGCATTGGAGAAGAGTGAGTTTGCGCTCAGTTAGATATTTGTATACCGTCACATGCTAATGTGTGCTTCAGGAATCCCTAAAACAGCACCGAAAGCAGCGCAGACACATCGGCCCAGATCTGGATCGGCAGCCGCCGTGAATGGAGAAGCTGGCGGACCAGGCGAAGAACAAGACACAAAATGTGCGATTTGCGATGATGGCGACTGTGAAAACACAAATGCGATCGTTTTTTGCGACGGCTGTGATCTTGCTGTGCATCAGGAATGCTACGGTGTGCCCTTCATCCCTGAAGGTCAATGGCATTGTCGGAAGTGTCAGTTGCTTGGCAGAAACAACGTAGTAAGCAATACTTTATCCTTTCGCATTGTAACACGAACTAACTCTAATTCGAGACCTGTATTTTCTGCCCCAATACGGAGGGCGCGTTCAAACAAACAAACACATTGAAATGGGCACATTTACTATGCGCAATCTGGGTGCCAGAGGTCTCATTAGGAAACATGACCTTCATGGAACCAATAATGGATGTGGAAAAGGTTCCGAAGCAGCGATGGCGTCTAGTAAGTGTACGGTGTTATTATTCTTCATCTTTTGACACTAATGTTGGCCAAGACTTGCTACATCTGTCAGCAGAAAATGGGTGCATGCATTCAGTGTTCAAACAAAAGCTGTTATCAAGCATTTCATCCTACTTGTGCACGACGTGGTGGACTCTGTCTCAAAATGAAGAATGGCAATACGCCTATAGACCCTGTTCATCTTAAGGGCTATTGCCATAAGCATGTTTCATCAGAATGGCGTAGAGAGCGGCATACAGATACAGCCATCATTGAGGCCGTAGAGCATTATCGTAAAACGATGAAAGGCAGAAAATGGGCCGATAGCCAAACATCAGCACTTTCTCTATCAGTTCCTACCAATACGGGATACTTAGACGACGAAGCAGAACAAGAGGAGAACGCGGCCACGGCTGCAACAAACAAACGCAAACGCCTCGCCCTCCAAAAGAAAATTTGGCGACTTCCGTCTGGAGCCCCTATTGTTCCACTGGCCGTGTACGACAAGGTTGATGCGGCGCTGCAGCGCTTTGCCATTCGAAAACGCAAAGATTTTGTCGCAGAGGCGTGCAAATACTGGTCGCTGAAACGCGAGGCTCGACGTGGTGCGTCGCTGCTCAAGAGGCTACAGCTGCATATGGAGACGTTTACATCAATGGAGTTGACGCGGCGGAACTTTGTTGCCATGGGTGCCATCGGAAGACCAAGGCTGTTGGAGCGCATCAGTTTTGCTGAAGGGCGCGAAAAAGAGCTGGAACGTATCCAGCTCCTTACTTCTATCATCAAGCAAAGAGAAGACCTCAAAAATAAGGATGTCCAGCTGCTCAGGACAATTGTGGATTCTTGCTATGCACCTCTTGTGCCGCTCATGCTACCAGCCATCGACAAAGCCATCAGGTACGTATGCACAGTGATAATTTCAACTAGATGTTAACCACGTACCATAGCTTGGATGATAACAACCACTTTTACTTTACTGCGTCCTTGGAGGGCTTACGTTCCAAGGTTAACGAACGAGTGTATCATTCAGTAATTCCGCTTGCACATGACCTGGCCAATCTCCTAAGGGACAAAGTTGGCGTTTTGCAAACAGGGGATATGAAGGTCAAACTCAGCCAAGAGCAGAAACATATTAAGCACCGCGCAAACATCATTATCGCTAAGGTGAAGCCAATGTTGATGGAGGCAGCGAGAAAGGAGGCAGAGTTAGGACTAAAAGGTGACCCCGGCGCGGAAGAAGACGCGCAGCGCGTATTTCTCATTTTCCAGAATGCGTTCAAAAACCAGCCAGGGTCGGCGCTGCCGTCCATTGCGGGCGCTGAAGAACCGGACGTTGAGGTCGCTAGCCGACCAGGGTCAACGCATGGAATACTTGATGGCCATAGCGAACAAGATGCAGAAGGTGATATTGACATGCCAGACGCCTCACGCCGTGTGTCAGATCGAGCCAACGAGATGGATGGTCCGAAAAGCCATGAAGAGATGGTACAGATAAACGACGTCAAACTGCAACTGGATACAGGTGATACACAACAAGGCATTGGCCCCGATGATGTGGAAGGCATTGTCCCGGCGCTCTCCAACTCAGGAAGCACGAATCCTTCACACGGACATGCCGATCCACCAACGCCACCTCGCTCAGAGAAGGACCTTCTGGATCCACTTGCAAATGGTGGCATTCCGTGGTACCTCGAACTGTTCAATCCACATGGAACTACAATATATGATGAAGAGTGGCCTGGCAGGGACGTTCTTCGAGACTTGAGTGAGGAACTTAGTGAACTCGACGAAGATGCTTTGAATGACCTCGTGGATAGCGGGCTTCGACAAGAAAACGCTGGGGTGAAAGGGAGCGAGGCTTCTCAGCCCACTTCCGCTCAGACTACAGTCAAGAAGAAGGTGACGAGCAGGAAAAGGCGACTTCGATGACTCATTTTACGGCGAGTTGTAGTCACTGGTGAAATTGTCCTGCGGCATTTTTCGGTGCTTGGTAGAAGTCACGAAGATGTGTACCATCCTCTGCAGTAGTAAGAAACGGGAGGCAATCTCCGGGCGTCAGGTCAGGTAGGGTGCTTGTATAACATGAGATACCTCAGCCCGTTCAATGCTATCTATAGTCTTTTCTCACCAAAGTGTCGACGTCATAGCGTGACGATGGTGTACATCGACTTCATCAGATCGTCCTTGCCCGAAAGCCAGGCTGAGAACAAAAGTCTGAAGAACACCTGATTGGCTGCCTGATGCCGTGTGACAGATATGTGGTCTGTGCGCCTGCTTTCTGTAACAATCAACCCTTCGTCAACTTTTCATTGTTGCACTGCCCAGTCCAACATCAGCATTGCAATTCGATCTTCTTCTCTCGCAAACGGCCGACAGTCGCTCATCGGCACCTCATTGTGACTTCTTACCGCTGCGCTATTTGTATACGTGCGTCGCGACGCGCAGAGAGTCAAATAAGGAGACTTTCAGCTGCCTGCGCAACGCCCAGGATATCATGGACAACGACCTGGCCACATACGAAGGTATGGACAGTTCAACATCGTATTGATCTCAGTCCGATTCGTCTTCGTCTCCAAGAGCTTTCGAGATAACCTTTCTGTGCAGATGACCGTCGCGATTACGAGGATCGCTCACCTCGCCGCGAGAGCCGCGATGAGAGAGAGCCAGATTACTCGAGAAACCGCAGTGCCTCACCCAATGGTCGCGTCGGTGATTCACAGTATGCTTATAACATCATGTGTCTGTAGTATCTAATCACATTCTGACGCACAAAAGTGCTCCTCCGGGATATAATCGCATCGACGACGACGACGGCAACACTGACGGGACTAACGTATTTGTCACCGGTCTGGTTAGCTCGCTTAGGGACGAAGAGCTCCGCGACCTGTTTGCCCAGTATGGCGAAGTTGTGAGCGCATCCATCGTCCGAGATCCGCATAGCAGAGAGTCTCGTGGCTTCGGTTTCGTCAACATGGCCACGGCTGAGGAGGCTGACTTAGTCCTGGACAAGCTTCAGGGCTACGATCTCCATGGACGCAACTTGTCTCTTGAAAAGGCCAAGAGGAAGCGTCCTCGTACCCCTACACCTGGCAGGTATCAGGGTGCGCCTAAGCGAGGTAAGAAACTGGATGATGATTGGAGTTTTTACCTAACAAAATGTCACAGACATGCGCCGTAATGATCGCTTTGGCGATAGGCGAGGTGGTGGACGTCGAGATGACTACCGTAGCTATCCTAGAGCTGGAGATCGCTACTCCGGCGACCGTTACGGAAGCTCAGATCGTGGCGGTGATCGTCGCTACCGTGAGCGCGACTACGGCTACGGCGGTGGATATGGAGGCAGCCGGGGTGGCGATAGTTATGCATCTAGACGTGATGATCGCGGCTATGGCTACCGTGACGATCGTGGTGGCGACTATGGTCGCGACGCTCGTCCTCCGCCAGGTGATGGCTACGGTCCGCCACCCCCTGGTGGTCGCTCTTACGACGATCGTCGTTAAGTCCGCTCTCCAACGTAACACTCAAAGAAAGGCGCGCGGTTTTGCCATCGAGATTCAATGCTATGGCCATGGTGAGCAAGACGCAAACGGAGCACGGTTAAAGTATGCATTATCGCAAGAGTCTGTGACGGCCATGATTCGAAGGACTTTCGGTTTCATCGTAAAAAAGGTGTCTGGATTCCATATCGACGGCGCAACAGCATGGGCAAAACTCGGACAGTATGTTCCCATTGGCAGCAAGCATTGGCGCGAGGGGCGTCTGTTCGGCACGGTGAAATGTTTTTTTTGCACGGCGACTATAAGTTCAGCACGGTCGCTCTCGCCCATAAGGCTCGAGTTCAAGTTCAACCTCTGTATCAATATCCAATCTGCGTGAGTTTCAGCCGCGAACAACGTCAAGACAACAATGATCGGCTCGAAGAGCATCCAAGCCCTTCACACGCCTTAATGTCGCGCCATACTCGAACGTCAGTTTGTTATTATCCAATCCTACCGTGCGATTGACTTCGTCCAGTCTTCCAGCTATTCCAGCAGATTGCAACTTAAATGCATCACTTCGAATGCCAGGACAAATATAGTCTTAAGTCCCATCGATTCAAGTTCAAGATTACTGGACTTCGCGAGACCCCTTCTATTAGACATGAAAGTCATAATTCCGCCGCTAACATTTCACGTACCGCGAATCCACGATTTCTGCGGATAATAAGGCATTAATATTTCGAACCAGCTGCAAACCAAAAACTCCCAGACAACACTCGAGGATCATAGTTCTAGTGATGCAAGAAGCCTGCGCTGCGATTGTGATTAGGTGAGTCGGCTTTCTTTCTCGACATGTCCGTTATTTCTGCGTAGTAGTAAATAGACATGTAATACGTTGTATAATGCGCAATCAAAGACTTGCGCAGCACCAATCGTAAGAACCACCACTATTTGGACACAGCGAACTCCTCTCCCTTAGAAAAAGGGTGGGTCCGACAGATGACTAGGGCTTGACACACGAAGTATGTCTAGACTAAGCCCAGAGCAAACATTGGAGAGTTTATCATTGCCAAAATTCTGATTGTTCAAACCTATGCAAAACTACGATTGTAAATGGCCATAGAACGACAATTTGAACACATAATTCATTCCCTTTTATGTTCAAGAGGAGTCTGTATCTTGAAGTCTCATCTGTAAGAATATGAAAATTCGAAAATTTTAAGAATTGGTCGCTAAACTACAATCAATCCTGAAAATCAAAAATTCTGTACCAGTTGTGGTGAGTAATGGTCAAGTGTTGCCAATGCTGGCGCGTGCATGGTGCGGCTCGTTACTCGAGCTCTTCAGCACAACAAGAAGCTTACACTTGTCAATCCACCCCTTCTTAATCCACTTTTCCCACCCTTCCACACCGAGATGTACGTTAATGATATGCTTTTGATGAAACATTGGCGCTGGTAGCCCACATACTAGATCATGCCGTCGTTTCCACCGCGGATCACTCGATTCCTACTCCTTACGCTCCTTTCGCTTTCCATCTTCGCACTTGTGCTCAAGTTTTCAATCCTTACAAGCCTCTGGAGCGAGAAACTCGTCATAAAGCCACATCAGGACAGTATTCTTTATCAGGAACTAAAGTCGCTAGACGAGCAAGGGGTTACATTACCACAGCAAGCTAGTGGAAGCCAACACGACTTCGAGGCTGGGACGCCAATTGTGGGAAAAACCTATTCGCGTAGGATTATAGTTCCTAAGACAAAACATGAGGACTTATCGTGGCTGGATGAAAAGCTATGGAACGTTTCCAAGGCTGTGTACGCAGTTGACGACGAGCATGCACTGCTACACCCACCTAAAAACAAGGGCAATGAGGTCATGGTGTATTTAAGCTACATCATTGACCATTATGAAAATCTTGCGGACATCAACATCTTCATACATTCGCATCGGTGGGCGTGGCACAATAACGATTTGCTTGACGGAGACATGTTCTTGATGCTACGCCATTTAAATGATGCGCGCGTTATACGAGAAGGCTATATGAACTTACGCTGTCAATGGTACCCAGGTTGTCCGAACTGGTTACGTCCGGACGCACAGCACGAAGATATGGAGAAGAGGGAAGAAAAGTATGTCGCTCAGGCCTGGCGGGAGATTTTCCCAGGGAGACCTGTACCGCAGGTTCTTGGTCAACCGTGCTGCAGCCAGTTCGCTGCATCTAAGGACAGCATAAGAAGAATATCGTTAGCAGAGTATGAGAGAATACGCAAGTGGGTACTAGAAACAAAAATTCGCGATAGCATGTCCGGTCGCATTTTTGAATATCTGTGGCAGTATCTTTTCACAGGTCAGCACACACATTGTCCAGGTATACACACCTGTTATTGTGACGGCTATGGCGCATGCTTCGAGGACGAAGATGACTTTCAGTCTTGGTTTAAGACACGATTCGAGATTAGGAAGGATGAGTGGGAAATGCATAGCTGGATTGAGAACGAAATAAAATATAGAAATTTTGTCGACCAAAACAGAAAGGAAGATGCGGAGAGGGTCGAGAGGGCGCCGGATGGGAGGATTGATGAATTGAAATTGAGCATACAGCAGAGATGGATTCAACTCGGTCTAAGGAGAGACCAGGCTTTAGAGAGAGGTAGAGATCCAAAAGTGAGGGCTAAGATTGCAGGAAGAGAATGGAACGAAGGCGATGGATACTAAGTTTGGTTCAAAACGACGACAAAAGTTTCGATTTGCTTTGAATGCAGCATTGACAACCCTTAACGCAGAATTTCGCGAACTGGCTATCAGGTCAGATTGGTCATTACGATAGAACGAAGTTACGTGGTTCACTGGCATATATCCTCTGCTATCCTAGCGGCCTTTGCTTCAATAGCGTCTTCCCCAATAATATCCACTTCGGTCCAATGTTCCACCAATATCTCTCGTTTTTTTTTTCTAAGACCAGCAGATTTCAATCTGACATTGAGCAATCCTTCAAATGCTTCAACAGGGGATGAAATCTCGTGAAGTTCACGTTTCCTAACTCTCCAGACATGCAGTCATTGCACCAGCAGCAAGCTAAGCTTTGCAACCTTCGTCCCGTTCAAACTCACGCCGTGCTAAAGAGCATTTGTCCGCGCATTGATAACGAAATTGGAAATTTGGACTTCTTCCGTCCTTTGCAGGACACTCTTGATGCTTCAACTGGCTTCGATGAGTACTGACGTTTAAATTCTATGCAGAAGTCCTCAGTATCATTTCTTACATCGCCCAGCTTGAGAGTACTGGAAATCCCCTCCACTAAACAAGATCCATTACCATCGTGAAAAATCACGGTTACGGTTAAATTACATTGCACCGTAATAGCCGCAGTTCGACCTGACAGCCCCGAGATCTTGCTCCTACGTGAGCTTATCATCCTCGAAAAGGCATTGAATGATTGAGCCAGGTCGCTATTCGTCGTTCTTCGTCGCTGTAGAATTCATTCTGTTGAACCTGTGGTCAGTACATTGAAGATGTGGAGAGTACACATTGGGGAGTTTAAAGCGCGAAGGGGACACGAAATTCAGTGATTACAGACTAGAAATTTAAAGGTAGCACTACCACAAGAGTTGCTTCGTAAGTTACCAATGGCCATTTACAACGTAATCTGACTCCAGATCAGCTTGAAACTTTAGATAATAAGGGCCAATTTTGCTCTTTCCAGGAAATAAAATTACGTGATCGCCGAAAGAGACTCAAACTGCCGACGCAGGTGATTATGAAAAGGAGACCTAACTAGCCGAGCTCAATATAGAATGTGGATATTTCTTCGATGCCTTAGTTGAAGTAGGCATTCCTTCATCATTGCTACCTAATGGTTCCGTCTATCATTCCACGTTAAGTGACTCTTTGAGCTGCATGCCCTTTTTTATAGCGCTTTCTCTAAACTCCGGAATCCTCTCACACACACTCACAGTCAAACGCTGCATCCATGCTCAGTTTGGGTGTCTAGCAGCGACTGTGTCTCACCCTAGAACAATCCGTCAATTTCACCAGACTCGGGGTCGATATCTACATTAAGATAGCCAGGTGCGGTGGGAAGCCCCGGAATAGTCTGAATATCAGCGGCCAGAGCATAGCTGATCCTTTAATTAGTGCAATGAATTTTATACAAAATTAGTCTCTCCACTCACAGATAACCTGCTCCAGCCGCCATACGAACGTCCCTTACAGGTATGGTGAAGCCTGTTGGGGCACCTTTCAGCGCGGGATCGTGACTGAGCGAGTACTGCGTCTTGGCGATGCAGACTGGTAGGTTGCCGTAGCCTTGCTTGACGTAGGTATCGACCTTCTTCTGCGCTAACTCGGAAAATTCTACCTTTTCCGCACCGTAGAACTTTCTTGCGATGGCGTCGATACGGTCAAACACTGTGTTTCCTTCAGTCTCATAAAGGAGCTTGAAGTCTTGCTTCGGTAGTTTTGCAGCTTTGATGACGCCTTTGCCAAGCTGAACAGCTCCAACGCCACCCTGTGCGAAGTGTTCTGCTGGAATAGCATCTTCAGCTCCAGCTGCCAATGCCTCTTCCTTGATGACCTGAATCTCAGCATCCGTGTCAGTGTGGAAGCGATTAATCGCTACAACAACAGGAACTCCGAAGCTCTTTGCGTTTTCAATGTGCTTCTTGAGATTCACACAACCCTTGCGAAGGATGTCAATATTTTCCGTGCGATAAATTTCATGGAGCTGGGCGCCAGGCGAGATGTCTGGCCCTCCTCCGTGCACCTTTAGCGCACGAACAGTGGCAACCACCACAATGACATCAGGTATAAGACCAGAGGCGCGACATTTGATATTGAAAAAGCGCTCACCCCCCATTGTGAAATCAAAGCCAGCTTCAGTGACTACGAACCCAGCCTTTTCCTCGTGATTCTCATCGCTCTCGGTTCCGGCAAGCTTTAGTGCAATTCGATCGGCAAGAACAGAAGAGTTCCCGATCGAGATATTGGCGAATGGACCTGCGTGGACGAAAACTGGAGTGCCCTCAAGAGATTGCATAAGATTTGGTTTGATGGCGTCTCTCATTAGCGCTGTCAACGCGCCACCGATACCGATATCATCAGCGGTGACGGGATCACCAGCTTTCGATGATGCCACAACCATGCGCCCAAGACGGTCACGCATGTCGCCTAGCGATGTTGAAAGAGCCAGCACAGCCATTATCTCACTAGCGACGGAAATGTCAAAACCAGTCTCTCTTGTCATCCCTTTTTCAGTGGGTGCTTGTCCAATTGTAATGCCTCGCAAAAATCGATCATTGACATCAAGAACCCTCCGCCAAGTGATGGTATCCGGATCGATATCTAGTCGTGCAAATCTACCGATCTCATCCTCAGTAAGCTTATCAGGATCAGTCTTTTCGATGCCCAGCTTTTTCAATCGTTTGAACATGACAGGTGCAAATTCACGCTTGCCACCCTTTATTGGTACCAGTCTACGATAAAGCGCGGCATCCTTTTGAGTGTTTTCATGGAACATCCGGGTATCGATTGCTGCTGCGAGCAAGTTGTTTGCTGCGGTGATCGCGTGAATATCTCCAGTTAAATGTAAATTGAATTCGTCCATGGGGATAACCTGAGAATAACCACCGCCAGCAGCACCCCCCTTGATGCCGAATGTAGGGCCTTGACTAGGTTGACGAACGTTTGCGAAGCAAATTTTTCCTAGATGCCCTGCTAGTGCCTGCGATAGACCCATGGTAGTTGTTGACTTCCCTTCTCCCAAGGGTGTAGGTGTGATACCCGTGACAACCACATAATGGCCATTCCTTCTGTGCTCCAGCCGTTTGAGTACATCAAGCGAAACCTTTGCTTTTGTTGCGCCATATTGTTCAAGTTCATGTGGCAGAATTCCAACTTCTTCTGCTATCTTTGTGATATGTTTTGGGTGCTGCCTTCTGGAGATAGCGATGTCAGATGGAACTGGTGTTTCAAGCTTCAGAGGGAGAGGAGTAATGCGCCGTGCTTTCTGACGTTCGAAGTATGCGTCTGTGGACTCTACGACATTATGAAGAAGCATAGCTACGGTCATCGGGCCTACCCCTCCCGGCACAGGTGTTATGTAGCCTGCCACCTTGGATGCCGATTCGAAGTCTACATCACCGACGAGCCTTTGACCCGACTTCTTCGAAGAGTCTTCGATATAATTTGTGCCAACATCAATAACGACAGCACCATCTTTTAACCACGTGCCTTTGACGAACGATGGCCGGCCAATGGCAGCAACAAGTACGTCGGCAGTCCTGACTATGTCCGGTAGATTTTGCGTTCGTGAATGACATACCGTCACTGTCGCATCGGCGTTTTTTAGCAGGTAGCTAACGGGGCTACCGACGATGTCGCTTCGTCCAAGGACAACCGCATGTTTTCCCTTGAGATCCACACCCGTCTCCTTCAACAAAATCATGACACCTTTCGGGGTACAGGGCGTGAACAATGGTTTTCCGCCCTTTTTGGCCAGCTCGCCGATGCTTGTAATGCCGAATCCATCAACGTCTTTGTATGCAGAGACGGCTGAGGTTATGCTATGCTCCGAGATAGTCTTGGGGAGCGGTAGCTGAACCAAGATGCCATGCACAGAAGGATCATTGTTGAGCTCCGTGATACGTTGAAGCAGCTCGGCTTCCGAGACCTCCTGTGAGAACTTTTCGATCTTGCAGGAAATGTTTGCTTCCTGTGCAGCTTTTTCTTTCATGCGAACGTACGTTGTCGAGTCCGGTCTATCTCCAACTAAGGCAATGTTAAAATGGCAATGCAAACGTGCTGTTTATGCGAGTGGAGGCGCACCTTGTATAATGACCAATGAAGGCTTGTACCTGGGGTTTGTCCTTTGCTTTTCCTCGATCTGAGCGTTGAGCTTCTGTCGGATGGCTTTGGCGATGGCAGAACCATCGATGATTCGAGCTGGAGCCATTGGACACGGGCTCGAAGAAAACCTTCTTGTGCCGTTTTCTTGGCTGCCAAATAGCACCAAAGATGTCCAACAAGCCTGATTGATGACTTGTCGGTAAATAAAGGTGTTTGCGAAGCTCAGCGATTTTCCCCGCAACAGTGCAGTATGTGCGGAATATCTTAAGCCGCAGATCCTCATGCCTTACCAGGAACAAGAATGGTTCGACAATTTCGCCAACCAATAGCTCTGCTGACGTGCTTTTCACAGTGTTTGGAACGGCGTCCGAACCTGCAGAGCCGAATCTGAAAGTTTTCTTCGCTGTGCAATGAAAATTGGAATGAATAAAAGAAAAAAAGTTTTTGGCCGAGAGTAGCTATTTTCAGCGGTAGGATTGTCTTGAGTCAATGGAGGATCAGAAAGGACATCACCTTTCGTCCAAAAAAGGCTCCATGCCCTCTCGGGTAAAATTGCCACTTCTCTTGCAGTCGTTCTCACAGGCTTTCAACTCAAATTTGACTACGTTCCTTTTCTGAGTAGACAGAAAGAATGACGACCATGGAGCATTATGAACAGGCATTGAAGTTTCATCCTTCATGCATGTATCATATTACTTCAAATTTTTTTCACGTTCCGATCAGCCTTTACTTTCTGCGAGTTGACATTCCATGGTGAAGGTCGATTGACACGTCACGTGTCAGACTCACCAGCCCGCAGAGGCAAACTCGAAAATCCACATTGAACGAACGTGGGGCGCGGCGTTCTCGCACTCTCAACAACACCACAACAAAATGCGTCCAATTTTGATGGCGGGCCATGTAAGTTGCCTCTGCGCTGTTATTAAGTATTCTGACGAGTTTGCTTCCAGACACGGGCCTTGACACAAGTAAAGTACGTGCCAAATCCTTTGCGCGCGCAACTTCGGCTCATTTCTAACGGCCACTCTCAGGTTTTCACCAGATGGCGACTTGATTTTCAGTACAGCAAAGGATCAGGTGATATGTGCTTGGTATAGTGCAAATGGAGAGCGACTCGGGACGTATAATGGCCACGTCGGTGCTGTTTGGACCGTGGACGTGGACCCAGAGTGCAAGATTCTTGCTTCCGGTGCAGCAGATAATACCATGCGGCTTTGGAACGTCAGAACTGGAGAGCTCTTGAAGACATGGGAGTTTGGCTCAGCTATCAAGAGAGTGGTACTTAGACTTCATTCTACGTGGTAAACCCTGAAGCCTAAAAATGCCGTAGGAATTCTCGCCAGACGGCAAACAGCTACTGGGCGTCATGGAGAAAAGAGCGGGTCACCTGTCAACAATATTCGTCTACGATATCAACACCGAGGACCCAGCTAGCTCCTCGAACGAATATGCGCTCAGAATCATTGTCGACGATGCGAAGGCTACCGTCGCCGGCTTCTCATATCAGTCACGCTATATAATCTCAGGCCACGAGGACGGCACTGTCTGTCAATGGGATGCCAAGGTGAGCTGCCGATGCTGATCCACGTATAATTTCTATGCTGAGGGGTGAAAGAACGGAGACCTTCTCGACTCGACCCAGGCGCACGAGCCTGACATGCAAATTACGGACCTTCAGTGGGCGCCAGATCGATCATGTATGTTTTCGGACCTAGTTTTGAGGCCAAGAACTGACACATCAGACTTCATTACTGCATCGAAAGACAAGACCGCCAAACTCCTGAGCACAAACGACCTTAGCGTCATGAAGAACTACGTCGCAGATACCCCACTGAACAGTGCTGCTATCACCCCAGTCAAGGATTTCATCATCGTGGGTGGTGGCCAAGCGGCCATGGACGTTACAACCACGTCAGCACGACAGGGAAAATTTGAGGCGAGGTTCTATCACAAGATTTTCGAGGAGGAAATTGGTAGAGTGAGAGGACACTTTGGTCCTCTTAACTACGTCGCGGTGAGTCCGACAGGTACTGCATATGCTTCTGGAGGTGAAGATGGTTATGTGCGCCTTCATCACTTCGACCCGAGCTACTTTGACTTCTATTATGAGGTAGAGAGGGAAGCGCAGCAACAATCCAATGGTCAAACAGTTGGACTTCTAGGCGTGTCAGCTTGAGGAAAGTATTGATGATTGCATGGCGGATATCAAATGGCGCATAAAAATATAGGGCTGGGTCCTACCGTGTTCCATATATATTGTGAAGGTTTCGCGCAGTAAGATAGCATAAACTTGTTAAGTATTTTAGCTCTCCGACACATCTGGATTTCTGGGCCCATGTATCGAGGCAGTGTCTTTACTCTGAGCTGCTTAGCAGGTCTATGATTACTATAAGGGGATGAAGTAAGCGTGATACTATCATGGGGTTTCCCTATAATACTGTTATAATCTGTTAGGAATACTTTCCCGATACCGACTAGCTTCACTAATATGAGCCACTTCGGAAGGGATTAGCTTCCTAGAGCAAAGGAATAAAATATTGTCATGGGGTCACCCCTATGACACGTGATTGGCACCATCCTGTTGCCTATCTGATTAAAGCAGTATTGATATTAGCTAATATAACCTAATATAACCTAATATTATCTAATATTAGCTAACTGGACTCCTAAACTAAACTGACTTTCTAATTTGATTTCACTACGTGCGTGCCTAAATCCTAATTAAGAAAAGTATAATAAGGCCCCCTTTATATTTTTAGTAAGAACTACTTTTAGGCCTTCCCTTCTTTATATAATATCATAATTATTATATAATACTTTAATATAATATTACTAAATAGATAGTTAATAGTCTTATTAGTTTACTTTATATAATAATTTAAATAGATTATTTTTAATAATTCTATAATACTATATTATATCTACTATCTTTACTAACTATAATAATAGAACTAGAAGTAATTATTTATACTATATAAGAATAAATAATTATATAAATTTATACCCTATAAGAAGCTTTTATATAATAAAATTAAGTAGTACTTACTTTAAGTAAAGAGATAACTACCCTTAAATTAGCTTCTAGCTCCCCCTTTAAAATTATTTTTACTACTCCTAATACTAATAATTAATAATAAATAGATATATCTACTAAATTTATAAATAACTCTAGGCTTATTCTATAGAAGGAATCTTTAGTTATTTAAATATAATTATTAAAGAGACTTTTTTAGATATTACTAAATTTATAGATAGATATAGTTAATTAATAGAATAAAAGGCTACTTTAATAAATAAATTTTTAAATAACTCTAACCATTACTTTAGTAAATTAACTAAATTAACTTATATATAATCTTATATTTTAGAGAAACTAGTAGTTATACTAAACTACTTTAGCTATAATTTCCTAACCTTATAATTACTAATTATCTAACTTAACTAATAATATAGGAACTTAAATAAATAAATTAATATTAAACTAAAGTTTTATAACCTCTATTAAGGGAGCTGCCCCTTTTAGAAATTTTTTACTGAATTCAGGACTTTAGTAAGTAAAGCAGGAGCTGTCAGTCTAAGCACATACCAAGTATCACGTGACATAAGCAAACGCTGGCTAGATAAGAGAGGAGAGTCAGGGGTAGGGGATAGGAGAATAACTATATAATCCATCAGTCAAGATAGTATATAATAAACTAAGCAGGTTTATAATCTTACTTATACACCATTTATCACTTTCATGATCTTCTATACAGACATTAATAGTTATAAGCCTGGTTAATGACTAATATAATACTATATAAAGTAAGAAGGTACAGCAGTATATATAACCTATAGGATAAGCCTAAAAAAACCTATATAATTATTAAGCAGTATATTACCAGAGTAATAATAATAACTACCAATATATAAATATAACTTAAGTAAAGATACTGGATCTTAAGCTTATTAATACTTTATAAAAGTAAAAACTTAAAGTAATTATATTATATTTAACCTATCTATTAATTAGGTAGTTAATTAAGTTAAATAAGTTCCTAATAATTATCATATAAACTATAATAGATATAGTAAATACTATTAAAGTAAAGGAATAGTTAATTGTTAGGAATACTTTCCCAATACCGACTAGCTACACTAATATAAGCCACTTCGGAAGGGTTTAGCTTCCTAGAGCAAGGGAATAAGGTATAATAAGAGCTTATTGAGAAGGGACTACAATAAGATAGTTATATTTATAACTTAGAATAGTCTAAGCTTTAAGAGTATAAGAATATATTTAAACTAACTATTAGGTAAACTAGATAGTTAAATTATAGTGAGCATAGACCTGAGCTTAGCCCTCCTTATATAGACCTATTTTCTATCCCCCATGACCAAGTCTCAATTGCTCCTAATAAGACTTATATATATAGTCTTATCTACTAAGACTAAGACTGGTATAGAAAGTCTTATATACTAAAATTAAGACTATTACTTAGTATTATTTAATAATAACCTATATTACTCTAATTATACTAATAAATATACTATAATATTATTCCTCTCTTTAATAAACTTATCCTAAGTATTAGTTTATTTAAAGAGTGTTTCACCCCTTCTCCAAATTTAAAGATATCTTATTCTACTTTATCCTTAAAAGATTTTAATAGAGTTTTATAAATAATATACTTTTACTATAAAGTAAAGTAAGTATATAATAAAATTAAGCTCTATAGAAATATAGTAATTATAGTATATCAAAATTACTTTAAATATAGTATTTATTATATCTTTATATCTAGAATAAAATTAGTAAAATATACTTCCTATATTTTAAAAGGAATTACCTATATTAACTTATCCTAGGCTTTTTTAGATAAGACTAGGGAAGAAGCAAAGTTATAAATAGATACTGATTTACTAGAGCTAGAAAAAATTACCATATATCTAAAGAAAAATTGAAAGATCCTAAAACTAGCTAAAGAGTATATAAAGGTAAAAGCAGTATATCTCCTAAATAAGTTAGAAAAGGAAAAAAAGATATAATAAGTAAAGGATAGTAGTTTCTCTAATATTAAATTAGAGGAGTTATTAAAAGATTTAGTTATTTAGAATAATATTCTCTTAATCAGTCCTCCTATCTAAAGTACTTAGAATTCTAAATCTTTTAATTACAGCTTAAAGTAGCAAAGGCTAGATAACCTATTTCTTAAAGATCTTAATTTAAACTTAATTTCTATCCTAATAATAGAGTATAGTCTAGGTATTTCTTATAAAAATACTATAGTTTAAGCAGATAGTTCAGGTTCTTGTAAGGTTCCTAAGTGTTTTCCTCTAAAAGATAATCTTTCTATTTAATAAAATAGAAATACTAATATCCCTAAGTTTTATAATTTAGGATTTTTTCTACTTCATACTCTAGGTTAGTTAGGTCCTTAAGATTTATTTTTATATTAAATGGGGTCTCCGGATCCACTTTCTCCAATAGAGAAATATAAAATATAAGATATATCTTTATATTTTTTAGTAATTATAACTTATAATTTACTAGTCCTATAGTTCTTTTAATTTTAAATAATCTAATCTTTAGGAAATTAAATTTACTACTTTAGTACTTAGTATGAATATTTCATCACTAAAGATAAACTTTATCCCCCTTTTAAAGGTCTGGTCTCTTAAATCTTTTTTAATTTACCTAAGAGATTATTTTTTAATTAAGAAATATAATATTAGATTATAGTTAAGTATAAAGTAATTATAGTTCTTCTATAAATAGTATTACTTTTATAGGTAGATATACTAATATATTAACTGTTAATCTTAGTTCCTTTCTAAAGTTTATATAGTATAGTGATATTCCTATAGTACTTTATTTAATTATATTATATACTAGCGCTACCTATAGTAAAAGCTATACCTAATTATTTTATTTATTATTAATATATATTTATAAGTATTATTCTAGTATTTAGTTTACTTATTCTATTTAGCTGTTGCTCTATAGATGATATACTATTGATATTCCCTATATTATTTATAATACTTAATATAATTCCTTCCAGAAATAAGATATAAATATCTTATCTTAATTAGAGATAATCTTCTTAGGTATATTAAATCTTCCTACTTCTTTTAAGAAGACTTTTACTAAGTAAGAAGCTATAAATTACTAAGGAACCAGGATAAATATTATATATTTTATTAACTGATTAACAGTAACTATAATATTTTTATATTCTATATTATTTTTATCTTTAGAAGGTAGTAAAGGTCTAATAAAGTCCATTAATACCTCTTACTAAGACTTCTCTAGTGCTCTATTTGGTTAGAGTATCCTATAAGATTTATATTATTTATATTTGGCTTTCTTATATAAATAGTAAGCCCTAACCTAAGTAAAGATCTTTTATTATATCCTGGGAAAGTAATAGTTTTATTATAATCTTTCTAGAACTTCTTCTGCTTTTACATGTCCTTACAGAGGTGGTTCATAATACTTAAGTATCTATTCCTTCTTAAGATTTAGGGGTAATATGATTTTCTCCTTATATATATAGACCTATAGTTTATTATTGTAGTTTATATACTGTTTAATAAAATCTTATTTTAATTATTTAGCCTAAATCTATTAAATCTTAGATATATTAATTTTAATTAAGGATACTATTTAATATATTATTAAATCTCCTTCCTACTATAAGAGAGTATGTTTAACCTCTATTCCTTTATTATAATTAGTTCTTCTACTTAATATATCTGTATTAGTATTAAGTTTCCTACTCCGATGTTTAATCTTGAAATTAAATAATAATAATTTATATAACTATCTTAACTATCATCTATTTAACACCTTAGTGGTGGTAAAGTTTTGGAGATTCTGGTAATCTAATAAGACTAAGAATATATCTTTTCTACCTTCCAAGTAGTGTTGCCAGTGTTTAAGTATATTAATAATTACTAATAATTCCTGATCTAATATGGAATACCTAGTTTCTATATCTATAAACTTTCTTAAGTGATAAGCTACTAGTTATTATAGCCTATCTTTATCCTATTAATTTAGGACCGCTCCAAGAGTATATTTAGAAGCACCTGTCTTAACTTTTATTAGCTTTTCCTTATTAAATAATTATAATACTGGTATAGTTATAACTAATTTCTTAAGCTTATTAAAGGCCTTTTAAGTGTCCTTAGTCTACTAAAATTCTTAGGAAGTGATACTAGTATTTTCCTTTTTCTTAGTAAGTTTAGTAAGTAGTACTATAATCCTTAAATATCTAGGAATAAATTATTAGTAGTAATTTATAAATCCTAAAAATACTTAAACTTATTTAATAGTTTATAGTTTAGGCTATTCCTTAACTCTTTTAACCTTTTCTGGATTTACTTCCAATCCCTTTTCTGATATAATTAGTCTAATAAACTTGATTCTCTATTTATAGAACTTATATTTAGATGGTTTAAGCTATAGATTATATTTCTTTAGCGCTTTCAAGACCTTTCAGATATGTTTAACGTATTCCTTAAGCATCTAGGAGTATACTAATATATTGTCTATATAGACCTTAATATACTTATCTAGGTATTCCTATAATATATAGTTTATATATACTTATATAGTAGCTAGGGTATTTATAAGCCTAAATAACATCACCCTATACTAATAGTACCCTTAATAAATACTAAACACTATCTTATA